GCGCCCACGACGACGGCTGCGCCGACCACGACGGCGGCGTCGACCACGACGGCGGCGTCGACCACGACGGCGGCGTCGACCACGACGGCGGCGTCGACCACGACGGTGGCGCCCACGACCACGGCTGCACCGGACACCACTGTTGCTCAGATGACAACGGCTGCACCAACCACCACGGTGGCGCCCACTGTCGCTCCGACGCCGACAACGACGGCGGCACCGACAACGACAACGACCATGACTGCAGCGCCGACCGCGACTGCTGCGGCCACAACGACCGCAGCACCGGCAACGACGGCCGCGGCCACGACAGAGGCAATCACTCCTCCTGTCGCCACCACGCTCCCCGCGTTCGCAGACGCGACCGTTCTCATCTCTGGGGTCGTTTTTCAGCCGCCCGACATCATAGGGGACCCGGCAGGTCAGACCCCACAGCAACAGGGGTCGCAGGTCCAGCTGTCCGTGCAGACGATGTGCGAGAGCGCCGCAGGCCACCAGCCAGGTGGATGCACGGTCACCGTGGAGGCTGTGTACCCGTTCTACGACACAGCCGCCCTCGCTGCGCGCAAGCACCGCCGCGGCAGGAGCGTGCTGCAGACAGCCGAGCCGATTGGATCGCTGGTTGCCATTTCGTTCTCCGGCAGTGATGTGTACCGCAGCGGTGAAGCTGGAGCCGAGAACTTCCGTGCTGCTATGGTGCGGGCTTTGTCCGACAGCCCTCTTCCCGGGCTCGTCGGTGACGGAGGGGTCTACCTCACCGTGCAGGAGTCACGCGTCCTGCTCAACGGTTTCGACATCAGCTTTTTGCCGCCGCGACCCGCCCCCCCGCAGCAACGGGTCGCTGCAACCACCCCGGGTACTTTCGCTGTCCGCATGATCCCAGTGAGCGGTCGGCAGCTGGTATTCGACGAGGTGACGGGCGGGCTCGCTGCGAGTACCCTCGGCACACTGGCGGCGCAGGAGAGCACGGAGTACCGATGGATGCGGGGGTCGGACGTGTTTTCAGTGCTTCTGGCAATCGAGGCCGACACGGACGTCGTGCCGGACACCAACGCCTTCCAGACGACCGGCACGATAGTTGAGAAGATCGAGCGCAGGTCCGCAAGCACTTTTGTCATCGTCGTGAGGCTTGACAGTGCGTTTGAGGGCGAAGCACAGCTCGCGATGAGGGCCGGCGCACTCACAGCCAGCGACGGGCGCACGAACGAGCGTGGGACGGTCATCACCGTCCTGGTCGACCGCACACCTCCCACAGTCTCGTTCGCTCTTCTGCCGGCCTACTTCACCGAGGAGGAGCTGGAGTTCGACTTGATCGTCGCGGGTGGTCCGCTGGTGCGGCAGTCCTTCGAGGGCAAGATCCTCGTGGAAGGTGGGGCCGTGGAGAGCCTGGCTGTTTCGTTCAGGTCGGCGACGAGACTCCGCGCTGTCTTTACACCTGCTTCGGTGGGGACGTTCACTTTCAGCATCCCAAGGGGGGCGCTGATGGACGTCGCGGGCAACACCAACGCAGAGGTCATCAGCGGCGCCACGACATACAAGGAGCCGATCATCTCGCGCGCGCAGACGGTCGATGCCGTCACGTCGGGGTCGGCAGCCGGCACCGGCGCTGCTGCCGCCGCAGCAGCCACAAGCGCCACGGCCGCGGCTGCCTCTTCGGCCGCCGGCGCCGGCGGCGCAGCTGCTGGAGCCAGCGGTGTGGCTGGTGGTGCGGGAGGCGCAGCTGGCGGCGCGGGCGGAGCCGGGGGCGGTGCGGGTGGAGGGGTTGCCAACGCAGGTGCTCCGCGACAGATGAGCGTAGGAAACGGAGCCGGGCTGGCGCTGATGGTCGGTGCGGTGCAGAAGCTCAAGGCAGTCTCGAACAACCAGGAGCCGAGCAGTCCCCCGATGCTGACCGCGGCTGGCTGCGCGACCGAGATCTTCATGGCCAAAGGCGTCTTGTTCGGGGATCAGACGAAGGATCCGCAGTGCGTCGGCAGCGAAGGTGCGGGGTCGAACGCGACGCAAGGGAACGCGACGGCGAGCAGCGGCAAGCTTGCGCGACGCTTCGCTCTGGCGGGAGAGCGAGGTGGCGCGCAGCGGCTCAACCTGCTGGGTCTGACCGAGGCTGAGGTCCAGCGGGTGCTTCGGAAGCCCAGGCAACATGCACAGGCGCTGTCGGGACTCGAGACCATTTGCAGCTTCTACCCGGGACACGTCGCGCGGCGCGATCGCCTGCCATGCCAGGAGATCCGGAACGCGGCACAGGGACGAGGCACGACCGGGACGAGCGCGTCTCCAGGGCTGCTTGAGGTGCTGTACCACATCGCGGCGGTGGAGCTGTGGGGTCGTGCGCACACCGAGCTGTTCGGGCGGCCACCGCGATACGCCGTCGAGGCCTGGTCAGACTCGTACCGTTTGGGGGACTGGGGGGTCGAACACGTCACGTGGGAGCTGCTCCCGGGACATGCCTTGACAGAGGAGCACCGTCGCAGGCTCCAGACTTCCGGCGCTGCGGGCGGAGGTGAGGCTACCGAGACGGGAACCACCAGCGGCACGAGCGAAACGCTCCGCCTGTACCTGACAGCGGCAGAGCAGATGATCATCCTGGCGTGTCTCGTCGGCGCCGAGACGCTACTGCAAGTCTTCGCCGCGGCGATATGGTTGGTGCGCTCGCGGCGCGGAGCGTCGCCGAGCTACCCAACAGCGCTCCTTTTCCCGCGCATCCAGATCTACACGGTGTACTTCTTCGTGCCTCCCATCACGGAGACCGCCGCTCGTCTGACCAAATCCGAGATCCCGGAACAGCAGGTGCTCGGGTGGGCCCTGGTGGTCATCATGCCCCTTCCGCTCTTCCTGTACTGTGCGTGGATGGTGTACTCCTCCCAGGTCGCGCTCGACTCGCACGACCGCGGCATCTACTACGAGGTCGACAAGGACGCGGCCGACCGCGCTTGGCGGGAGCGCCGCGCAGGGCCGTGGACCTGCTTTGGTCTCTGGCGCAGGGTCCCGCCCGGCGAGTGGAAGGGCCGGTCGGCGTTCGACCAGAGCGCGTTCCTGCGCTTCTGCGTGGTGTTCGAGGACTACCGGGGGCCCTACGTTGTGCGGCAAAACTGCACGTGGGAGTACGACGAAACCCTGATGCGGTTCAACCGCGGGTATCTCGAGACTTGGTACCCGAACGGCAAGTACAGCGTGCGCCACGCACTGTGGACGTACGGCATGGCCTTCAACGCGCCGCTGCGGGTCCTGTTCCTCTTCCTCCTTGCCTTCGTTTCGGCGGTGGCGGAACCCACGGAGGGCGACGGCCAGCTGGCCGGCTTCATCGTCCTGATGTCCTTCAACGTCCTCATCCTGGCGCTCCTCCAGCCGTACGGCCTCGCGAGCGACCAGTTCATCGACACCGCGCAGTCGATATGCGAGTTCACAGCAATGTGGTTGCTGCTCGGGCTCATCCTCGCCACCCGCCTGATCGACGACCCAGGCGACCGCGCCGACACCGCGAAGCTCCTCGGAGACATCTTGCTGCTCGTCCTCGTCGCCGGCCTGGTGATGAACATCGTGTCGCAGGTGTACTCCGTCGGCTGCGAGGTGCTGGACCTCATCTCCTTCACGAGGGAAACTTTCTCCCGCAAGGAGGTTTCACCGGCGCCGTCCGTCTCCGAGGCGGACGGGGAGTGGCAGGAGGTGCGACGCATCGTCCTGCAGAAGAGGTACGCCAACAGATGGCTCCTCCGCGTGCACGACCGACCTCTCCGGAGGTGGCCCCGCCTCGGGCCGCTGACCGCCGAAGAGGAGGACTACCTCCGCAGCATCGTCGCCACCCACCGCGTCACTGCGAGGCTGCACGCCGACGCGCCCGCCGTGTTCGGCGGCGTGTCTCTTCGCCGGTTGGCGCCAGCTCAGTGGTTTGGGAGCAGCCCGGTGCCGAGCGAGGCGTCGCGGGGGAGCGCGCGCGTGGTGCCGCAGGGAGCCACCAGAGAGGTCGACTCGGCAATGCGAGCGCTGCGAGCGTCCGCGGCGCGGGCGTCGAAGCGCAGGGAGGCAATGGAGCGCGCTACACGGCGCCTCCACCAGTTCCCGTCCGGGCTTGTTGACGCGCTCGCGGGCACGCCCCGTCGCGTGGGCACGTCATCGTACGAGTCGTCACCGAAGCGCGGCCGCGCGACGGACTCGTCTGAGCTGCCGCGCTGGCAGTCGAGCTCTGAGTTCGAAGGTGGAGGGGGTGGTGTTTCAGGCAACACGACGTGCGGGGGGGATGGTATTTCAGCGCGGTTCTTGAACATCGCGCGGCTGAAGAGGGGGCACGCGGTGTCCCCGAGCCCGTCGTCGCATCCTGACTCGTTCCACACCGCAGCCAGCCTTAATGACTCGCGGAGGGTGGACCCCGAGAGTCAAACGGAAACGGGGTAGTATAAGCAAACTAGTAGCAGTAGTAGTGGATAATATCTTCGAGGCGCTTTCGTTCGCCGAATTGAGCAGCGGACACAGGCGACTTCGAGTGCCGGCAATCTGGCAGCAACCTGGCGCACTCAGCACGCACAAGGCAGAGCAGTGGGTGCGCATGCATCACAGCGCTTTCCCTGTTCGACAAGATGTTGGAGCACGATTTGAGTGCACTAGAAAAGATTCGAGAGCATGCACACTGCTGTGAAGGCGACTTCAAGCGTGTCCCGTCAACACGACTGGCAAGCCGCATGCACTGTGCTACCTGGGAGAAAGCCCGGACCGTTCGTGAGCGATCCCGCAGAGAGACCCGCAGGACGTCACGGTCGTCCGCGCATTCCACCCTACCATTGTTGCGCCAGGAGGCGGCACAAGTCATACGGGCCCTTTCGGCGAACGCACACGACCTTGGCCGACCGGCAACGCCCATGTCCGCCCGCTCTGGCGCTGCACGCGGGCACAACAACACACGCCGTGCAACATCCTCCCAGTCATTCCCAACGACGGCCCTCAGCTCGTTTGCTTTGCTGAAAGCGTTTTACACCCCAGATTGCTGAACGCGGCCCCTTCGGCGGCGCTCAATTGTCCTTCTTGTCTCCCGGCGTGCCCGTGCTACCGATGTCGCTCCCGTCGTCCTCGTGCTCGTAACCTCCCCCCTGGTCCCACGTGCACATCGCCTCCCGCAGCGCACGCATCGCCGCCCGAAGCCCCGCGGGCGTCTCGGGCCCCCCGCCCCCGGAGAAGCCCAGCTCGATGCCCGCCTGCCCCGCGAGCACTGCCGTCTCCCGCCGCAGCACCTCCATCGTCACCTTGCCGGCCGGGTCCACCGTCACGCCCGCGGGACCGAGCGCGGCGCCCTGCAGCGCGGCGAGCTCGTGCGCGGCCTCGCGCACCGCGCCGTCGTCGGGCTCGTCGTCGCCCCCACTCAGGGCGCGCGATGCATCCTGCGCAGGCACCTCGTGCAGCGTGCCGCCGCGGCTGCGGCGGTAGAGGCCGCGGGGGAAGTCGTCGGAGGACACCGACGCGCTGTGGACGGAGCCCTCGTTGAACGTCCTGCAGGATGCGCGAGAGGGCGCGAGAGGGAGAGCATGAAGTTGCGTTGTTGGGTGGGAGGGGGTCCCCAGGGGCGAGGGGGGGCGGAGGCGCCTTGGGACGTGCACGTGCGCGTTTGCGCGGGGCGTACGTACCCGGGGGGCGCTGTGCGGCGGTGGCGTGCGAGCTCGTGGACCATCCTGGCGCCGTGGGCCATCGCGGCCTGCTCGATCGCTGGGGAGGGCTGCCCGGCGCCGTACGGCCGCACGCGCGGCTCCGGCTGGTTGACCATCATGTATATGATCGAGCATGCCAGCATCACTGCGGGGCACGTGCGAACTGACGTGCATGTTTGCAGGGGCGGTGCTGGCACATGGTTGGCGGCGAGCGGGGCGCGCGCTGGGCATGCCAGCTCGCTGAGGTCGATGGATGGATGTAGACTCGCGCCGCTGCCCGATACTGCTGTCAGCAGACTGCGCAGACCAGCGGCAACAGGCACTGCCCACAGCATGTGGTCCCCCCGGGGGCGTTGCTTTCGCCTCGGGGCGTTGCAAACGCGAAGACGCCGCACAGGAGTCACTGCTGGACGACGCGAGGAAATGCATGTGCGCGTGGGGCGCGTACCAGCCACCAGGATGAGGAATCCAGCCTTTCTCGTAATGAAGATGCCCAACGCCGACACGACCAGGATAATACCGAGGGTACGCAGCCTCTGCCACGTGGACGGGGCACTTCTCGAGCGACCTGGCTGGCTCCGCACGCCGCCCCGCGCAGGCTGTGTTCGAGCCCCCGAGTCCTGCCCCGCGTAGCTGGGGTGGGGCCGCCAGGCGGATTCCCACGGCGAGGGCGAGTCGTCGTCGACGAAGTTGCTCGTATGAGGGACATTCTTCGAGCGACGTGGCTGCAGGACGTCAACGTCCGCCATCTGCTGCAGCTGGCGCAGCTGTGCAGTGCTCACGGCCACGTTGCCGCTGCCCTTCGAGTCCTCTCGTTGTAGCAAGGAAGCCAGAGGCTCCAGCGGGGGCGTGACGGGCGCCATGTCGCCCACTCCCCGGTCCTCCGCGTTGGCTGATTCAACGCCAGGGTTGGCGCGCCGCTTTCGTGGGCTGGAACTCCCCACCCGCGGAACTGCCTCCGCCAGGTGAGCCAGGTGATCGCTCGACGTGACCGGAGGCAAGCTGTCGGGCTCCGCCGCGGGCCGCACGTCCCGCGAGGCCACTGCATCCAAGTGGTGCTGCTCTTGGTCCATCCACTGCTCGAGGAACGCGGCGCCCTGGGGCGTCACTCTCGCCTCGTGTGCCATGCGAGCGCGTGCGCGTCCGGGGACCGCGGGCCTGCGCGCGCGCGCCCCGGACGGGCGGTCGATGCACGGCGGGCTGCCTCACACGTGGAGTGGCGCGCGGGCGTCACGGGAGGTTTATTCGTCGCGGTGGTGCATACTCGTGAAAAGCCTAGACGCACTGCGCGGACCCCGTGCGCGCACCGCGGGCCATGAAGCCCCATGTGGCGACGACGTGGGTGCCGCGGGGAGCTGTCCGAGTATGACAAAGCGCACCAAGGGGCGACCGCGCGGGGTCTCAGGGCCCTCCAGCACAGCGACACTCCCACATTTCGCATCGCGCGCCCAATTCAGCGTCACGTGGCCTGGTTGGCGGCAGGGAGCGGACGATGGCCAAGCGGCCTGGAGGGCAGGTGCGGCCGCCGCCCTCCTGGGGACGCGACGCAGCCTGTACTTGGAACTCGATGTCCTTACCTTTCAGTGCGGCATGGCATGCTCGGCTGCCTCTGCGGACTCCGCGGCGGCCCTGGGGCCGGCCAGCTTTGTGCCGCCGCCCACTCTGATGGTCCCGGCGATCGACGCAGGGGTCTCGGGCGGCGAAGCGGGCGCGGAAAGCCGCCGACAAGGAGCTGAAGGAGCACGCTATCGACGACCAAGATGGCGACGACTTTTTCGTCCATTCAGAGCAGGAGCAGAGTGGTGCGCGCTGCCTCTCGCCCACCGCGCCGCAGCGTTGCGTGCGCGCAATGCGCCAGTTTCTCTGTCTCTGCATCGTCACTTTCGCGACGAGGAGGCCGTCGCGTCGCACGCGAGGGTCGCCGGCGGCTGCACGGCGGGCGGCTGCACCACTGGCAAGACAATGCGCAACTCGCGCGTGCCTCACCGCGGCGAAAGGCCACCGCGCGCGGCCACCCCCGCGGCACAGCTGTCTCAGGAGGCCGCACGGCCGCGGTTGTTTCCGCAGGTTCGGAGTCTGACGGGGAGGAGCCCGAGGAGACACAGGAGGAGAAGCGGCTGCGGCTCGCCAGGGACTACATAAAGCGGCTGCAGGAGGCGGCGTCGTCCGAGGAGGACGAGGGGAGCGGGGAGGAGCCGGACGACGGCGGGGAGGGCGGGGACGCGGACGTGCTGCAGCGCCGGCTCCAGAACCGCGCGCAGCTCGAGGCCGGGCACGCGTTCCGCCGGCTCGCGAGCCGCCTGCGCGCGGTGGACCTGGCCGCGTGCCCTGCGGCGGGCGGGCGGCTGCTCGGCGGCCACCGCGCGCACCGGCTGCCCCCGACGGGGGTGTGTTTGGGTCGGTCAGACGAGCTGGCGTTCAGCGTGGGCAAGGACGGGGCGATCTTCAAGTGGGACGTGGAGCGGGGCGCGGGCGAGCGGTGGGCGCAGCCCGAGGACGTCAAGGCGGCGCGCGACGAGGCGGACCCGGCGACGTGGGTCAAGCGCGGACCGCGGCAGGGCGGGTCGCGGCGCGGGCTGCTGGCGTGCGCGGCGAGCGCGGACGGGCGGTACCTCGCGGTCGGCGGGGGCGCGCGGCGCGTGCTGCTGTACGACGTGCGCACGGGCAAGCACGTGGTGTCGTTCCCGGGGCACCGCGACGCAGTGTCGGCGCTGGCCTTTCGCGACGGCGGCGCGGAGCTGTACAGCGGGTCGTTCGACCGGACGGTCAAGGTGTGGAACACGGAGCTACGCGCGTACATGGACACGCTGTTCGGGCCGCAGGCGCAGATCACGTGCGTGGACGTGCGGCGGGCGGAGCGGGTGCTTGCGGGGGCGATGGACCACACCGTGCGGCTATTCAAGGTGCCGGACGAGACGCAGCTCGTGTTCCGGTGAGCGACCCCGCGCCCCCATGACCCGCGTGGAGCGCCAGTCCTTGTTTGGTGTCTGACGGGCAGGATGATCATTCGAGGTGGTGCAGGTCGCGGTCGATGACGGTGGAGGCGTGCCGCCTGCTGACGTCGAGCGAGTTCGTGACGGGCGACCAGGACGGCACGCTCGCGGTGTGGAGCCACCTCAGCAAGAAGCCCTCGCTCGTCGTGAATGACGCCCACCCGCGCACGCTCGAGAACGGGGCCGCGGTCGGGGCCGGGTGCGTCGGGGAAGCGTGCGCGAGCTGGATATCGTCCATCGCGGTCGCCAAGGGGTCCGACCTGGTCGCGTCCGGCGCGGGGAACGGCGCCATCCGTCTGTGGGAGGCAAGATGCGGTGCGTGGCACGGCCGGTGACGCAGGCGGCGGCGGCCGCGCACGCACCGCGACGCGTCGTGCTGCGACGTGGGCCGCCGCGGGCGCTGCTCGTGGCTCGCACGTCGGGCACGCGTGGTTTGCTCTTGATTCGAAACAGTTCATTGCGCCACTGACTGCTCTCTTTGACCTGTGCAGGGTCCAAGGGCGGGCCGATCAAGTCGCTGCGGCCGGTCTGTGCGCTGCCGGCGCGCGGGTTCGTGAACGGCCTCGCAGTCGCGGAGTCGGGCAGGTTCCTGTTGGCGGCGGTGGGGCAGGAGCCGCGGCTGGGGAGGTGGGCCAGGGACGCGAAGGCGCGCAACGGGGTGTTCTTGCATCAACTGGAGCTCGCGTGAGCTGGCTGCTGTGACGACGCCGCCTGCGTGCTCGCGGGGATGCACGTGGCACCGGACGTGGTCGACTCCCCTCCCATGTGTGCGCAACAGGGTTGATTGATGACTGCCGCGGGAGTTGATGGCTGCGAAGCGGCGCGCGGCGGCACACTCCTGCCGCCGTTCTCATACGATCGACCAGCTCCATCGGTCACCGGCGCACCTTTCGCGTCCCAGCCAACTGCTGTGCTGGTGTGCGTGTGCTGGGCCATGGCCACACTGCGTGGATAAGCCGCTACGCCGCGTCTGCGACGATGGACGAAGTGCAGAATGGCGGGTTTGCCGAGGACGCGCTTGCCGGCGCGCTGTTCGCGCTGGAAGAGAGCGTCTCCCTGCTGGCCCGCGAAGACCCGGAGACGCAGCCGTACAGGTCCAAGTACGAAGCTTCAGACAGACTGGAGGGCGTCGCTGACGAACTGAAGCATCGTCTGCAGCAGCACGCGGCCGGGGCCGACGCAGGGCGCGACGAGGAGTCGCGGCAGATCCTCGAGGGCGTGCTAGCTGCAGTGGAAACGCAGCGGGGGCTGGCGCTCGCGTCCACCGACCTGACCGCCGACGCGCGCCGACTGCTGGAGCGATCGATACCGGCGCTCCAGAAGCCCCCTGGTCCAAAGTGGTGGGGCGGCGTGCTGCAGCAGGCGCTGAACCAGGCGGCAATTCTTGCCAGCAACAGTGGCGAGCACGACCTCGCCCTGCGCGCGTTACAGCAGGCCGAGCAGCTCTACGTCTCCTCGAACAATCCAGCGACGCCCCCGGACGGTAGCGCGGGCGCCCCCCCCGCCGCCCCGCCCCGGGCACCACTGGACAGCCTGCGTCGCCCCACCGCTGCAGCCTACCAGCTGACACTGTTCTACCTCGCGCAAGTGCACGGCCTGCGCAAGGACAGCGCGGCGTCCGCGGAGTACTGCGCCGCCACGCTGCGGTCGCAGCTCGAGCTCGCGGCGCCCGACGCAGCGATAGACGTGGACGAGTGGGTGGGCAACGCACTGGGACTGGCCGAGTACTACCTCTCGGAGGACGAGCACGCCGCGTGCGAGTGGTGCCTGCACGCCGCGACGCGCGTGCTGAAGCTCGCGACGGGGGAGGTCGAGCCGGGCGCGGGCGAGGGCGTGCCGCTGACGGCCCCGCGCGACGTCGAGGCGGCGGGCGCCAAGGTCGACCGGGCGTGGCTGCGGCTGCTGGAGCAGCGGCTGCTGACGGGCGCGCTGTGCAGGGACCGCGGCGGCGACGGGGGCGACGCGGACGGCGTCGGGAGGCTCGGGAGTGTGCCGCCGGCGCTGCACTTCCAGCGGATCAGCTTGCCGGCGGAGGACGCGCTGCCGTGGGGCAGGAAGGCCATACCCAGGTGAGGTGCTCGTTGCGGCGGGTGCTGCGTCTTGCAGGACTGCGGGCCGCACCGGTGTCTGTGCCGCGAGCGCCGCAGGGAGCCTGGACACGCGTTCTGAACGCCGCTCGCGTTTTCCACCCCCTGCCCCCTGCAGCGACTTCGCTTCGGCGCGGGACATTTTCAACGCGGCGATGCGGCACCTGCGCGGCGCCCTGGCGTACTTCGTGCTGGACGGGTTTGTGACGGACCACTTCGAGCTGCAAATGGACGCCGCGAACCTGTACCGCTGCCTCTCGCGGTACGAAGAGGACCCGAAGCGTCGCGCGGCGATGCACGGCATGCGCGCCAAGGTCCTGGCCCCGCTGTGCGACGGCAACATGAACCCGCAGCACTTTCTGGGAATCATCAAGTCGGTGCACCTCGAGTGCGCCTCCGCGCTGCGGGACCAGAGCGACATCAAGGCGCAGGTGGGCGACGCGGCCGGCGCCGCGAGGGCGGCTGCGACAGCGACCGTGCACTACAAGAGCTTTCTGCGGTGCTTCCCTGCGGGGCCTTGTGCGGAGGACAAGCCGGCGCGCACGTCGCTGGATAAGGTCGCGGAGGACGTGGAGGAGGAGGCGCTGTACCTGCGGACGCTGCTGCAGCACGTGGCGGTGGTGCAGCGCGTGTACGCCGGCCCGGGGGGCGGCAACCTGGCCGACCTTCAGGTCGCGCTGACGCAGGTGAGGGCGAGGGGACTGCCGCGGTGTACGACGCCCCCCGTGGGGCATGCAGCGCGCTGCCCCGTCGCGTGTCGGCGAGCAGGAATCACTCTCCGCGTTGCCGTGCAGCTCAAGTGGGCGGTGGCGTATGCGGAGCGGCACAAGGTGCCCGGGTTCGAGCAGGAGGCGGCGCTGGCGTCGGAAATGAGCGACCTGCTCGAGCAGAAGGTACAGCCCGCTTATCACCGACGCGATCATCGAAAGAGATGATTCTCGCTCTACACGGCCCGTCTATGGATGGGTCCGTTTCCCCAACGTGCCCCCCGTGTTCGTGCACACTGCGTGCAGATCGACTTCCTGGTCAGGCAGCGGGCCCGCGCTGCAGCCTCCTAGCGTTGCTGTGACGCCCGGCGCGGTTTCGGTCATCACACACGGTCTCGTTGCTGCTGTTTTTGTTCGACATAAGTGGTTGGTCGGCTCGGGGCGTCGCGCGCTCAGACGGGCACGGCGAACACCTTGTACGCGCGCATCATGCGCTCGACGACCTTGAGCTTGACCGCCATGGGCAGCGGCGACGTCAGCTGCGCCATGTCGGCCTGCAGGCTGGCCCACTCGGCCTTGCTCTCCTCGGGCAGCCGGACCCCCCCGCGCACGAAGATCGCCTCGAGCTCGTGGTTCACGCGCGCGATCTGGTACAGCAGCTGCCCCGACGACGCCATGGGCATGCCCTGCCGCATCTCCTCGTCGTGCACCGCCACCAGCAGCGAGCGCTCCAGGTCCAGCAGCGCCATCCGCGCCAGCTTGTACAGCTTGATCGGGTCCGGCTGCTTCGGGCTCACCGCGCGCACCGCGCTCCGCAGCGAGTAGTGCACGATCAGCAGCGCGGGCACCGCCGCGATGAGCGCCATGGTCACCTCCTGCGAGTTGAGGATCGAGTCCAGCTCGAGCATCGCCGACTCCGCGTCGACCTTGACCTTCTGCACCTGGATCAGCATCGCGCGGAGCAGCTGCCCCGCGATCAGGTGCCGCACGGGGTGCCGCAGCTCCCGCTCGTACGACTTCATCATCACCTCCATGCGCCGCATCAGCTCCTTGTCCTCCACGCGGCGCTCGCCCTTCCCGATGCCCGCCACGTGGTCCGAAATGCCCTCCTCGGACAGCTCGCGGATGAGCTCCACCGTCGCGCTCACGTCCTCCGACCGCGCCGCCTCCTTCTCAAACTCCTCGAGCATGCGCCCCAGCGAGCGCTTCGAAATCTCGAGGTCCTGCGGGGTCACCAGCGTGTGCTTGTTGCGGCGGTTCTCCGTCAGCTCCATCGTGAGCTTGTGCACCGGGCCGTACACGTTGTCCACCGCAGCCGTCTTCACGCTGTTGACCACCACGCCCGCCCACTTGTTCAGGTTGTCCGACCCCGCGAGCTTCGAGTTGCGGTACAGGAAGCGGGCCGCGAACATGCCGGCCACGGAGGCCAGGAAGTACGCCGTCCAGTTGCGCTTCAGGCGGGAGGGGATCTGCGCCATGGGGGGGATGTCCACCAGGAACCCCCCCCGCAGCGTCACGCTCGCGATGTAGTCCAGCGACTGCTGCGCGCTACGTCCCATGCGCTCCTCGTAGTCCACCTGCACACAGCGCAGGCAACAACGATCGTCTTCGCGCGCGCTCCACACACCCAGTGAGCAGCGATGCGTGCGCGCTGCTTCCTGCAGCGCCGTGCAGCGCCCCCCCGGTCCCTCCGCGCACCTGCACGGCCTCCTCCGTCTCGTCCAGCAGCTCCGTGAGCCTCTGCACCGTGAACGGCTCCCTCGCGTCCTTTTTCAGCTGCCGCAGCTTGGCATCAAACGCCGGCAGGTCCTTGCCGCTCACGCCCGCCGCCTGCCTGATCGCCTCGCGCTCGATCGCATCCTCCACTCCAGCGCCGACCGACACCGCGCCGGACGGCACCTCCAGCGGCGTCGCCGCGATCACGTCCTCGTTGGTGAGCTGCTTGATCCGCGCGGTCAGGTCTGCCATGATGCCGCACAGGGACGACCCCGTCACGAACGCGGCCTGCTTGGCGAGCGGCAGCAGCGTCCTCGGCCGCGTCCTCCCCACGCGCGCCGAGCTCCCGCCCCCGGGCCGCGCGGGCAGCGTCTGGGAGCGCTGCGCCTCGTGTTCCGCGGCCGGGTCCACGGACGACGTGATCTCCGGCCCGGCCTGTCCGTGCGGCGTCTCAGCGGCGCTGCCCGGCGCCTCTGCGCTGCCCGGCGCCTCTGCGCTGCCCGGCGCGAACACGGGCGTCTCAGCCCCGGACGCGCTGTCCATGGGGCGGGGCCCCGCCGCGGCGGCCACGGCCGCGGCGCGCCTGGTCGCGCGGGCGGCGCGCCCCGACTCCGCGACCCCGCCGTCCTCGGCGGCCTTGAGCCGCAGGGGCTTGGCGGCCTCGTGCACCTGGTGCAGGGAGACGGCGAGGACCCCCAGGAGGGCGCGCAGGAGGACGATGCGGCGCTCGATCTTGTCCTTGGCGCTGATGCTGCGCGAGCGGGGCAAGACGCGGATCACGCGCCCGATGGCTTTGAACAGCGGGAGGGGCCCGCGGCGGAGGAACATGAAGACCTTTTGCGCGTTGCCGCTGCGGGCCTTCTGCGCCTGCCAGAACGACAGCGCCTCGCTCACGCGCCGCATGTTCAGGATGATGCGGTCCGACGACACCTGCGGCGAGGGCGCTCCGCGCGGACGGGTCTCGTCGGCGGCCGCGGCAGGGGCGCCTGGGTGTTGGTTCCTCAGCGAGGGTGCGCCTTCGTGGCGGGCGCACCTGGGAGAGGACGACGGCCTTGAGCCAGAGCTCCGCGACCATGTCGTCGTCGTAGGTGTGGGACTCGGCCTTGAGCGCGAACAGGAGGGACTGGAGCCTCGCGGGACTGAGCCCTGCCACGGGAACGCTCGCTACCTCCGCGGCCTTCCGCTGGCGACCGCCCTTGGCGATGCCGGTCGCACGGGCGAGTGGCATGACCCACCATCGGAACAGGAGCTTGTCCGTCAACTGCAAGCAGCCGGACGATCTGCCCGAGTGGGGCTTGCATGCAGGTGCGCCGTCTTGCCGCGCTGTGGTCGCGCGATAGAGCGCGAGTCCGGGCGACGCGGGACGTGGCGAACTGTCCTCCTGCGTCCCACCAAGGAGACCTGCCCGACACGGACGGAACGGCCACCGCACGCCCCAGACGGTCGCAGGGGTCCCTGGGGCCGGGACCGGCTCGGTCGGGCCAGCACCGGTCGCTCACCTGGACAGGCAGACGAACAAGGTTGATGGGAATCTGTAGGATGGCTTCCCCGAGATCCATCGTGCACAGCGAGGGCGGCCGAAGCGCCCCTACACAGGTCTAAATGGCCACTGCCGGCCTTTCTTCCCGCGGCGTGACAGCCCGGCCGTTCGACTGAACGTGGGCCCGGATGTCGAGCCCCGCCCCCGATCTGCCTCGGGGCGGCCACGTTCGCGCGGTGGGGCACTGTAGCGACCCCCCCGCACACAGCACTCGGGGCGCCTGACGCTGCATCGCAGGCCCGGAGGTCTCGTGGCGCCCGCTGTCGCTGCGACCCACGCAGACCTCGCGGGCGGGACTCGCGACGGACGTTGTCGGCGCCGCTGCTGCCCGCAATACCCGGCGTGCTCTGCCCTGCTTGCTGCCGGGGGTGCCGCGCTCGATCGACGGTGCAGGGCTGGGGCTGCGGGAGCGGTCGCCAAGATGAGTGCATGGCGGGCGGCCGGCAACGCCCGGGACCGCGCGAATGAGTTCCAGCAGCTCGCCAAGCGCCTAGAGCAGGCAAGCTGCGATGCCTCTCTCGCGACGCCGCCGCGCGCCGTGACGCCCTGCAAGTGTCTTCACCACGACCGACTGATACGTGGCTCCTCGTTGCGTCGCTGCAGACGTCCCAGGGTCAGGCTAGCGCGCAGAATGAAGCAGGTGCGCCAAACGCGAAGGGGCTCTCGCCGTTTCTGAGCCTGTTGCCAGGGGTCGGGAGGGCGCTCCCTGCTCCCTCGCGCGTCCTCGATCAGGCGCGCGACGGACATCGCGCGTCCAAGCCGCCAGCCGGGCACACGGTGCTTGGACCGCGCCTCTTGCCCTTGCCCGGCTCCTGACGCGCGCTCACGCCCCGACGCTCCCGCAGCTGCGCCGCTGCTGCCGCCCATGCCGAAGGGGAACCCGGCGGAGCGGTCCGAGTTCGCGCGCCGCGCCACCCGCATCGGCATGGGCATTCACCAAGTTGCTGGGAAGCTGCAGAAGCTCAGCCAGCTCGCACGGCGCACTTCGATGTTCGACGATCCGACGGAGGAGATCAACGAGCTCACGGTGGTCGTCAAGCAGGACATTCAGACGCTGAACGGCGCCATTGGCGACCTCCAGTCGCTTGCCACCAGCCTCAAGGAGGGACACTCGAACAAGCAGAGCCAGGACCACTCCAGCACCGTCGTCGACTCGCTGAGGACAAGGTCCGCATCGCGGCGACCCCCGCGCACGCGCCAGCGCGCTCGCGACGTCGGCGAATTTCACCCCCGCACTGCGGCGCGCCTGCCCAGCGCGGTGCCAGACCCCGCCTCCGCGCGTGTCCCTGCAGGTTGAAGGACGCGACGATGCAGTTTAAGGACGTCCTGACGCAGCGCACGCACAGCCTCAAGGACCAGGAGGGGCGCCGGCAGATCTTCTCCACACACAAGGCGCAGGGGGCGGGGGGCGAGCGCGCGCTGCCCAAGCTGACGGTGCCGGGCGCGCCCGGGGCCGGCGGCGTGCCGTCGTTCCTGCAGGGCGCGGTGCCAGACGTCGAGCAGGGCATGAGATGGACGACGACGAGCTCGAAGGCTTCAATGTTGGCGACGCTGTCAAGCGAGTGGAAGTCCTCGTCAATTTCAAGGGCGATTGGAAGGACGGTGACCAGCAATCTTGGCCGACCGGGGAACCGTCTCCGGAGTGTAACTCTCTGTCTCTGGCAACCGGCAAAGTTCCTTATGGTAGCACCATCGTCAACGAGCAACTTCAGAATTACTTGAAGGTGCACCACGTCAAGGTCACACCTGACGACGCGAAGAATGTGACACCTCACCTCACCTCACCAACGCCGTATCTCCGGCGGGCATCTCAGAGCGAGATGAAGGAGGTCGGTATTCCACGGAAGTACTGGGAGGTTGCGACAACGCCGTCAACACCCGCACGTGAGACACGATCATCAAAGAAGCCAACAACAGCCGCGAAGCGGTAGACCGAGATAATCTCTAGTAAAGGGAACAAACGCAACAAGAGTCCAGCCAGGTCCCGGACGGGGAAGTAGTACAACAGTATGACTGCGTAGTCAGGTCACTGCTGTCAGGCCTTGGTGGCCGAGCTGGGCTCATGCCGGGAGCGTGAGCGCCCTAATTGTAACTCTACTGACATCGATACAAGCTCTGTGGTATCTACGGGGAGTCACTGTTCTTACATTTGGGAGCGGTGGCTTCCTTGCTTCTCGTTGCCTTGTCTGCTCATCGCAGGGAGGGCACGAGAGCCTTTCTACGCTCAGTTCCTGCAGGAACTGATCGAAAGGTCACAAGCGTGGCCTCTGCTACCGATCTGCGCCTTGCGCGAAGGTGAGAATCGCGTCTATCGGTTCGCTTGCTGCGACCCTTGCCGGTTCGCTTGCCAGTGCTTCTCCGTGCGCGGAATGACCCTAGTATCACCAATGATGGGTTATATGAATACAAGCAATGCCTGTCAGCGTTGCGAAATCGCGGACGTTGCCATGAATCGCGCGGAATCGAGACCCCTGACCTCGGCCGTGAGGCTGCGTGGCGGGAGACCCTTTCTGGATTGTCAGGATGTCATATGACAGACACTAGGTGTCATGCCGAGCCCGGCTGCATGCGCGCGCCGGGCGGCTCTCACAGCTCCCGCTACCTCACCTCCTGGAATCTCTCACATTGGCACCCGCAGGACCCATCTACGACCCCCGACGGCGGCGCGGCATCACGGGGACGATCTCTACATCCGATGGAGCTGCGAAGCGGTCGTTGCGTCGGCGGGTCGGGGCCCTCGCAGCGCCCACGCGCCGGTGACGATGGGACTGCGTTTGCTCTGTGGCTCGGGGAGGCCGGCGGTCCGCTGGTCGACATCATCCGCCTCCTGCCCAGGAAGTCGCGTGCCGCCCTCGCGGCTGCGTCGTCGGGCGCGATGGCGAGCGTCCTGGAGAGCTGCGGGGGGGCTCGATGGACCGCATGCTCCAGGCAGGTGGGCAGGGCGGTGGCGGGGAAGGTGGAGGGGCGCGTGTCCGCGGGGGCGAGATCGCTGGTGGGGCGGGCGAGCGACGACGGGCGGTGGTGGGTGTACCGGCGCGCGGGTGCGGGACCCGACAGTGAGGCGGCGATCGTCGAATTATTCGATTATTCGTCGCGACGCGACGCGTGGCTGGAGGCCAGGCGGTCGGGCCAGGGGAACGGGCCTGTGGCGAACGCGGGTCGGGTGGTGATCACGGAGGCGATGACGGGGCTGGAGGTCGTTAGGGCGTCGAGGGATGCGTTCGACATCCGTAAGGAGTGGGGGGCAGGCTGGCTGCCTGCAAGCGTCGCGAAGCGGTTGAAGGAGCTGGTGGTGGACGGGCAGGATCTGCGGAGGTTGCCGGAGGGGATGGCGTCGCTGGAGGTGCTCAGCGTGCGTGCATGCAAGCAGCTGGCGAGGGAGGGGTGGCTGCCGGCGTCGAGCGGCGGGAGCGTGAAGAAGCTGGACGCTGCTCGGTCCTCGCTGCGGAGGCTGCCGGAGGGGATGGGGTCGCTGGAGGAGCTCAACGTGGCGTGGTGCAAGCAGCTGGCGGGGGAGGGCTGGCTGCCGGTGTCAGCGGCGGGAGCGTGAAGAAGCTGCATGCTGAGCGCTCCTGGCTGGCGAGGCTGCCGGAGGAGATGGGGTCGCTGGAGGAGCTCAGCGGGTGGCTGCGGAAGCTGGTGAGGAGGGGTGGCTGCCGGCGTCGAGCGGCGGGAGCGTGAAGAAGCTGGTTGGGGCTCCTCGCTGGGCGAGGCTGCCGGAGGAGATGGGGTCGCTGGAGGAGCTCAGCGTATGGTGCTCGAAGCTGGCGGGGAGGGGGTGGCTGCCGGCGTCGAGCTGCGGGAGCGTGAAGAAGCTGGACGCTAGTCTCCCGCTGGCGAGGGTGCCGGAGGAGATGGTGTCGCTGGAGGAGCTCGACGTGGGTTCATGCAAGCAGCTGGCGCAGGAGGGGTGGCTGCCGGTGTCGAGCGGCAGGAGCGTGAAGAAGCTGCATGCTGAGGGCTCCTCGCTGGCGAGGGTGCCGGAGGAGATGGAGTCTCTGGAGGAGCTCGACGTGGGTGGCTGCAAGCAGCTGGCGGGGGAGGGGTGGCTGCCGGTGTCGAGTCGGGGGAGCGTGAAGAAGCTGGACGCTATGTTCTCCTCGCTGGCGAGGGTGCCGGAGGGGATGGCGTCGCTGGAGGTGCTCCACGTGGGTGGCTGCGAGCAGCTGGCGCAGGAGGGGTGGCTGCCGGCGTCGAGCGGCAGGAGCGTGAAGAAGCTAAATGTCAAGTGCTCCTCGCTGGCGAGGGTGCCGGAGGGGATGGAGTCGCTGGAGGAGCTCGACGTGGGTTCATGCAAGCAGCTGGCGCAGGAGGGGTGGCTGCCGGTGTCGAGCGGCAGGAGCGTGAAGAAGCTGCATGCTGAGGGCTCCTCGCTGGCGAGGGTGCCGGAGGAGATGGGGTCGCTGCAGGAGCTCCACGTGGTGTGGTGCAAGCAGCTGGCGGGGGAGGGGTGGCTGCCGGTGTCGAGCGGCGGGAGCGTGAAGAAGCTGCATGCTCGGGACCTCGCCGGAGGCTGCCGGAGGGGATGGGATCGCTGGAGGAGCTCAACGTGAGTTTCTGCTCGCAGCTGGCGGGGGAGGGGTGGCTGCCGGTGTCGAGCGGCGGGAGCGTGAAGAAGCTGGTTGCGATGGCGTCCCCACTGCGCGGACTGCCGGAGGAGATGGGATCGCTGGAGGAGCTCGACGTGGAGTGGTGCGGGAAGCTTGCGGGGGAGGGGTGGCTGCCGGCGTCAAGCGGCGGGAGCGTGAAGAAGCTGATTGCTGACAGCTCCTCGCTGGCGAGGGTGCCGGAGGGGATGGGGTCGCTGGAGGTGCTCAGCGTGCGTGACTGCAAGCAGCTGGCGGGGGAGGGGTGGCTGCCGGCGTCGAGCTGCGGGGAGCTACGGGAGCTGCGGGCCACGGCAGTTCAGCTGCAGGGCCTGCCGGAGGAGCAGAGTCGGACACTGACATCTCTGTTGCGTTGAAGTGTGAGCGCACGTACGAGCGTTGTGACAAGCGTCCACTCCCCAGAGGACGATGCGATGGGTCACCGCAGGCAACCACCCTGCTTGGTCGTCAGCGGTGACGTCGTGAGGCCACAACGGGCTCCAAGACCATCGTCTTGGACGTATTAATAGTTCACGCCACCGACGGTGCGTGTATATATACAGGATATACAGTGTATCCGTGTCCGTGCGACCCTGCGAGCGCGTGTGGTCTGACTCGACTTGTTTACACCCCGAAGAACGGGTCGCACCGCCAAGGCAGGTTCTACCCCGCCCTATAACGGCACCAGTTTGTCAGAAACGCCACGGGACCAGGTGCCCATTTTCCTGCCGATGGCACAAAGGGAAGTGGCAGACAGCCCGCGCAGGGGGGCGGCGGGCGCAGCGAGGGTCGCCGCGGGGAAACGTGGGGGCGGGCGTACCGATGGCCGACACGCGAGCAGTGTTTAAAGTTTACAGGCACTTGACAGCCCGGTGCTAGAGCTCCGCAGCACGCGCGACCTCGGCGCCGCAGCAGCCAGAGGCGCGCGCACCGCTAGGCTCTGAGCAGGGTTCGGCCACAGGCACACCTCACCGCATTAGCACGCGGGGCATTGTGAGCATGACGTGATTCATTCTCTGTCACCAGTCGAAGCGGGGGGGCACGGGTCGCTGAAAATACCGCTCGGACCTGGTCGACAGCATGGACATGCACTTCGGCCGGCAGTTACGCCGCGCAGAGCCGAGCGCGCCCCGTAGGCGCCGCACGTGCAGCTTCATTTCGCGGATGCGACTCCGGGCCCGCGAGGGCGCACGAAGGAAGGCTTGAGTCGGCAACCCGGGGCTCAGCGTGAGCCGCGGCGCGACAGGATGCCGGGCTCCGCCGGCGCTCGCAGCTCCATGATCTCCAGGTCTTTCATCTGCGCGTGTAGGAGTGCGACTCGTCGCGCGCTGGATGATGATGGCCCGAGAGCTCGAGCCGCCGGGAGGCGCCTGCCACGTGCGTCGCGGTGCGTCTTCGATGCCCTGGTCTGTCTGCTTGGCTGGGTTGTACCCCCATGAGGGGTCACCTCACACACCGGGTGTGTGCGGCTCTCACCGGCCCGGGCGGCAGCATGTGGGTGCGCCCGCCTCGCACACGCTCAGTGTGACTGGCTCGCGATCGGCCGCACAACAGAATTGGCGCCGTGACGACAGCAGGCCGTGCAACTGCTTGTAGCAGGTGAGACGCGGGGCGGTGCTCGTGGAACGCGCTGGCGGTGGTTGGTGCTGATCGCACGGCCGTGGTGGAGGTGTGTGCTCTCTCGCGGGCCGCCGTGCGAGTCGCATGGAGCGCCCAACACGGTGCATGCGGCGTGCGTCTCGGGCACTGGAGGGAGCTCGGCCGTGAGGCTGCGTTGCGGGAGACCCTTGCTGGATTGTCAGGATGTCACAAGACGGGCACTAGGTGTCATGCAGAGCCCGGCTGCATGCGCCCGCCGGGCGGGTCTCACAGCTCCCGCTACCTCACCTCCTGGAATCTCTCACATTGGCACCCGCAGGAGGCGGCGTACGGGCGCAAGATCGCGGCAAGGCAGCTTCAAGCGGTCACATCATCATGCCACGGGGACGGCGCAGCGATGCGGGCGCGTCCAAGCGCTCGAAACGCGCACGGATCCAGCTGGAGGACATTCAGTGCGGGCAGGAGGGTCAGCCCCTGGCCAGCCTCATCCGTGAGCTGCCGCGCGAGTCGCGCATTGCCTTGGCGGCGACGTCGTCGGCGATGATGGCGGCGGTGCTGGAGAGCTGCGACGGCGCGAGGTGGTGGTCAGGGGACGCACGCCTGCGTTGTGCGGAGCGGCGGGTGGGGCAGACGGTGGCGCGGGGGCTGGAGAGGCGGGTGTCGGAGGGGACGAGGTCGCTGGTCGGATGGGCGACGGGGCGCGGGGAGTGGGTGGTGTATCACCGCGCAGGCAGTTGCGACGTGGGCGTGCCGTCCGCGGTGGTGCGCGTGGAGCCGGAAGATCGGGGTCTGCTGGTGTCCCTGGTCGGGACGGATGCCGGCCGGCGTGAGCTGGCGTCGGCGCCGGCGGTGACGGCGGAGATGACGGGCCTGCGGTACCTGGACATAGCAGTGGATGGGCTGGACATGGAGGGTGTGTGGGGGCGGGAGTGGCTGCCCGCGGGCGTGGCGGCGGGCATCACGGAGCTGCGGGTGGGCGGGACGAGGCTGAAGCGCGTGCCGGAGGGCATGGTCTCGCTCGAGGTCCTGGACGTCAGCAGTTGCAAACAGCTGGAGGGCGAGACGTTCCTGCCGGCGTCGAGCGCGGGGCAGGTGCGGGTACTGAGGGCCGACGGCAGCAGCGTGCGGAGGGTGCCTGGGGGGATGCACGCGCTGGAGGAGCTCTGGCTGCGCTGGTGCGGGCGCCTGGACGAGGGGTGCCTGCCGGCGTCGTCCGCGGCGGCGCTGCGCGTGCTGCGCGCCAACGGCAGCGCACTGCGCAGGCTGCCCGCGGGGATGCGGGCGCTGCGGGAGCTCGACGTGGGCGGGTTCAAGAACCTGCAGCCTGAGCTTGCGCTGATGGGCGCTGCGGAGCTGCGGGTGCTGAGTGCTTTTGGCACGGCGATGCGGGCGGTGCCGGAGGGGCTGACGGCGCTGGAGGAGCTCGACGTGCGGTACTGCCGCTCGCTGGACATCGGCTCGCTGCGCAACGCTGCCACGGTGCGCGTGCTCAAGGTGAACAGCGCTGGGCTGCGGAGGGTGCCGGAGGAGCTGACGGCGCTGGAGGAGCTGTACCTGGGCGGCTTCCCGGGAGAGATCACGGAGGGCTTCTTGCCGGCGCGGATCTGTGCGAGGCTGCGTGGGCTGAGTGTCAGTGGGTGCCGTGGAATCAGGAGGGTGCCGGAGGGGCTGACGGCGCTGGAGAGGCTCGACGTGACTGAGTGCGAGCAGCTGGACGGCGAGATGTTCCTGCCCGCGTCGTCCGTTGCGAGGCTGCGAGTGCTGAGAGCCGCACCCAGCAACATGCGGAAGCTGCCGAGAGGCATGGACGCGCTGGAGGAGCTGGACGTGGCGGAGTGCGACGAGCTGGACTGGGAGGACGCGGCAGAGGTGCTGGGCGGTGCTGCGAGGCTGCGGGTGCTGGATGCACGCTATAGCGACATGCGGAGGCTGCCGGACGGACTGCACGCGCTGGAGGAGCTGTACGTGCAAGGGTGCCGGAATCTGACGGGCAAGCTGCAGCAGAGCGTCGCGGACCGTCTGCGTCGGTGGGACGTTGAGGAGACTCGGCTGGTTCTGCCAGTGGGGATGCGGACGCGGCACTATGGGTGAGGCGCATGTAGCTGCCGCGGGGGCGACGAGCTGTGAGACTGGGACATCATGGTCGCCCGCGTCGTGTCTCGCCGCGCTCTCCCGCCCCCGTCCGGGCGCCCCCCTTGCGGCACGTGGTGCTCCCGCTGTTGGTGTAGCCAAGCTCCCGTGGCGGTGCCTCCGACGCTGCGTCCGCTGAGACGTGACAGCAGGGGTCAGGGCCTCTACCAGGTATACCGATGCACCCCGCGTACGGTAAAAGTCGCAAATGGACATTTCCCTTGTGCCAACGTGTTCGTGGGTCATCGACCCCAGAGAAAATTCACGGGCCTTTGCGCAGCACTCGGTCGCGGGCGCCGGCGGCATACATAGTGCACGCCACGCACGACTGGGCGTGCAGCCCGTCGCGGCTATTGCCGTGCTCTAGCGCCTGACTGTAGCGACCCCCCCGCACGCAGCACTCGGGGCGCCTGACGCTGCAGCGCAGGCCCGGAGGTCTCGTGGCGCCCGCTGTCGCTGCGACCCACGCAGACCTCGCGGGCGGGACACGCGACGGACGTTGTCGGCGCCGCTGCTGCCCGCAATACCCGGCGTGCTCTGCCCTGCTTGCTGCCGGGGGTGCCGCGCTCGATCGACGGTGCAGGGCTGGGGCTGCGGGAGCGGTCGCCAAGATGAGTGCATGGCGGGCGGCCGGCAACGCCCGGGACCGCACGAATGAGTTCCAGCAGCTCGCCAAGCGCCTAGAGCAGGCAAGCTGCGATGCCTCTCTCGCGACGCCGCCGCGCGCCGTGACGCCCTGCAAGTGCCTTCACCGCGACCGACTGATACGTGGCTCCTCGTTGCGTCGCTGCAGACGTCCCAGGGTCAGGCTAGCGCGCAGAATGAAGCAGGTGCGGCAAACGCGAAGGGGCTCTCGCCGTTTCTGAGCCTGTTGCCAGGGGTCGGGAGGGTGCTCCCTGCTCCCTCGCGCGTCCTCGATCAGGCGCGCGACGGACATCGCGCGTCCAAACCGCCAGCCGGGCACACGGTGCTTGGACCGCGCCTCTTGCCCTTGCCCGGCTCCTGACGCGCGCTCACGCCCCGACGCTCCCGCAGCTGCGCCGCTGCTGCCGCCCATGCCGAAGGGGAACCCGGCGGAGCGGTCCGAGTTCGCGCGCCGCGCCACCCGCATCGGCATGGGCATTCACCAAGTTGCTGGGAAGCTGCAGAAGCTCAGCCAGCTCGCACGGCGCACTTCGATGTTCGACGATCCGACGGAGGAGATCAACGAGCTCACGGTGGTCGTCAAGCAGGACATTCAGACGCTGAACGGCGCCATTGGCGACCTCCAGTCGCTTGCCACCAGCCTCAAGGAGGGGCACTCGAACAAGCAGAGCCAGGACCACTCCAGCACCGTCGTCGACTCGCTGAGGACAAGGTCCGCATCGCGGCGACCCCCGCGCACGCGCCCCCGCGCTCGCGACGTCGGCGAATTCCACCCCCGCACTGCGGCGCGCCTGCCCAGCGCGGTGCCAGACCCCGCCTCCGCGCGTGTCCCTGCAGGTTGAAGGACGCGACGATGCAGTTTAAGGACGTCCTGACGCAGCGCACGCACAGCCTCAAGGACCAGGAGGGGCGCCGGCAGATCTTCTCCACACACAAGGCGCAGGGGTCGGGGGGCGAGCGCGCGCTGCCCAAGCTGACGGTGCCGGGCGCGGCCGGGGCCGGCGGCGTGCCGTCGTTCCTGCAGGGCGCGGTGCCAGACGTCGAGCAGGGCGGCAGCGCGGACCCCGCCAACAGCGCGGGCGGCTTGAGCGCGGCGGGGGGGCCGCTGATGCAGCAGGCGATGGTCCAGGGGAGCGACCAGTACCTGGACAGCCGCGCGGACGCCCTGCGTCAGGTGGAGAGCACGATCACGGAGCTCGGCGGGATCTTCCAGCAGTTGGCGCACATGGTGGCGGAGCAGGGCGAGCTGGCGCTGCGGATCGACGAGAACGTGGAGGACACGATGGCGAACGTCGAGGGCGCGCAGGGGCAGCTGCTGAAGTACCTCAACCGCGTGTCGTCGAACCGGATGCTCATGCTGAAGATCTTTGGCGTGCTGATGCTGTTCGTGATCTTCTTCATCGTCTTCATCGCGTAGGACGTGGACGCGCGCGCAGTGAGGCGGGCGCGGGCTGTGACGGAGCGCAGGGCGCGGGGCTCGCGAGCACGTGCAGCAGACTGGGTCTTTGTCCTTCGCTGACCTACAAACACCCTCGCGAGGACGCCTCAGCGACCGAAATGGAACGGCAGACGAGACTCACTGAGTGGCACACAGCAGACTGATTGTCAGACTGATTGTTCATCACACAGCAGACAGGGAAGACATCTCGCTGTGAGGGTCTGACGTCATCCCGGAGGTCACAATAACCAAGGAAAGGGGTGGCCGAGAGCAACGACGCGGTGGAGTACCCGCACGCAGGATGAGCAAGCTGCAGCAACAGGTGTCGGGGTCCCAGCACCTGCGCACGCAGCTCGAGTGAAGTCTTCGATGAGTGACGAGCCCCGCGGGCGTGCGGGTACTCGTCGGCAAGCCCCACCACGCGTCCCGATGTCGTCGGCCGGCGACCCTGCCCGGTGAGACATACGCAAGACATCACGCATGTCAGGTGGGGCGGTGACAGCCCCTCACGTCACCCGCTGCTCGGGCCGCTCCTGGAAGCACACGTTGAGCAGCGGACCCGCGTGGTGGTTGGCAGGGGTGGGGGTGCATCGCCATGGGAGCTCCTGCGTGTTGACCGTACTGCAGCATGCCGATGACGTTGTCTGTAATTCGCTGACCACCTGCTGATGCGCACGGGCATGCATGGTCAAGTACCGCCACCAGGCCCACAGTCAGCGCAAGCGCCTGTCCGTTTGTACTCCTCTGACCTGTCCGCGTGAGGGCCCGCTTGCGAGTGAGTGCGCGATGTCTCACATCATGATGACTGCACTAGGGGGTTGTGCAGTAGTGCGTTGCAAATGCGCGCCGTGCTGTGCTCTCCAGCGACAGGTCCTGCGAGTTATGCTGCTATGGCGTCAAGTCCGTCGGCATGCGCGCGCTCCCCCCGCCACCTCCCGATGTAGAAAGAGCAGAAGTGGCTGAGTCAGCATGACTCCACCCAGGCCGCCTTGAACGGCCGGCGAGCACGCCTTCGCGCTCGCCGCCCGCCTCGTGCTACCGCACGGCCCGTCCAGGCTGATGCGAGATGGGCAGCGCGGACAGGTCGTGCTGCGCGGGGGCGGGATCCGCCAACGGTGGCCGCATTGCCCCGGGCGGCGCCATCATCAGCCCTGCCGCCGCGCCCGTGCCGCCCGGATAGCCGGCGACATCCTGCGCCGGCGCACCGGTCGAGACCGGCATCGCGGACACCGGCATGGCGGCCAGCTGCAGAGGCTGCGGGGGCGCAGCAGTGCTGGGCGGTGGCACAGGCGCCGTGCGCTGCAGCTTCGGCATGCCCGGCACCGCGCCCTTCATGCAGCCCGCCCCCGCGGAGCCCGCGCGCAGGGCCGCCGTCTGCGAGGCCAGGAGCCCCGACGGCACCGACGCGGCCCCCTCGAGGCTGCCCTGGCCGTCGAGCTCGCTCTGCGCCTCGAGGAGGTACCGCGCGTCCGAGTCCACGCGCTGCAGCATGGCGTCCCACGACCGCTTGTCCAGCCCGCGCCCCTGGTGCTGCTGCCACAGCTGCGCCCGCAGGCTCGCGTCCTCGGCCTCCGCGGCCTCCCGCGCGGCGTTGATGCGCGCGAGCTCCGACCGCAGCTCCGCGGCCTCGGCCTCCTGCTTCGCGGCGGCCTCCTGCCGCGCCTGCCGCTCCTTCTCCTCCTTCTTGCGTGCCTTGGAGCGCGCTGCGGCGATGCGGTTCGACAGGATGCGCTGGGCGCGCTTCGGGTCGATGTTCGGATCCAGGCGCGGGTCCGGCGCGCACTTCCGGCCGCCCTTGGACTTGCGCGCGAGGGAGGGGTAGAGCTGCTGCAGGTCGGCGCTCACCACCCCGTTCTGCGGGACGGCGGCCGCGCGGGCGATCTCGGTCGACGTGAGGCTCGCGCTGCGGCCCGTGGCCGTCACGTCGCAGTCCGACGCGTTCGACAGCCGCCCGCCGCCGCGGCTCCCGGAGCGCCGGCGGCGGCCCGACGGCGGCGGCTCGGTCGCCCCGATGGGCATCGCTGGCTCCGCGCCGGCGCTGAAGCCGGACGCGGGCTGCTTGCCCGGCGGCGTGTTCGCGAGGACGGCGCCGCTCCCGGGGCTGGGCAGCGTGGTCGTCCCTGAGTCAGCGAGGTGCATGTTTTGCACCCCCGCGTACAGGCTCGGGAAGCTGTTCGAGTGGCTGTGCGCGGGGCCGCCCTGCGAGCCCGCGCTGTCCGAGCGCCCCGCGCCGCTCCGGCTGTTCCGGCGCTTCGGGGGCGGCTGCTGCTGCTCGGGGGCGGGCACCGCGCCCTGCGCGGCCGGCATCTCGCCCGCGCTGCTGAGGCCGAGCCCGCCGCGGATGCCGTTCCAGACCGCGGACACGCCCTGCAGCCAGCCGGAGTTGCCCGGGTCCATCCACTGCGCCCAGGACGCCTGCACGTTGCCGTGTTCGTCGACGACGGGCGCGGTGGGCGCCCCGGGCGCGGCCTGCGCGTCGTTCGCGGCCGCGTGCGGGTACGCGGCGCCCACGTTCTCCGAGACGCGCATGTGCACATGCTGCTGCGCGGGTCCCGCGGCGAACGAGGCGCTCTGCTGCGCCGCCGCGTGCTGCCACTGCGCGGGCTGCACGTGCTGCAGTGCCGCGGGGTCGGCGCCGTGCACGTCGAGGTCCGGGCACGAGAGCGCGCGCGAGTGGTACAGCGCGGGGCTGGCCTCGACGTGCGTGCGCTTGCGGGAGGGCGTCGGGGGCTGCTCGCGCGGGTGGCGAGGGGGCAGCAGCGACACGCCTCGTCCTGCAGGGGGGCGGGCCGCTGGGGGTGAGGGCGGCCTAGGAGGGAAGTTGGCAGGGCGCGTGCGGCGGCGGGCGGCCCGGGCTAGCGCGCGGGGGCCGCAGGGGCGGTGCGCGGCGGCGGGGCGGGCAGGCCGCGGGGTGCGCACCGGCCGGCGTAGCTGGCATAGTAGCGGGGGCCAGAGGCTGGTCGTAGAGGCCCCCGAAGGAGCCTTGTGTGGACTGGTTGTTGACCTGGGGGGAGTAGGGGTCCAGCGAGGCCCAGCCATTGCCGAAATCCCCCAGCGCGTACGCGTGGCTGGGGTCATCTAGCGAGGCCAAGTCCAGCGCGCCCAAGCCGCCCATCTCCGCGCTGAGATCCAAATCGTCGCTCTGCAGGTTCTGCAAGAAGTCCTCGAACTCCTTTCTATCGCTCGCATCCTCTTCCCTGCGCGCGCGCGTGGGCCCGAGGGACGGCGTTAGTTGCGCGCTGCTTTCGTCGCACCGTACGCCCGTCGAGGGGCTCGACTGGAGGACGGCGCCCCGTTTTCGGGCGAAGGGCTTTTCGTCCGTCCGCAGCGTGCAGTGCTGGCGCCCGCGCGCGGGTGGGCATGCGGAAAGGCGGGCAGGTCCTTTGCAGCGTCTTGCGCCTCACCCGAAGCTCATGTCAGGCAGCCCCGCGCCGCCGCGAGCACCGCCGGCGTTGACACCAGGAGTCGCGCCGTTGCCAAGTAGCTGCGACCGCATGGCGTCCCCGAAGCGCCCGCGCCAGCTATGCCGGTCCTGTGGCAGCGCCCCGGAAGGCGCGCCGCGTCGAAGGGGGTGCTTCTGCCGCCTCTGCCGGGCCCAGGCGGAGAGTAACGCGCGCCTGGAATCAACCGCGCGGCGACCGGCGCAGGTGCGACGCGTGGACCACGGGTGCCTTGCGCTTGCTGTGTTCCTGGCCGCGCGGGCTTGCAGGCCCGTCGCGGACGTGAGTCGGCGCGTGGTGAAAGCGGTGCGGTCAGTGAGAGTGCGAGAACCGCGCCGGGGGCGCGCTTACGCACCCGGGCATGCATGCGCGGGGGCCCGGGGTGGGTCAAAGACTTGAGCCTGGTAAAACACCGTCACCGCTCCCAGCCGGGGTCTTCAGTGCCGCGTCGCGCCGGCGGCGCACAAGACCACGCTCGTGGAACCAGGCGTGACGCCAGCGCGATCGTCTAGTGCGTTCCCGGCGCGGGCATTGTCCAGGGAGGGAGAATTTCGTGCCAGTGCGCTCTGTGGTGCGCCGCACCTGACGAGGCAGCACAAGCACGCCAGCGTCCTTGTTTGGAGGGAGGATGGCGGGGAGGAGTTGGGACCGTGGGTCGTCGGAAGGGTACGCACTGCCTCCTGCTCACATGGGTGCTGTTGGACGGGCGAGGCCGCGGCGCCCGCCTCACAACGCCCGCTGCTGAACTCCACCACGTCTTCCCGCGCGCGCGTTGCCGTCCTTCGGATTCCCGCCGCGTCCCGCGCGTGCATGGGACGGCCAGCAGCAGGGGATGCTGGCGTCGCCCGTTCGAGTCCCGAAGGGATTCTGGACGTCCATCCGACGGCACGTGTCGTGCCCTATGGACGGACTGCAGGTTTGGGGCGATAGACGCGACGGCGGGACCTGCGGGGCCCTCAGCAGGGCCTGCGTTGGGCGGCGAGCAGGGGGCGAACCACGCGCTGCGAGCGCACCCGCGCGCATCACACGAAGAGGCGGCCCCCGCGGGCCCACGCGTTCCGAACAGAAGCCAGCAGGTGCCGTTGCCAGCCCCCCCGTCGCCCGCACGGCCCTCGCACGCTCACGTCGCCATGGCACCAGGGAATGTCGCCGGCAGGCGTGTCCGCGACCGCTTGGGCGGTCCCGACGCGACCCCTGAACGCCGCCGGACGCTCGCAGTCCTCTCATCGGTCCAGCGGGAGCCACCAGAACGTGCCCAGCGAGAACAGCGCCGACGCTGGCAATGCGCTGGCGGGGGACGCCATGTCCGGCGGGACGCAAGCGCAGCGCGCCGCGCCGTCGAACGAGGAGCTCCGGCACATGGTCGAGGCTGCGCGCGCGGAGGTGCGCTACAAGGAGGCGGTCAACGCGGCGTTCCGGCGCGAGCTGCGGCGCATGGAGCGCGAGGCGCAGCAGCACGTCGGGGCCGGGTACGGGCCGCCGGGCAGCTGACAGGCGGACGGGGCGCGCCGGGCCCGGGACGCGTGGCGGGTGCCGCGGCGTCGGGCAGCGGTGGTGCTGATGCCTGATGCATGACACACGCAGCACGTGACGACGACTGTGAGGCCGCTCGGTCGCTGGCATCGCTGCGTGCGAGGCGGTTGGGGGCGGGCGCGCGCCGCAGGTGGTCCCGCGAGGCGTGCCTGCTCCACGTTCGTGCGCGGGAGTCGAGTCAGGATGCTGGGGGGGTCTGGGAGCGTGGCGGCGCAAGGTTGGTGGCGCGGGGCAGCCCTCGCGCGCAGAGTTGCGAGGCCGAGCTCGATCTCGTCATATCCGCGCCATGCACTCCAGGATCTTCTCGACCACCGCGCCTGCTGTTGCGAGGTGCGCTGCTGGGCGGCACCGTCCCCGCGCGGCGCGGGCGGCCTGCGAGGGACCGCGTCGCAGGAGCCTCAGTTCCGCGTCAGCTCACCGCGTGCCCGGATGCCGCGCTGCTTGCTCGGGCGGGGTGTGCGCGGGGTGCGGGCGCTGAGTGGCCGCAAACCCTTGCCTGCGTGTTCACGGCGCGTCGAGGTGTTCCGGTGCTTGCAGGTCCACCATTTGCTTCCGTCGTGCACGTGCCATTTCGCGCACCGCCGCGAGGGCCAAGATGAACAAGGACACCCCGGGTACGCCTCCACCCTTTGTTCCAGGCACAAGCCACCGCCCCCCGCGGTCGTGATCGCGCACTCGCGTCGTGGAAGTCCGCCGGATGCGCCCCGCATCGCTTGTTTCCTCGTTTCGCGGGCGTTCGTGGTGCGTCGATGCCGCGTGCGACCGCTGCGGGCGTGCATCATCCAACCTCCTCCCCTGAGGTCTTGGCGCCCGGGTCGACTGGGCCCCGCATCGCCATGATCCGCGCAGAGAGCGAGTGGCAGAAGGTCCTCAGCAAGGAGGAGTACTACGTCCTCCGCCAGAAGGGCACCGAGCGCCCGGGCACGGGCAAGTTCAACAAGCACTCCGAGCCCGGGACGTACAACTGCAAGGGGTGCGGGACGGCGCTGTACACGTCGGAGATGAAGTTTGACTCGGGGTGCGGGTGGCCGGCGTTCTGGGACGAGATCCCGGGCGCCATCGACCGCCACGAGGACCTCTCGATGGGCATGCGGCGCGTGGAGATCACGTGCAAGAACTGCGGGGGACACCTCGGCCACGTCTTCGAGGGCGAGGGCTTCCCGAACCCCAAGGACGAGCGCCACTGCGTGAACTCGGTGTCGCTGGACTTCGTCCCCAAGTGAGGTGTGGGGTTGCTGTCACCAGTGAGCCGCGGTGCCCGCGCGGGCGGCGCGGGGTGTGACAGCTGCGTTGGTGCGCATGGGGGCGAGCGCGCGCAGTCCGTCAGAGTCAGACTGCGGCGTCCGCTGAGCACTCGGACGACGGGCTTTTCTGCATGACAGACTGAACAAAAAGGCCTCCCGACCCGCGTGATGCACGCTACGCGCTTGATACTGCGCCGCGGCAGGAGCCGTCACGAGCACTGCTCGCGGCGCATCTGCATTGTGCGTCGATCGCGCCCGAGTGTCAGGCACTAGGGCGACAGGTCTGGTGGCGAGGTGCTGCAGCGCCGTGTGTCCGAGGGCGCCATGGTCGCATTGACGCGGGTCGGGCTCAAAGCCACACCTATGTAGTTGTCTCGTCGTTGCGGGCGGCATGGCGAAGCTCAACACTCACACACCTGGTGCGGGTGGTGAACATTCTGCACCGCAGTTGCCGCTGGATTTCCGCGGCCAGGGCGGACCGTTCGCCGTTCGGACCGTCGATATCATCGCTATGATCCGTGCAGAGAGCGAGTGGCAGAAGGTCCTCAGCAAGGAGGAGTACTACGTCCTCCGCCAGAAGGGCACCGAGCGCCCGGGCACGGGCAAGTTCAACAAGCACTCCGAGCCCGGGACGTACAACTGCAAGGGGTGCGGGACGGCGCTGTACACGTCGGAGATGAAGTTTGACTCGGGGTGCGGGTGGCCGGCGTTCTGGGACGAGATCCCGGGCGCCATCGACCGCCACCCTTGCCCTGGGAAGAAGCACGTGGAGATCACATGCAAGAACTGCGGGGGACACCTCGGCCACGTGTTCAGCAAGAGGCAGCTCCACGGCGCGCCGCAGCCCAAGGAGCGCCACTGCGTGAACTCGGTGTCGCTGGACTTTGTCCCCAAGGAGTGACGCTATGACATCAGCGCTGCTGGGCGGGGCAACGCTCGGCGGCGACGACGGGAAACGAGGTGCGGCTATCCGGCGCGATGGACAGCGCGACGTTCCCAAATCCAGCCTGGCGAGTATAAGGCCTGGGCTGACGTCAAACCAAGTGTGACACGGCAGAGGTTCGTCATTGCGCCACACTCGTCCTCCCGACCTGCGAATTGTGGACTTCCTTGGTCGAAGTTGAGGATCTGTCCACGTTCTACGGGCGATTGGGCATCGAGTGCGTCCGCAAGTGGCAAGCAAGGACGAGCCTGGATCTGCGGGAGGGGCGAAGCCCCGCACCGCCGTCATTCTCTGTGGTTCCCAGCACGGCTGTTGTAGTGGCAGCCTCTTCCTTGCGAGTGTAGATCGGTGCGGTCGCGGAAGTGATCATGGGCAAGGAAACGCGCACTTTCGAGCAGGTGACTGCTTCCCTGCCCCACGACGCCGTGTATTGCGCTCTGGTGATTACCATTGCGCCGCCCCATCGAGTTGGTCGCAAACGTCGTCCGCGCTTCGGAACAGCTGGAAAGAAACGCATGGAAAGGGAGCCACGGGGAACAAACCGCTCTGGCTTGCTTCCGCCGGCCTCGGGCTTCAGCAGATGCCACTGGAGCGCATCATTCTCCGCTCGCGATGAACCTTTGAGTCTCAAGACACCGCGGGACACGCGCGTGCGCGCCGCCCCTCGCACACCGCCGCTAACGCGTGGCAAGCTTGTGCGCCAATGTTTGCAGGAGAAGTCGTTCATATCGCGCGTTGACGACACCCGATATGTAGTCAACAAGGGTTTCGTGGATGGCATGAACGTTCCGGGAACGTTCTACGTGAACAGCAACCTGTCCCCGCTCCTGTTCGAGGAGCTGCAGCACTTCTGTGCGCGCGGCGAGGTGGGACGCGCGCCCGGTCGACGCCGCAGCGGCGCCCCGCGCAGCCCGCCGTCCACGACTGCGCCGCCGCACGCCGCTCACGCCGCCACCCGCGCCCCGCCCGCCCTCGCAGCACGGCGGCTTCCTGCCCGCCGTCAAACAGCTGGCGAACGTCGCGGCGCTCCCGGGCATCGTGCGGCACTCCATCGCCCTCCCGGACGTCCACTCGGGGTACGGCTTCGCGATTGGGAACGTCGCGGCCTTCGACATGGACGACCCGAACGCGGTGGTGTCCCCCGGGGGTGTTGGGTTTGACATCAACTGCGGCGTGCGGCTGATCCGCACGAACCTGCACGAGCGGGACCTGGAGGGCCGGCGCGAGGAGGTCGCGCAGTCGCTTTTCGACCACATCCCCGTCGGCGTGGGCTCGCAGGGCATCATCCCGACCACGGCGGCGGACCTGGGGTGCGCGCTGGAGATGGGGATGGACTGGTCGCTGCGGGAGGGGTACAGCTGGGCGGAGGACAAGGAGCACTGCGAGGAGTACGGGCGGATGTTGAGCGCGGACCCGTCGAAGGTGTCGCTGCGGGCCAAGAAGCGCGGGCTGCCGCAGATGGGCACGCTGGGGGCGGGCAACCACTACGCGGAGGTGCAGGTGGTGGACGAGATCCACGACGAGTGGGCGGCGCGGAAGATGGGCATCGAGTTCCCCGGGCAGGTGTGCGTGATGATCCACAGCGGGTCGCGCGGGCTGGGGCACCAGGTGGCGACGGACGCGCTGGTGCAGATGGAGCGCGCGATGGCGCGGGACGGGATCCACACGAACGACCGGCAGTTGGCGTGCGCGCGCATCCAGTCGCAGGAGGGCCAGGACTACCTGGCCGCGATGGCGTGCGCGGCCAACTACGCGTGGGTCAACCGCTCCTCGATGACCTTCCTGGTGCGGCAGGCGTTCGCGAAGCTCTTCAACTCGCCGCCCGACGACCTGGACATGCACGTGGTGTACGACGTGTCGCACAACATCGCCAAGGTCGAGGAGCACATGGTGGACGGGCGGCCCAAGCGCCTCCTCGTGCACCGCAAGGGCTCCACGCGGGCCTTCCCGCCGCACCACCCGATGATCCCCGTGGACTACCAGTTCACGGGGCAGCCCGTGCTCATCGGCGGCACCATGGGCACGTGCAGCTACGTCCTCACGGGCACCGACAAGGGCATGCAGGAGACCTTCGGGTCGACCTGCCACGGCGCGGGGCGGCAGCGCTCGCGGAACAACTCCCGCATCAAGCTCGGCTACGAGGTGCGCGGGCCCGCCGGGTGGCGCGCCGTTGCGGGCCGCAGCGCGCGCGAGACCTCACTCGACACGCGGTGCGCTGCTGTGTGTGTGTGCAGGAGGTGCTGGAGAGTCTGAAGACCAAGGGGATCTCGATACGCGTGGCGTCGCCGAAGCTCGTGATGGAGGAGGCGCCCGAGTCCTACAAGGACGTGTGCGACGTCGTGCAGACCTGCCACGACGCCGGCATCTCCAAGATGTGCGTCAAGCTGCGGCCGGTCGCGGTCGTCAAGGGGTAGCGGCTGTGACGCGCTGCTGCCTGGTAGCCCGTCGCCCGGGTGCGCGGGGAAGGGCGGTGTTGGGCCGTGCCCGCACACATGACGCACTCTGTTAACCCCCCCGATGTTGACATGTTGGCCATGCGCGTATTCCGTGGCCGCTAGACCGAGGTATGATCCCTTTTCGCATGACAGGCCACGCGCGGGGGACGGCGATGACGAGGAGAGCTGAGTAGCCGTCGGCGCGTCGCCACACAACGCGGACAATGCCGCAGACTCAGTCACCGCTGTCACCCAGCCGGCTGCCGACACCCCCTGGTACAAGCAGCCTAGGACGTGGACCAGCACTTCGGCGCGTCGGCTGGCGGGCGTCGTCCAGTACTCGCGCGGCTCGCCGCGTTGTTGCTGACGACGCCCGCCACTCACTCTAACTGATTGCAGGTCAGAGCCTTCCCTTGGCACATGATGGCACGCTCACATGGCATTTCGCGCGAGTACTCCTAGCACGCTGCCGCCTTGATCAGGACGATAGCACACCCGCATTTCATTTCGTGCGCGGGTGGTCAATTACTACTCTGTGTTGGGGAGTGGGGCGCAGCTGCAGCAAGGGTGGGGGGGGTGGAGTCGGGGCCGCGTGTACGGGCGTGGGGCAGCGTTGGTCCGCGTGTAGGCCGAGGCAGAGCAGTCGCGTGGTTCAACGCAGGTGGTCATGCGATTCGCGTACCGCGCTCCCGCCGCGGGGCACGGCTCGCCCTGCGAGCAGCGCCCAAGGCTGACCGGGGCGCAGCGTGCACTGACGTGCGTGCCGCGCGTGTCTCCGGCCAAGTCTGCGTTCTCGCGCACAATCCCTGGCGAGCCGGTCTGCAAGGGACCCGTGCGCGCCCTCGCCGCCGACCTCAGGAGCCCACAAGCAGCGTCTGATGCATTTTCGACTCTGCTGCAAGAGGTGAGCTGGACGGCGCGTTCAACGACACTCCCTGCATACACGTGACTATCTCCATCTCGGAACGTCGCCATCGTTACGCCCTGGCTGGCGGGGGTCGCCGTTCGGATGGATGGTGACCCTCCGAAGCTCCAACGCTGGAGGCGCACGATCGCTGCATGAGCCCTCAAGACGCGCGCGGCGATGTCTCAAGGCTGACGTCAACGTCGTGTCGCGACCAAATCGTTGCGATGAAGCGCGCCGGTGACGGCCCACGGCCTCCCCTTGGTCGTGTCCCTGTGCAGGCGGGCGGTGCGGGCGTGGTGGAGCTGCGGGAGGACGCGGAGTGGGGCAGGGGCCTTTTCGTGACGGAGAACATTAGCAAGGGGCAGGCGATCCTGAGTGTGCCGCTCGAGGCTTGCATCGTGACGACGTCTGAGGGTGGATTCCAGGTGCTGCCCGCTGGACCCCCCTGCGGGGCGTGAGATGCCCCAGCATGCCCACCTCTGACACGATGATGCATCGAGCTTCAGTTTACGGTCACAGCACAACCTCAGATCGCCGTGGCGAGAACGGTGTTCGACTTGCAACCTGTGCAGGGCCCGGACGGCGAATACGCGCTGGTGAGGAAGTTCTGGGTGGACATGGACCTGGACCTCCCGTGGTACATCATTCAGGCGCTCGCCCTGGTCGACTGCATGCAGGTCCGCGCCCCGGCCGCCTCTCCGACCCCACTCTTCACACGGCGAGTGCCAGTCGCAACACCTACTCAGTTCAACTGCGACCCCGACCCGTTCCCGCAGGGCACCGGTTCGGACGCCCTCGCGCAGTACGCGCGCACGCTGATGCCGCGCCCCAGCGAGCTCGCCCACCCGTTCCTGCTCGACGAGGAGCTGCGCGCTGAGTTCCGCCACCCAGAGCTGCAGCGGGCCGCGGAGGCACAGCGCGAGCGGCTGCGCGAGATCTTCGGGCCGGACATGGTGCCGGACGTGGGGCCCTCGCTGCTGCTGTGGGGCTTCGCGTGCGCGCGGTCCCGCGCGATGGCCACGCGCTCGCGCACCGCGGCCGGGAACGAGGCGGAGCAGGCGGGCGGCGAGGAGATGTTCGTGTTCCCGCCGTTCCTCGACCAGGCGAACCACGACCACAACCCGAACTGCGACTTCCGCGTGTCGCCCTCCGGGGAGGCGATCGAGCTGTTTGCCGTGCGCGCCATCAAGGCCGGGGCGGAGGCGACCATCTCGTACACGGGGCCGCAGGGGCAGCCGAACCAGCGGCTGATGGCGCAGTACGGCTTCGTGCCGCTCAACGGCAACCCGGGGGACCGGATTCCGGACTTGAAGGACGTTGTTGTGGAGGGGGCTGCAGGGCTGTGCGGGGCGCGGCTGCAGCGCGTGATCGGGGACCAGGCGTGGATGGACATGGCTGCGGGGGCGTCCGCGGAGGGCAACCGGCTCGCTGCGGTGCTGCGGTCGCTGCCCGTCGCGGGTGATGCGCAGGAGGGGGAGGGCCCGGCGGAGGACGCGGACGTTGCGCTGGTCGACGCGATCCGCGAGGAGTGCGAGGCGCGACTGGACGTGATGCGCCGCGTCGGGAGCGTGGAGGAGGACGCGCGGCTGCTGGGCGAGCTGCGAACGAGTGACCCGCGGCGGTGGTGGGCCGTGGTGTACCGCAGCGAGCGGCGCGCGCTGCTGGAGCGGGCGGTCGCGCTGCTCAAGGCGTACAAGAAGGCGATGACGCCCCTCGCAGGCTGACACTCCGCCCCCGCTCTGCGTCGGTAAAAGTAGAAGGCAGACCGTCTGGCACTGTCGACCGCCCACCACCCGTCCACCTGGATGTGACTGACTAGACTGGAACCAACGCGCTGAGCGAGTCTGCCGTGCATGTATCAAACTTGATGAGGCGCGCGACGCGGGAGAGTTGAGACTGCGTAACAGAACAGGACATCTTGCGACCACCGCTGCTGCGAGCGCCGACGTCACTTCCGCGCGCGCTTCGCGTTGGGGTTCAAGCTGCTGCTCGTGCGCTTGCCCGCCGCGGTTTGCCGCCCCGTCGCGGCCCCGCCCGGCGCGTCCTCCGAGAGCATCGCGTACTTGCTCGACCCGTCCGTGACCTGCGACGGCGCGATCCCGCGGCCCTGCAGCAGCACGTACGGCGCGGACGTCTTCTCCGCCGCGATCCGCATCGCCGCGGTGCTCTTGTCCGCGTTGACCCCCGTCGCGATCTTCCGCGCGCGCAGCTCCTCCACAACCTTCTCCGTGCGCCGCTCCAGCTTCTTCTTCCCGGACCCGTACCCGTGGAACTCGTGGCACAGCTTCCGCCACGCCTCCTTGGGCGTCAGCACGCGCCCGAACTCGTCCAGCTTCCGCAGCGCCGTCTCGATGCGCTCGTCCGTCTGGTCGCCCGACCCGTCGCCGAGCATCGCGCGCGCCGCCTCCGCCATCAGCACGCGGTCCTTCCGCGTGTCGTTCGTCCGCCCGCTCCACTCCACCTTCTGCTTCAGCCCGCCCGTGTCGCGCAGCATCCCCAGCGCCGCACCCAGCCCGCGCCCCAGCTTGCCCTCCCCGATGCCCGCCGCCTCCGTCTGCGGACCGCCGTCCGCCTCCGTCTCCTTCTTCCGGAACGACCGCCCCTTGCCCTCCCGCTTCTCCCCCTCGCCGCCCGCCTCCTCCATCTCCACGTCCTCTTCCTCGCGCACCCCACTCGGACCGGCCTCGTCGCCAGGCTTGTCCGTCGCCGCGCTCGCGCCCACGTCGATGCCGTTCACGAACTCCACCGCGCTGCTGAACACCAGCTCGCCCTTCCGCCCGCCCGCCTCCCCCGCCGGCCCCTCGTCGTCCCGCCGCGACCCCACCAGCTCCCGCACCGCGTCCTCGCCGACGGCCTTCCCGCTCCGCTTCTTCAGCGCCTGCGCCCGCTGCTCCGCGATGGACGCGTACAGCTCGTCCTCGTCCGCGCCGACCACGTCCTCGCCCATGCTCGGCTTCAGCGCCAGCGACGCGTAGTTGGCCTTCTCCAGCGCGCGCGCGTACCGCCGCTCCTTCGCCGCCTTCTCCTCCTCCGCCTCCCGCTCCCGCGCCTGCATGCGCCGCTCCCGGTCCGCGCGGCTGCCCAGGTCCGCGCCCGGCGCCTCCCCCGCCTCCTGCGCCAGCTCCGCCACCAGGTCCGACGTGTCGCCGTCCTTCTTCCGCAGCTTCCTGTCCTTCTTCTTCTTCTTCCGACGGTTCCTGATCTCCGCGAACTTCTCCAGCTCCTCTTTCGTGTAGTAGTCCGCCGACGCCCCCGCGTCCCCAACCTCGACCGCCGCCGACTGCTGCGCCGCCGCCTGCTTCAGCTTCGCACGCATCTCCTCGCGCTGCCGCTCCGCCGCAGCGACCCCGCCGTCCGCGTCGATCTCCATGCCGTCGTCGTCCCTCCCGGGCTCGTCGTAGTGCGCCAGCAGCCCCCGCGGCTCCTCGTCGAAGTCCGGGTTGTACGACATCCCGACACCGCCTGTCGCCACCTTGCCCTTGGCCGCGCGCCGCGCCTCCAGCCGCTTCTTGTCCTCCTGCTTCAGCAGGTCAACCAGCGCGTCGTCCCCGTCTTTCAGGTTGCCCTTGTCGTCCAGGATGCTGGTGTCCTCCAGAGTCAAAATCGCCGTCTCGCCCTCCACGATGTCGTTCACGCCGTGCTTGACCTTCATGCCAGCAAGCTGCTCCGACGCGTACGCGCCCCCGTCCGCGTCCGCGTCCTCGTCGGCTGCGCAGCAAAGGGTGACAACGCAGTGAGTGGCGCAGGGAGCGGCAGAAGCCGGCGCAGGAGCACCTGGCGCGGCTCCGAGGCGGGCAGCGTAGCTGCGGGCAGCGGCAGCACACCTTCAGAGGCGCGTTTCTTCCGCGGCACACTTGCAGGGGGGGTCTTCTTGGGGGCAGGGGCGGTGCTCTGCTTTACGCGGCTCTTCTGGACCCACGCGGCGATGTCGTCCTCGTCGCTGTCTTCGTCTGCGAGGCCTTTGGTCGCCTGCAGCAGCGTGCCCGTCGCACACGCGCGACAGGGTTGACATTGCAAAGAAGTACGCGTCGGTGGGCGGTGCGCACAGGCGCACGCGCGGCATAGCCGCATTCAAGCACGACACGCCCAGGTGATTTCGCTGCGGGTTCGAGCGGTGCCGTTGCCTCGGCGAGGCACACAGGCTCCTGGGTCATGGGACGAACCTTCAGCTTCGCTTCGTGTTCGCGCTTCTCGCGCATCAGTCGCAGCTTCTCTTTGATACTCTCAGCCTCCTTCGCTTTCTCCCGGCCTTCAGCGAGCTCTCGGCCACGCCTGCGGTCAGGGGGAGGCCCGGTGGCTTTGCCGCACTGCAGAAACAGGCGGTGAGCGTCTGCCAGCCTAGTCCCTGCTCTTCCAGGCACACCCTGTGGACCCGCTGGAGCAGTTTCTGACAAGTTGGCAGCTCCACGGCCTCGCGACGCGGGCAGCGTACCGGTGCTCGTCCTTGGCCTTGTCCGCAGCGCCGGAGCCTCCCATCTTCAGCGGCTTGAGCCCCAACTTGGCTCGCATCCTGCAGACAGAAGCGCAAGAACGCCTTGTACCCGTCAGAGACGTGTGACTCGTCCAGTTTCACTCGGAGGACGGTCTTGGCGGGCGCGTAGCAGCTGCTCCGGCAACCAGCAGCGTAGATTGCTCCTCAAGGGGGCCTTCGTCGACTCTGACCTGTTGGTCTCCTCGATGGACATACTGATTTCGCTCTGACCGTCCCCCCCTCCCCCCGGACCCCCTCCGACGTCCGCCATCTTCGCAGGAGTGCAGCGAGCAACAGCAAAGTGGTCCCCTCGCTGCCCTGGTGACCGGTGTGGGACACGGAGAGCTGCTCTGGGCAGCAGAATGCCACACAGTAGCGCCGCAGCGCGGCATCATAGCGCCTGAGCTCCCACAGAGGGCCACATGGCCAACACAAGTGTACTCGAGTCAGGTGCCTCGACAACATCCCCCTTGCATGAAGGGCGGCGCTGCCGTCTCGGCGACCCATCGCACTTGCGTCGCGCGTCGCGGCGGAGGTCAGGAAGCGCCGACCCTGCGGCCGGCTGCGCGAAACACAGCAGACACAGTGTGTCTTGCCTTACAGCCCTGCGTCGTGGCTCGTCGCTGACCATCGTCGCCGAATGACCGCCTCCGTGGCCATGTAACCTGGCTGCGCAGGGCCGTCATGTCTCGCATGTAACCACGGTACGCGCAGTCACGCCGGCATAGCAAACACACCTTGCCCTCGAAATGCTGCTGCCCTCGCGCAGCTCCGTATCCCCAGCCCTTCCACATCATGCCCCCTGGACCCCCGTGCCAGAAGATGCGTTGCCGATCTTCTGCAGCCGCCGCTGCATCTCGAGCGTCATGTTGGCCTTCTTCACTCCACCGTCCCGCAGCTTGTGGACAGACGCGACCACCTGACCGGCTCCGGCCGCAGCTGGCCTCCCCAAGCAAGCAGGGAGCTTGCTGCGCCCAAGACGGCGCACGGGTGCAAGAAGCCGTGACTGCACCCCGTTCATCGCAGGTGGCTGTTTGCCGTCGCTGGTCGCGCCGTCCGCCCCGGAGAGCGACGTGAGATCCACCACCTGCGCGACGCAACATCAACGCACAGATCCGGAACATGAGGTGCAAGAGCGATCCGTTCAGAGCGATTTGGTACTGGGATTTCAGCCAAGGGCCCCGCAGCAACGGGGGTTGCGAGCGGCTGCTGTGCAGTGAGCTTGACCGGCTCACCTCAGAAATGCCCGGCCTTGCAGCCTCGGACTGCGGTGCAGGTGGCGCAGTGTCAAGCTCGTTCGCAGTCTGCGTCTGGGTTCCTACGTCCACTGCGCGAGTCATTGCGCGCTTCTCGTCTAGAATCGACTTGAATTCGCGCAGCTCGTTTTTCATGGACGCAACAGCAGCCGCAACGTCGCGCTTGAGGTCCGTGATCGACGCGACGAGCTCATCTGTGCCCGTCTCGTTGGCATTGGCCATCCCGTTCCGAGCCAGGCCTGAGACCTCGCTGGTCACCAGCTCCCTGATGTCATCCATCATAGAACTTCCGAAGCTCGCAAAGCAGTCCTGAATCTGCAGCCAGGCGCACGAGGTATCGACCCAAGATGGATACGTTGCAGCTGCGACGGGACGTTGCCTCCCGCTCCCGCAAGAAACATGCGCATCGTACCAGCATGAGTCCCTCCGTGACTGCGGTGTTGACGGTTGGGGTCGGGCGGTCCACGGCCTCACGGGGTGCCGCCGTTCGCAGTGGCTTTCCTGTGGTCGTTGGCTTGCATTTCCGGGCAGGCAGGGGCACTCCGTGAAGTGCGGTCGACTGCGATGGCTGCGTCTGGTCTTGAGCGCTGGGAGGTGGTCGCGGAAATCGCGGCGGACCTGGCTGGCTGCCGTGCAGCAGTTCGGTTGGACTGCACCCGACCGGAGGAGCGTCTGCCTGCGAACTGGACCCCAAAAGCCCGAAGACCTTCCTGCGAAGTGTGTTACGATGACCGGTGTTGGTGGCCGGGAGGCCGGCGAGACGGAGGGCAGTCGCGTGGCCCTTCGGCTCGTATTCTCCAGCGCTCGCTCACCTCGCGCTCCCAGAGGCGTCGAAGCCAAATCCGTTGCCAATCATGCTGTTGAGCGATACGTCATGTGTACCGAGACGTTCGTTCTCTGGTTCTCCGTACGTGGACCGATGGCGTTCTGTGCTGAAGTGAACAGGACACTGCGCACGCCGTCCAGGCGCTTGCGGCGGTGAGGTTACGACAGCTTCCGCCGTGTAGTGATAATTGCGCTTGTCTCCGGGAACACTTGGCTGCGCCCCCGAGCGGCCCACGCTCACCGAGGGGGTGTTTGACAGCTGACTGGCGCAGTATAACTGGCAGCACGTCGGCGCAATGATGGCTGCGTCGGCACAGCTCCGGGCGCACAGCAGCCAGCGCCGTGAGCTGCTCGTTCGCCTCGCGTGTTCTCCGGTGAACCGTCGGCGCTGCTGAATTCGGTGCAGCTGGCATGGTGCAGTAGAGGCGTCGGGGAAGTGTCGTCGAGCGCCGTTGATCCCTTTCAGAAGACAGGATGCCTCCCGTCAAGCGCATTCCTTCGGTCCCAAACAAAAAGAAGCGCCACCAGAAGCGGCGGAAGGATGCTGGGGGGAAGAAGGCGCAGCGGGAGGGCAGGTGCGCTCGTTGAAGGCCGGATCATGAAGTTTCGGACGTGACCTTGCCCGTAATCGCACGGATTCAAGTCACTCTCTCGATCGCGTGGCACCCACGTTCGCGTTGGCGAAGGTGGCGGTCAGATTTCCACCGAAAACAACCTGCAGCAAGCTTTTCGCAGCTCACGCCGCACCGCCACGTCTTTTCTTGTCATTCAGACGTTGATGACGTAAATTTTCATCCAATTGGTCATGAGCCATGTCAGATTTGGGGTCTATTCCGGAAGAAGCGGGGCTCTGAAGCCACAGAAGCAGCTGTGTTAGCTCACCGCTCGCGCGAGGCGACACTCGAATGAATGCAGGAGCTTTTTTGGCATGATTGGCATCGTCACGGGGATCGTTGCGGCAGGCATCATGGGCTTCTTGTATCAACAGAAGCAGGCAAGCACGCGTGTTGGCACTCAGTGACTTCCGTCATCGCCGTGAGCCCGGGCCATCTCACGGTGCCCGCGCTGCTGCTCGACGGGCTCTCCTCGAGCCCGCGCCGCGCCCTCGCCGGGGCTGTTCACCCTCGCCGCCGCTCAATCGACTCCTTGCAGGATAGAGAGCTGGAGGCGGAGGACCGGCGGATCCTGAAGCGGATGTTGAGGACGCCGCTGCAGTGGACGGACCACGGAGTGTGCCGCATGGACTGCCGACACATCTCGGAGAAGGAGGTCATTGACACGCTCAGGACGGGGCGAATCAACCGGCGGAAGTCGGAGATGAGGTGCGGGCGCCCGTCGCACGCAGGCGGCGGAAACATGCAGCACGACGCACGGACATCCCTCTGCTCGGCTGACCGGCACGCCCGCGCGGAGGCGCCAGACAGTGTCATCAGGAGCGACGTCACCGGTAGCTGAGCTGTTCCGCACGCTGCGCGCGCCCTCGCACGTGCTGACGCGCGGAGACAGCTCCGCTGGGGTGCAGGTCGCGGCCGTGTCCGAAGTACGTCGTGGACGCGCGGGTTGGCGACGCGAAGAGGAAGAATGTCCAGTGTGTGTTCAGCGGCTGTGCGGACGTGACGCGCGTCGTCACGGTCATCGACAAGGACTTCGACTGGCCGTGCGGGGCGTGCTGATGCCGCGGGGCGCGCAGGTCGCGGTGCGGCGTGGCGCTGTGACGCGGAAACGCAAGGTTGTGTGCTGTAGCGCATCCGGGGGGGAAGACCGGCCCGTCCGACCCGTGACGGAGGACCCCGGGCAGCCCGGGGCAGCCCGTACGCCTTTGCTGCGGCCGCGGCGTGCGCTGCCGCATTCTCTGGCGACGCCTGGGCGGCCTCGAGACGACATCGCTGCGCGAGTCCACCTTCGCGCATGCACCACCGCGCCGTGGAGGCGACCACGCTGCACCGCTGCGGGCGAGAAGCGAGGTTCCGGGTGGACATAGCAGTTGTATGCTGAGGCAAGTGCCACGAGGGTCGTGCACGCGCTACCCGCAGCGGATCAACGTCGGGTGTCCCGAGCAGCTGTGGCTCGTGCGCGGGGTGAAGGGAAACGTCATTTGGTATGCCTACGTGGGCAACATGTACATTTGGTGTAGATCGTGCGCGTCACTGCCCTGTACTCCTCGCGTGAACCGCAGCTGAAGAGAAACACGGCAACAAGTGCATCACTTGGCGCAATCGTAGCCCCGCCATATTCGCGAAGGGTACGGGACGGCGGGCCACGAACCCTTCGCCATCCAATAGCTAGGCAACATGTCGGCAGGTAGGCCCCAGGGCAGTGCTCGGGCCGCGCCTTGCCGGCAGCGCCAGCATGCACCTGGTGTCTCTGTCCATGCGCCTGTAGCTTCGCGGTTCGCCACTCTCGCGGCGTCTCCTTTGCCCACGTTCGACGAGACGTGTCTTCTCTGATCGCAGGACTCGAGGCATTCGCCTCTGAGGACGACCTGGCCTGGGCAGCGCCCGCAGAAGGTGGTGGCGAGGACCTGCCGCCCATGGACCCCGCGCCGCAGGCCGAGGACGGCGACGCGGAGGACCTCCACGACCTCCTGATCAGCAGGGACGGCGACGCGGACGAGGCGCCCGGCGAGGACGTCGGCGACCCTCCCCAGGAGCCGCAGGAGGCGGACCTGGGAGAGGAGAGCGGGTTGGGCTGGCTGCGCGACGACAGCGCGGGGCAGGCCGACGACGGCGAGCCGGCGGCCGAAGAGTCCGACCCGGCGTCGGAGCAGGTCGTTCGGGACGCGGCACCCGCGCCCCCGGGCGAGCCCGAGGAGGCGGATGCACTCCCCGGGCTGGACGTCGGGGCGAACGACGCTGCGGAAGGCGACGGGGGCGTCGAGTCACCCGCCGCGCCGTCGCCGCCCGGCGCGCCCTCTTCGTCGGCCGCAGACCCGCCGTCCGACGCCCCGCCCGCTCAGGACGCGCGCAGCAGTCCAGAAGCTGCAATGCAGCCGGACAGCGCTCCGGCAGAGCCCCAAGGCGCTGTCGAGGAGCCGGATGGCGCCGCGGAGGAGCCGCGAGGTGCTGCAGGGGGGTCGGACGGCGTCGCGGAGGAGCCGAACGACATTGCTGCTACAGGGGAGCCCGGCGCTGCGGAGGAGCCGGAAGACACCGCAGCTGCCCAGCCGCACGCGGAGCCGGCCGGCGCCGCGCCGTCGTCTGGGAAGCCTGGCGGCAGCTCGGCCGGCGGCGGCGACTCCCCCGCAAAGGAGGACGACAACCTCCTGGCGATTCTGGGCTTCGGCAGCGGCAAGGCGCCCGCCGACAGCCCGCCCGCGGCCAGCGCGCCCCAAGCCAGCCCTGCTCCGGAGTCGCCGGCGAGACAGTCGCCGACTGCGCCCGCGCCCACTGCCAGCGAGTCGCCGCGGATTGCGTCTGGCGCCCGGAAGGCGGGCAGCAAGGGCAGCAGCGGCAGGTCCAGCAGAGCAGCCGCGGCGGCGGCGGCGGCGGGCCACGGCGCGTCCCCGCGGCTGTCGGGCAAGTCGGGCCCCGGAGCACTGAACGCCGAGGCCTCGCAGTCGAGTGTCGGGACCTCGACGTTCTTCGGGGGCGCGGAGGACATCACGGACATCTACCGGACGCTGCGATCGAGCGGCGGGTGGCAGCCGGTGCCGGAGCGCGCGCAGGGGACCGTGCGGAAGGGCATGTCGCGCCTGGGCCTGCTGGGAAGCGCCCCCGCACCGGCGGCGCACGAGGCGGCGCTGCCGGAGAACATCGAGCTGGACTCCGACATCATACCCTCGGACAAGGCGGAGTCGGAGAAGGAGATACCGCGCGGCCTGGACAGCGCGCGGCGGCGCCGCATGTACGCCGACGTGGGCAAGAGCCCGCACCGCCCGCACGAGCCGACATTCGACAGTACGCAGTACAGGTGCGACCCTCCGCCGCGCGCTGTCGCGTGCGTCCGTTCTCGAGCGAACGTGCCCTGACCGCCTTCGTCCCTCCCTGTTGCTGTTGCGTGAGTGCAGTGAGCCCGTGGTGCTCACCTCCGACACGAGCCGCCGTCCCGCGAGCGCGAGAGTCAAGACCAAGAAGGCGAACGACGTTCTCAGGGGTGCGACCGCCCGCGAGCCGACTCCGCCCGCAGCGAACCGTCGCGCCCTGCCAGCCCGTCACCAACGTGCCCCGCCCCCCGCGCACGCAGGCATCTCCATGCCGTTCCTGCCGCACTTCACGCCCGGTCCCGGGGCGTACGATGTCACGGGGCGGACGCGCTTCGGCATGCCGTCGAAGGTGGCCACCAAGTTCACCACCAGCGGGCGCATCCTGGACAAGGAGCTCTCGCAGTTCAACGAGAGCCCCGGCCCGATCTACAAGCACACGCACCCGGAGGCCATCGCGGTGCACCGCACGTGCCCGCGCTTTGCGTTCGGGTCCGACGCCAAGGGCGCGCGCTACTCGGTCAAGCGCACCGTCATGTACAACCGGTTCTCCAACGGACCCATGTACAACCCCGGACCCGCGTACGGACAGGACATGGGCCGCACGGGCTCCAAGCTCCTCCACGGCCCGAGGTTCACCATGCCCAAGTCCGCGCACACCGCCCCTCACGAGTCGGTCTCAGGCACCAGGTGCGCACCGGCTCCCCCTCCTCGCCCGCCCGCGTGTCGGCGACCGCACGCACGCGCGACGCGGCGCCCACCTGCGCCGCGCCCGTGCGCCGCCGCCGCAGGTACCTCGGCCCGGGCCACGAGCGCGAGAACCTCGGAGTGCACTCCCCCGGCCCGGGGACGTACCAGGTGCCCGAGCGCCCGAACACGTCGCTGCACGAGGGCAGCGTGGCGTTCACGATGCGGCCGAAGGGCCAGCCGCAGATGGACGCGGACGTGGCCCGGCTGGCGAGCAGTTCGCCCGGTCCGAAGTACATGCACCAGGTGCACTACAAGAAGCTGGACCGGCCGCTGGGGCAGAACGAGCGGCACCGGTACACGTTCGGGAAGGGCCAGCTGCGCGACCGGCCGTACGAGCGCCTGTCCGCGTCGGTGTACATCTCGGAGCACCACTCGGCGGTGTCCAACTACGGGCTGCACTCCCCCGGGCCCAAGTACAACCCGGACAAGAGCCAGAGGGCCGTGCCGCCGCCGCACGTGCCCTCGCCGGCGTTCTCGATGTCCGGACCCCTCGACCGCTTCTACACCAGGGCGCAGCCCGGGAGGATGTGAGCATGCCGAACACGGTGGTCAAGTGCTTCTTTGCGTGCTCGCGGGGCCGGAAACGTCGCCTTGCCGGTGCCTGACGGAGGTGCGCGCTGTCGGCTGCTGGGGCGCAGGCAGTGCGGCTGCGCTTGTGGGCGACAGGGGTTCGTGCGCACACTGAATCAGTCTGTCGGGCTGTTCAGGAGTGTGGCTGTGTGCTCGCCGGCAATATGGCCCCGCTGAGCTGCCTCGGCTGGCTGATACGATCTCGTCGTAGTTTCCGTTTGATACAACGCGATTTCAGCACGTCTAGATCAGCGTCCCGGGACCGCGTTTGAAGGCCGGCAGCTTCCGTGCGCCTGGCCGCGGCCCCCTTGCAGCTCGCTCCGCGCCATGGACACCAACCGGCCACATTGATATATAGGCCGTGAGTAGCACATAGCGTTAGGACAGTGAGGGGCTTGGGACGGGGAAAATGGCGACCAAAGCAAAGCTCCCGCCACCCTCCGAGGTGAGTCGCCGCGCACCGGCCGCTCGCGGACCTCGCACCGGGCCTGGCGTCGCCCACCCGCTATGTTGCGGAGCCACGTCGTCCACGCCAGCGTCACTGGCATCATGCGCGCCCCTGGCCCCAGCACGGCGACGCCAGCTGTGCTGAGACCCAATACCCGCTGCGCCGAGGCGCCCGCGGCGGCCACGACGGCTTGCCCCCTCTGAACGCACCGTTCATCCACCGGACAACACCGCGGCGAACCGCTTGCAGGGTTTGGTGGACATGCGGCGCGAGCATGTGCCAACAGGTGGGCGGGAGAACTTCAGGGTCTTCGAGGCGCTGGGGTCCGACGGCGTGCTCTCCGTGGAGCCGGCCGTGGTCCTGTTCGAAGGGTTCACGGCCCGGAAGACCGCGCGGCGGAAAATCCGCATCGTGAACACGTCGAAGCGCGGCACGCGCTACGTGATGCATGCGCCGCCGCCCGAGAGCAACTTCAAGGTCTCCCTCGCGAGCAAGAAGGGCCGCCTCGCGCCGGGCATGGCCGACGAGATCGAAATCACCTTCCACGTGCGGCCCCCGCCCGACCCGCCCGCCCGCTCACCGCGCGGCGCCCCTCATCCCCAGTGGCCCGCTCCCGCGCCGCCCACGCGCACTCTCCGGCCCCCGCTGCACGCCCCCGCCCCTCCCGCAGCCCTCAGGACGCTCCAGCGCCCATCACCGCCCCCACCGCGCCCACACGCCCGCCCCCTCCCTCCCCCCGCAGAGCGACAAGTACGAGGACTACACCGACATGATCGGGCTCGAGTGCGAGGGCACGAACATCGCGATCCCGCTGCACGCGTTCCCCGCCCCGCCGGACCTCTCGAAGCAGGTCCCGCGCACGATCGACTTTGGGCTGTGCGCCGCGGGGCGCTCCTACACGCGCAGCATCACGCTGCGCTCCGGCCCGGGCCCGAGCCACGCGTTCGAGGTCCTGTGCGCGAACCCGACGCCGGAGATCACGATCGAGCCGTCGTCGGGCATCATCCCGGGCGACGACAGCACTTACATCATGGTGACGTACACGCCGGCGACGCTTGCGACGGCCAGCTGCGACATCGACATCCTCGTGCCCTCGCACCGCGGGGCCAAGCCCGTGCCGTGCCGGATCTTCGGGAGCGGGGCGCCTGGCGCCGCGCGCGAGGAGGCGCTGGAGGGCATCACGGGCACGCGGCAGCCGACTGCGGCGCTGTCGCTGGCGTCGCTCGAGGGCCGCGACCAGCTGGACGAGCCGCTGGTGCCGCCGGGCGGGGGCGCGGGCGGCGGCGACGCGTACACGCGCATGGTGTACAGCCGCACGCAGCGCCGGTCGTTCCTGAAGAGCCAGTCCGCGCGCGGCGGCGTGGCGGGCATCAAGCTCAAGCCGCTCGTGCAGAAGCCGCGCGAGCCGGGCGTGGAGTGGCAGGGCACGACGGTGACGCACGCGACGCTCAAGCCCGGCGCCATTGGCGAGGTGAACCAGCTGCTGATGGAGCGGCCGGGGCGCCTCACGCTCCGCTCGCTCCACGAGGCCGTCGAGGAGAAGCAGCGGCAGCACATGGCTTTCGCCAAGCGGCTGGACAACCTGGCCGGCGGCGACGGCCTGTCGCGTGCGGGGTCGGGGCGCGCCCTGTCGCGCGAGCAGAGCAACGACTTCGCGCCGAAGCAGCCCGGGATGCGCAACTTCGCGGCGCTGAAGCGCGCGTCTGCGCTGGACGACCCGGGTCTGGACCACATGATGAAGGCGGAGTTGTTCGAGAAGATGTTCGAGGAGAGTCTGGAGCTGGTGCGGTTCAAGGACCTGCGCGGGGGCACGGCGAACATCGGGGAGCGGCTGATGACGGACTTCGAGGACGACCTGTTCGCGAAGCGCGTGGCGGAGATGGAGCATGTGGCCGAGGAGCGGCAGCGGGACATGGCGCTGGCGCGGAACAAGCCGGCGACGTCGGGGGAGCCCGCGCTGTGGCTGATCGACGGCGCGCCGCTGACGCAGGAGGAGGTGAACCCGGGGACGGAGCCCAGCGCCCCGCCGAGCAAGAGCAAGCGCAGCAAGAGCCCGTCCAAGAAGGACAGGAGCGGGCCCGCGCCGTACGTGCCGTCGTTCACGCCGTACGAGAACGACTCGTGGAACATGCGCTGCCTGGTCGTCGACCGGTTCAAGGCCGCCGTGCGCCGCGCGATCTACCGGTACCGCGCGGGGCGGCGGCTGCAGCGCCTGAACAAGTTCCTCGACGGGGCCGGGCGCAACCGCGAGCAGGTCGCGAAGATCGGCGAGAAGATGCTGAAGATGGCCGGCGAGGAGGCCGTGGGCGCGGCGGTGCAGATCGACCTCCGCGAGGCGCTCAAGGACACCACGGTCATGCCCTCGGTGCTGCCGTCGTTCCGGCACCGCAAGTTCCAGGGCCGCGCGGAGCCCGTCGGGCTCATGCAGCCCGCGGACTGGGACGAGCTCCCCGTGCTGGACCTGATGGTGCCGACGCGGTACAAGCTGATGGGGTACACGCAGGTGCCGTTCGAGACCTGCGTGGACTACATGGACCGCGCGCTCGACCAGCCGCTCCTGCAAGGCGCCGAGGAGGAGGCCTCCTCGCGCGTGGTGCCCGCCGCGACCCCGCCCGCGGCGCCAGAGGGCGAGACGGCCGCGCCGCCCGCGCTGCCGCCCATCCCCTCGCACGCACTGGACCCGGGCTTCTCGCACCTGCACTTCGGCAGCAAGTACGCCGAGAGCGTCGCGCTGTGCCGCCCGGCCGCGGTGTACGGCGTCGACCGCGAGCGCCCGCTCCCCGTCCGGCAGTACGACTTCGAGGACCTCTCCATGGACCACACCAGCAGCAACGCCCTCGACGCGCTCGACAGCTTCGGGTTCCCGCTCCTGCACGCGCGCTACACGCCGACGCTGCACGCCTACTCGCAGCCCGAGCGGAAGCCCGTGCGTGTCGACCCGGCGGACCCGGACTCGCCCGCGCTGCCGTGCGTGCCGCTGGTGCACGCGCCGGACATCATGGCCACCGCGCAGCGCCGGGCGCTCATGGCGCACCACGCCGACGACTGGCGCGCGCTGCACGCAGGCCGGGGGCCGCACCGCGCCCCCGCCCACCTCGCTCGGCTGCGCACCATGCTGTCGCACGCCGCAGGGCTGCACCACGCCCCGTCGAGCATGGAGCCGTCGCCGGAGCCGTCGACGCGGCGCGTGGGCGGCCGCGTGTCGCCCGCGCCGTCGGCCGTCTCGCAGGTGCACGGGTCGGTGGCGGGCAGGCAGCGCAGCGGCGCGGTGTGGTACGACCTGTGCGGCGACGCGCTCATGACGGTGCCGGAGCTGCTGACGCGGCCCGAGCCGGAGGACGCGCTGCCGGACCAGGACACGACGGACATGCCGGAGCTCGAGATCGTGGCGCCCACGGACGAGGACGTGGGGCGGTTCATGCCGGGGGGGCAGGACCCGGTCCCGGAGGGGGAGGGGGAGAAGGACGGGGGAGAGGGGGGCGAGGAGGAGGAGGAGGAGGAGCGGGAGGAGGAGCTGGTGGGGCGCGAGGCTGCGGAGGCGGAGGTGGAGAAGGAGGCACAGGAGAGGCGGCACGTGCTGGGGGAGCGCGTGGCGCACCCCGTGGCGGACTACAACGGGAAGCTGCAGCGGCCGTGCTTCTCTGCGATCCAGGGCGTGATGTGATGCTGCGCGCTGGACACCGACCCGTGCGGGGCGGGCGTCGACTCGATCGCAACCTGCGTGGCTCTGCGGGGTGCACGCTGTATCGTCTCCACCGTGCGCGTGGTGCTATCGGCGCGAAGGTGGGGGCCGCCGGTGCCGGGCGGTGCGCTGCAGCGCGCGCCCCTGCCCAGGGAGGCGTGTCTAGCTGACTCGGTGGATCCGCAGGCGGACCGGCTGTTTGCGGCCTTGTTGCGGCGCAGCGGTGCGGAAGTATGCGCTCATCAGCGACTCATTGAAATAGGACGTCTGCGGGTTTGCCTAGCTCTTGTAGAAAGGGCCTTATCGTGCGCTGTGCATCGTGAATCTCTGAAGGCAGCTCAGGAGCCGGCTATACTGGTGCACGCGATGGGCGGATCCGTAGTGCTGCCGGGCAGCAAGCCGTCGGAGAAGCTCGGGGTGGTCGAGCAGGGGAAGAAGTCATGCGGGAAGAAGAAGGCGGTGCGTGCAGGCGTCGGATGAGAGCGTGCATTACATCGCGTCCATGAGCCTGTCGAGGGGCTTGCCTCGGTGCCGCGAGACTTGTGAGTCTATCTATACCTCATGCAGGTGATGGGCGACCAGCAGCTTGATGCTGTCGCCATGAGGAACTCGCTGGGGCAGGGAAGGAAGCCGCACTCGCTCGACCTCGGCTACGAGCTGCAGAAGATCGCACGTAGGACTCGGGTACGCCGACACGCTTATTCCAGACACAAGCGACTGAACGCGCCCATACAAGCGCGGCTTGCGGATGCGCCATGCTGTGCTCGGCCTTCATCCTCCTACGCTCAGAAGGTTGCCCCCATGCCATCGTGTGTGTGTGTGCAGCGCGCCGCCCAGAAAGCGATGATGGGCGCCGTCGATGCTTTCGACCAGCTCGGCGCGAACGTCATGCGCATGTTCGGAGGCAAGTGAGCAGGAGGAGCCCCAAGCCAGCAGCAGCACTCTGCGGGCGACAAAGCAGTAATCGAAGCCGCGTAGTTGCGTCGTCACAGCGGAAGCGACGCCCCCCCTTGTGACGGCCGCGGTCTCAGCGCGCGCGCACCCACCGACCGCCCCGCGCCCCCCGCGTTCACGGCGCCAGGGCCTCATCGCAGCGAGGAGAAGAACAGCAGCGCGACCACGCTGATGGTGATGAACACGGGGATGAGCGAGAGGCCCCAGACCGCGCCGTACCCGACCCAGTCCGGCAGCAGGTCCTCGATGCTCTCCGCCTTCTCGTTCTTGTCGCGCCCCATGGGTGGCCGCGCCTGCCCCTCGATCCACGCCCCCCGGGCCGCGGTGTCCTCGCCCTCCTGCGGCTGCTGCGGCGCGCTCGCCCCTGCGCAGACGGGCATCGGCCGCCCGATGTTGCGCGCCCCCGCGCGGGTGGCAGCGGGCGATCCCGCAGGGCAGAGGTCGGTCGCAGTCGCACCGTTCACGAGGGCGGGGCTCAGTCTTCACCTTCGGCCTCGAGGAAGGGCCAGTTCTCCACCTCCTCCGCGAGCACCTTGAGCGCGATGCGGTCGTTGGGGATCTTGCCGTCCACCACCTGCGGGCAGGGAGGGGCGCTGCGGCTCCGGCTCGGTCGCGCCGCTCGGGCGACGGGCGCGCGTGCTCGCGGCGTGACCGCGCGGCGTGGGGCGCACGTCGAGGAACGCCGACGCGATCTCCTCCCGCGACACGCCGGTGTCGTCTTCGATGCCCATGTTGCGGCGGTCGCGCGCGCGCGGGTCCTCGATCAGCAGGATGAGGCGCATCTCGTTCGGCGTGAAGTCGCGGCGGTCCTGGAGCGTCCGCAGCACCGCGAGCACCCTGCACGGCGCGCGAGCAGGAGTTGTGAGGCAACCTGGGCGTGGCGGCGACGAGCCGACGGCTGGGGCCGCGGGCGTGCGAGGCAGGCGCACCTGCGGCACAGGTCGCGGGCCTGCTCGTCGTCGACCAGGTCCGCGCCGACCACGTTCTCGAGCTGCGTGCGCCCACTCGACCCGAGCTCGATCTCCGCCTGCGCCTTCATGAACTCCTCCACCTCCGCCTCCATCTCGTCCGAGGACTGAATCTTGTCCTCTGGCCGCACGCGGGCGCTGCGAAACGGGCGATCACGGGCGGGCAGGCGGTCGGATGAGACAGCGGACTGCGCCGAGCTCGCACGCTGGGCCGGGGACGTGGCAGGGACATCCCTGTTCATGAGAGCGAGCACCACGGGCAACAACAGAGCAGTGGGGTCGACAAGCCCGTCGTTGCCCCGCGAGCTCGCTGCACGGGGCCGATCCGGCCAGGATAGCCATCAGCAGCGCACCGCCCGCACGGGTCACTGCGACGGGCCGCGGGGTCCGGGCACGTGCCTCGTGCACAATAGAATCTCGGGAGGGCGCGCGCGGGGCAGGTCGTGCCGCTCCTGGCCGCACGGCGTCAGGGCTGCGTGGGAGCACTAGCAGGCAGGTGGGTTCCGGGACGTACATGATGCGCGCACAGCCCCGTTGGACAGGCGCATGGCGTTGTCGCAGGGCCGAGCGGCCTGCCACCAGGGGAACCTGCCCACGCACTGCCCTGTTCATCGCTCGCTGGCGTGCTTCGACTCTGGTTTGGTGGCCGTCCGTGGGGGCTTGCAAAGCCGTGTGCTAGGCTGTTGGGGGACTGCCTCGCGTAGTTCTCAGCACCACTCGGCGGTTTCGCCCACAGGCTCGCGACGCGGGCCCAATCATGGGCCGCAACGAGGGCGATGACAGTCATTGACTGAGACAGACTCACTCCTCAGTTCTAAGGGGGGGGGGTCCCCGAAGGCGCGATACAGCGCTCCACGCGATCGACGCGCGAGCCCCGTGCAGCGTCCCACACGCGCACGCATCGCACTCCGATCGGCCAAGCCCCAGTCTCGAACTGTATTGAACATGCAGTGTGACAAACCGTCCGCGCTGCCATGAGCGTAGCGAAGCGGAGCGGACGGTCAGTAGCATGGTTCTTGCACGCGCGTGGCGGAGGGCCCGTCGGGCTGACGGGCGTAGCCTGAGTCAGGGCATCAGGGCCCCAGGGCAGCCGGGCCCTCCCCCACATCCGGCGTCGCGCGCCCGCGCGCTAGCCAGTTTGCGCCGCTGCTGACCCCAACTCCTAGTCACACTGATCAGCCAGCATCGACTGGCCCCCAGCGAGTCTAGTCATTGTGAATCCAGCAGCAGCCCCAGCGCACAAGAACGTGTCACACCGTAGCGTGTCGGTCAGCCTTGGCACACAACAGAGGCCCATGCGCCGCCCTCGCTCATCGCGGCGCCGCGGGGCAGCAGGCAGACACGCTCCCAGGCACCCGGCGCCCCGCACCGCGCACCACGTCGCCCGAGCTCACAGCCCACATCAGAGGCAGGCCCACCCACGGGGCCCGCCTCCGCCTGCTCGCGCGCACTGCGCCCCGCCGCGGCGCCTCGCCCGCGCCCCCATGGCCCGCCCGCGCGCCCTCACGGCGGTCCGAGGCCGACGGCGGCGGTCGTTTGCTTGGCGATGTCCTCCATGGTGACGCGCCCCTTGTCCATGATGAACTTCGCGACGGCCTTGCACTCCGCGGGCGACACGTACACGTACTTCCCGCGGTCGTCCATCACGCCCGTCAGCCGCCCCGCCCCCTCCAGGTCGCGGATCCACGCAATCGTCTGCTCCACTGATATCTGGAACCGTGCCGCGAGGTCCTCCAGCCGGACGACCTTGCCCTCCCGGATGCAGTGCAGGAACTTGTCCAGCGTCGTCGGACTCTGCCCGCCCGCTGGCACCCCCTCACCCGCCTCCTGTGTTCGGATCTTGGCCGCCCAGCGCGCCGCCTTCTGCTGCTCCTGCCTGCACGCACGCCGCGACCGCCCGGCGCGCCGAAGTGAGCTCTCCGTCGCCTGGCGCGGGCGCGGCAGCGGCCCGGTCGCACCGCGGGCCCGGCGTGCGCCACGTGCCCTGCGCACAACCACAACAACAACATGCCAGGCAGGGCGGCGCGCACCTCTCTTTTTTCGCCATTTCGTCCTCGTTCTGCGCGTCCTGGGCGGCTCGCTCCTCGTCGCGCCGCCTCCGCCGCATCTCGTACAGCGACATGCCTTTGGAGTGTGCCTCCCTGGCCTCGTTCAGCTCCTGCATGGCGTCCCGGTGCCAGTGCTGCTCATCCGCCGCCCCGTCGCCATTCCTGCACGCAACGCAGCGGACGCGGCGCCGATCGTGTCATGCACAGCGCCCGGCTGGGGCAGGTGCAAGGGCGCAGAGGTGCAATCGACTCGTACGCGGGATCGCGGGGCTCAACGAGCTTCCCGCCGCCCTGTTCGATGTCAACACGGACGGAGCGATCGTCGGCGCGGCAGGTGACGCGCAAAACACGCTGCCGTGGCCACTGGGGCGTGCCTGCGCAGGCGCGGAGGCATACGTCGCCGCCGTGCCCGACCGCCGGCATCGTCGGCGTTGCCGTTGAGCCCTTGTCCGCGGGCGTCCCTCTGTCGGCCGTTCGCACCCTGCGCAGCGGTGAGCAGGACGTGCGGGGCTCGTGGTTGGCAGGAGGAGCACCCTGCCTGGCCCTGAGGCGGCCGCGCCCGCATAGGACGACACATCGGGCCGCTTCGAGGAGCGAGAGGGAGCGTCTCGCGATCTCGTCTCGGGCCGGGCGCCGCCGCGGCGGGTCGCGGCCGTCCCCGCCCGTGCGGCTCGCAGCCCGAGATCTTCCTTGAAAGGAGTCGTTGACGCAACCGTGCAGCCGCGACGCAAGCGCAGACGGCAGCGACCCCAACGGGACCGAACCGTCGATCAGAGAACGGAGCCCGGGGGCCGGTCCGGCTCGCGGGCGTGCGGGGCGCGCAACGGGGCAGGGGGCCCACCTGAGCAAGTTCCTGTAGCTCCTTCTCTGCGTTCGCGACCGTGACCAACACCACGGCCCCGAGAATCAGAAGTGCGAAGAATAGCGCGAATGCGAGGTAGCCTGGCTGAACGCCACTGTCCAGCCAGCCCGGGAGTGCGAACATGCTGGCAGAGACCCGCCCCGCGCGCCGTGGAGCGTCCCGACCCTATCTCGCGGCCCCTGCGTCCGCCCCCGGATCGTCCCTTGTCTCAGCTCAACCGAACCGCCGCGACGACGTCCGCCGCCCCGCGTTTGTTGCCGTACGGCCCTGCTGATGTGACTGCGGCGCCAAGCGTGACAAGCGGTTCCCTGACGGCGACGTCGACGCCGCGCTCGCTCGCTGCCGCCGACCCTCGCGCGCCGGCAGCATTGTGCCCGGGCGGCACGGCCCCCCCGCGACCCCTGACGGCCGGCGCGTGTCCCCCCGCCGCCCTGTCTGACGACATCGCCCCACGCCCCGAGCTCTCCTGCTCCGTGTGTCGCCGCGCGGGGCAGCCTTCTGCACAACTGCGGTGCGCAGGTCTCGCAGCGCTGCATCGGCTTGACGACGCCGGCGCGCGACGAGGGCAACCGCCTGAACCTGGGTCTGCACCGGCCGGAACCCTCGCGTGGGCGCAGCGAAGGGCAATGGAGGTCGATGACGGGCCAGATCCCAAGCTGAACTATGTCGTGTCGGCCCACAAGCCGACGCGGGTGGAGCAGGCGGCTGTATGCTCCTTCACTGGGAAGGACGACACCAACCTGGTGCTCACGTGCGTGCGCCGCCGCCCCGCCCGACGGACGCGACCGCGCGACCATCTCGGGCCTCCGCCGATCCGTTCGATCGGCGCTCGTCTGCGGCAATGGTGGAGTGCGGCAGCGGTTGCCGCGCCGGAACCACCCAGGATCAGAATGAGCCTGCGCGGTTCGCGGTACCGCTCTCCAGCACTTGCTGCGCCGCGCAACTGCACAGATGTATGTGTGCGAGCATGATGGGAGAGACTCGTGCCGCGGCGCCCCTTGCAGGATGAGCAACAGACTGGAAGTGCACACGGTGCGTGAAGGGGGCTTGCAGCTCATCAAGTCGGTCAGCGTGAGCGGAGTGCCGCTGTGCGTCAAGGTACGTGCATCGACGACCATCTACATGGCTCCGTGCGCACCTTGACGCACCTGCGTGGACGGGCTCCGCGTCACGTCTGCGTCCCCTGTCAACCTCCGATCCCTCCCCCGTCATCAGGACGCGCGCAGTGCGCGCACGCGCTCACACTGCATTTTGTTCCGTTCCCCCACGCCCCCGCGGCGTCCTCGTCGAGCGGCGAGGCCCCTCGAGCACGGACCCACGAGCCCCGCTGCACGAGTGCGTTGCGCAGGCGATGCGGCTCCAAGGCCAGGACCGGGACATCTTGGTGGTGCTTCTCGAGAAGTGGTGGCTGTGCCTCCTCGCATGGAACCCGGACACGGGGGAGATCGACACCGTCGCCTCGCGCAACACGGAGGACCCAGTGTGCAAGGCCGCGCCCACGGGACCCTTCCTCGCCGTCGACTCCCTCGCCGGGTGCGCCGCACCCCGCCCTGCTCCCCCGCCCTCGTCTCGCCGTCCCCCCGAGCCAGCCGCCCGAGACACGGCGCGCCCCACACACGTGTGCCCCCCCCGTCCGCAGGCTGGTCGCGGTGCACGCGTTCCAGACGCGCATCAAGATCGTGAGCATCATCGCGGGCGAGGGCGGCGCGGGCGCGGCCTTCTCCGACGCCGCGGACTACCGCACCGAGGAGCTCAACATCGTCGACCTGACCTTCCTGGCCCGCGACCCCTCGGCGCGCCCCGCCATCGCCGTGCTGACCGAGGACCAGACGCAGGACCGCCACCTGCGCACGCTCACGGTCAACCAGGTCGACGTCGTGCTCGAGCAGGGCCCGATCAAGCACGTCGACAACGTGGAGCTGGGCTCGCGGCGCGTGGTGGCGTTGCCGGAGCCCGTCGGAGGCGTCCTGGTCGTCGGGGAGCGCACGGCGCTGTACGTCGCGCGCGACGGGGCGCAGCAGGTGCACCCGCTGCCGCCGGGGTTCCAGCGCGCGGTCGGCGTGGTGGACGCCAAGGTGGAGCGCGTGCTGCTCTCCGACGAGACGGGGCGGCTGGCGATGCTCGCCCTGCAGCAGAACGGTGCGTGCGGCGGCGGTGCGGCGTGCGTGCATGCGTGCGTGCGTGGGTGCGGGCGTTTGCGACGTTGTGGCTGTTGTGTTCGCTGTGCAGGGAGCGCGGTGGTGGGGATGCAGCTGGAGAGTCTGGGGAGCTGCTCGCCGGCGTCGAACATCGCGTACCTGGGCGACGGGCTGGCGTTCCTGGGGTCGATGCACACGGACTCGCAGCTGGTGAAGATCCACGCGGAGCCGCAGCCGGGCGGCGCGGGCCTGGTGGAGGTGCTGGAGACGTACAAGCAGCTGGGCCCGATGGTGGACATGGTGGTGGTCGACCTGGACCGGCAGGGGCAGGGGCAGGTCGTGGCGTGCTGCGGGATGGGCCGGTTCGGGTCGCTGCGGGTCGTGCGGTCCGGGATCGGCATCACGGAGCACGTGTCGGCGGAGCTGCCGGGCGTGCGCGGGGCGTGGTCGCTCGGGGCGGACTGGGGCGCCGAGGAGCACTCGCACCTCATCGTGGCGCTGACGGGACAGACCGTGGCGCTCGCGGTGACCGAGGGGGGCGGCATCGAGCAGGTGGAGGCGCCGGGGATTGACGCTGCGGCGCAGGCCATCCACGTGGGCAACGTGCGGCACGGACAGGCGGTGGTCGCGACCCGGGACGGCGTCGCGCTCCTGAGCGCCGCGGGCCTGACCAAGGCCGCGGAGTGGCGGCCGGACGGCGGCGCGGCGGTCACGCTGGCGGCGTCGAACTGCTGCCAGGTGGCGGCGGGGTTCGGCGGGTCGCACGTGGCGGTGCTGGAGGTCGCCGCGGGGGGGCTGACCGCGGCCAAGGTGGTGGACGTCGGCTCGCAGGTGGCGTGCCTCGACTGCACGCCGCTCGGCGAGGATGCGAGTGGCCCGTGCGAGTACGTGGCGGTGGGGACCTGGGACAACTCGGTGCTGCTGCTGCGCGCGGGCGCGGGCGAGGTGGCGCTCACGGTGCCCCTGGGCGCCGGCACTGCGGCGCGCAGCGTCCTGCTGACGCGCATGGTCGGGCAGCCGCACATGATGGTGGGGACGGGCGACGGGCACATCGTGATGATGGAGCTGGACGTGGGCGGGGCCGCGCCGCGGGCGCTGCCGGCGAAGAGCGTCGCGATCGGCACGCGGCCGGTCGGGCTGCGCGCGCTGCACACCGCGGGCATGCCGTGCGTGTTCGCGACGGGCGACCGGCCGGCGGTGGCGTACGCCAACAACGGCAAGATCGTGCTGAGCAACGTGAACGACTCGGACGTGACCGGCGTCGCGCCGTTCAGCTCGCCGCAGTACCCCGGCGCGCTGGTCGTCACCAAGGACGACGGGCTCACGGTCGGGACCGTCGACGAGATCCAGAAACTGCACGTGCAGACGGTGCCGCTGGGGTGCCAGGGCCGGCGGATCGCGCACGACCCGGCGTCCCACACGTACTGCGTGGCCGCGCTCCCGGACGCCGAGCGCGACACGACGGGCGAGCTCATCCTGCTCGAGGACCAGCTCTTCGAGGAGCGGCACCGCGTGCGCCTCTGCCCGCAGGAGGACGCGCAGTCGCTGGTGCTGTGCCGGTTCGACGGCGAGAGCGCGCCGTTCTACTGCGTGGGGACGGCGGTGATCGACTCCGCGGAGGAGGAGCCCAAGCAGGGGCGCATCGCGGTGTACTGCGTGGAGGGGGGCAAGCTCGAAGAGGTGTGCGACAAACAGGCCGCGGGCGCGGTGTACGCGCTCGAGCCGTTCGAGGGCCGCCTGCTCGTCACGATCAACAACAAGGTGTTCGTGATGGGCCTCAAGCGCGGCGCCGACGGGAAGCCCGAGCTGGAGCCCATCTGCGGGTTCACCGGGCAGGTCCTGTCGCTCTACCTCGCGCACCGCGGCGACTTTGTGCTCATGGCGGACCTCATGCGGTCCGTGACGCTCCTGACGTACCAGCGGGACCCCCCGAAGCTCACAGAGCGCGCACAGGACTACCAGATGGCGTGGCCCATGGCGATATCGATCCTGGACGACTCGACGTTCGCCATGGCCGACTCGTACTCGAACATCACGGTCCTCGCGAAGAGCGACGACGACGCCGTCGACGAGGTCCGGCAGCAGCTGCAGATCGTCGGCGAGATGCACGTCGGGCAGAACATCAACCGGTTCTGCGCGGGGTCGCTGACCATGCGGACGCCGGACTCCCCGCTCGGCGACGCGCCGTCGCAGCTCTTCTGCACCGTGCAGGGCGCGATCGGGCTGATGGTGCCGCTGTCGCGGAAGCACTATGACCTCCTCAGCGCGCTGCAGCTCGTGCTGCAGGACCGCGTGCAGCCGGTGGGCGGCATGCCGCACAGCATCTTCCGCAGCGTGTTCTCGGAGACAGGTCGGCGCCGCACGGCGATGGTGGGCATGGTCGACGGCGACATCGTGGAGATGCTGCTTGACATGCCGCGCGCACAGCAGGAGGAGGTCGTGCGGGCGATGAGCGCGAAAACGGACGTTGACAGCGTCGTTGCGTTGGTAGAGGAGCTGGCCAGGCTCCACTGATAGCGCGGGGCGGGGCGCAGCGCCCGGCGTGTGAGCGTTCGGCTGGAGAGAGGTCTCTCACGCTCGACGCGTCGGACGGTTGCGCTGGCCCCCGCGCGACGTCGCCGGCGCTGCCTGACTACGCGAGAGTGGTTCCGACCAAATGGTATCTCAGAACTCAGAAGTTCCCCCCCAAAACTCACAGTACGGGTGACGTGAGGGGGCTGTCACCGCCTCACCTGACATGCGTGATGTCTTGCGTGTGTCTCACCGGGCAGGGTCGCCGGCCGACGACATCGGGCCGCGTGATGGGGCTTGCCGACGAGTACCCGCACGCCCGCGGGGCTCGTCGCTCATCGAAGACTTCACTCAAGCTGCGTGCGCAGGTGCTGGGACCCCGACATCTGTTGCCGCCGCCTGCTCATTTTGCGTGCGGGTACTCCACCACGTCGTTGCTCTCGGCCACCCCTTTCCTTGGTTATTGTGACCTCCGGTTTTGACACATTTGTCAGACTGAAAATTCATTACAGTACCCGTTGCCAGCGTACCACCGATTCGCACTCCTCCGGGGGGCCATGCCGGCGCTTGCTGGTCAGGGAGTGCCGGGGGACTCCGTGCTCAGAGTCTCCTCAACAGTCTCCTCACTGTCGGCACTCAATTGCACATATGACGTAACCACGTCGTCATGGCGAGTTCCATTACGAAGGAACTCCCCGCCCTCCACCTCCACCCGCGCACCCGGCACCTCCGACGTCCCGTGGCCTCCGTTGTCGTTGCACGTCGCGCCCCGCACCGTCACCGCCGTGCCCTCGTCCTCCGCAAGCACGCCGCACTGACCGTTGCGGCAGCACTCCCCGCCCTCCACCTCCACCCTCGCAGAAAGATAGCCCTGTATCCCGTGGCGTTCATTCTCGTTGCACGTGGCGTTCCGCATCGTCACCACCGTGCCCTCAAACTTTGCAACAATGCCGCACGACTCGTTGCGGCAACACGCCCCGCCCTCCACCTCCACCCTCGCACCACAATCCACGACTATCCCGTCGCCGTTGTTGTCGCTGCACGTGGCGTTCCGCATCGTCACCACCGTGCCTCCGCTCCTCGCAGCCACGCCGCAGCGACCGTTGCAGCAGCACTCCCCGCCCTCCACCTCCACCCTCGCACCACGTACCGCATATATCCCGGAGCCACTGTTGTCGCTGCACGTCGCGCCTTGCACCGTCACCACCGTGGCCTCGTCCTTCGCAATCACGCCGCACGTCTCGTTGCTGCAGCACTCCCCGCCCTCCACCTCCACCCTCGCACCACGAGTCCCCTGTATCCCGCCTGGTGTTGTTGTTCGCTGCACGTCGCGCCCCGCACCGTCACCGCCGTGCCCTCGTCCTGCGCAGCCACGCCGCACTCACCGTTTCGGCAGCACTCCCCGCCCTCCACCTCCACCCTCGCACCACGCCTCCCTGTATCCCGTGGCCGTTGTTCTCGCTGCACGTCGCGCCCCGCACCGTCACCGCCGTGCCCTCGCGCGCCGCAGCCACACCGCACTTGTCGTTGCGGCATCACTCCCCGCCCTCCACCTCCACCCTCGCACCACGAGTCACCTGTATCCCGTGGCGTTCATTCTCGTTGCACGTCGCGCCCCGCACCGTCACCGCCGTGCCTGCGCGCGCCGCAGCCACACCGCAGCAGCGGTTGCGGGAGCACTCCCCGCCCTCCACCTCCACCCTCGCACCACGAGTCACCTGTATCCCGTTGCAGTTGTTCGCGCTGCACGTCGCGCCCCGCACCGTCACCACCGTGCCTGCGCGCGCCGCAGCCACGCCGCAGCAGCGGTTGCGGGATCACTCCCCGCCCTCCAGCTCCACCCGCGCAGCACGATTGACCTGTATCCCGTTGCAGTTGTCGCTGCACGTCGCGCCCCGCACCGTCACCGCCGTGCCCTCATCCGTTGCAACAACGCCGCACTCACCGTTGCGGCGGCACTCCCCGCCCTCCACCTCCACCCTCGCACCACGATCCACGACCATCCCATCGCCGTTGTTCTCGCTGCACGTGGCGTTCCGCACCGTCACCACCGTGCCTCCGTGCGCCGCAGCCACGCCGCACTCACCGTTGCGGCGGCACTCCCCGCCCTCCACCTCCACCCTCGCACCAAGTACCGCATGTATCCCGTCGCCGTTGTTGTCGCTGCACGTGGCGCCCCGCATCGTCACCACCGTGCCCTCGGCGACACACCCACGCCGCACGACTCATTGCGGCAGAACTCCCCGCCCTCCACCTCCACCCTCGCAGCAAGTTCCGCATGTATCCGTGGCCTCCGTTGGCGCTGCACGTCGCGCCCCGCACCGTCACCACCGTGCCCTCGTTCATCGCAGAACCACACCGCCCGACTCATTTCGGCGGCACTCCCCCCTCCACCTCCACCCTCGCACCGAGTTGCGCATGTATCCCGTCGCGTTGGTTGTCGCTGCACGTCGCGCCCCGCACCGTCAGCACCGTGCCCTCGAACCTTGCAAGCACGCCACACGACTCATTGCGGCAGCACTCCCCGCCCTCCACCTCCACACTCGCACCACGAGTCACCTCTATCCCGCGCGATGTGTTCTCGCTGCACGTGGCGTTCCGCACCGTCACCACCGTGCCCTCGTCGTACGCTTGCATGCCACACCCATCGTTGCGGCAGCACTCCCCGCCGTCCACCTCCACCTGCGCGTGCGCGTCCGGAGACGTCACATCAGCGGACGATCATACCCACGAGGCGGACCTGGCGGGCTGCGGTGTGTGTTGGCGGCACGATTCATACCTTGGCACTTTGTTCCACCAGCAGCCCGGACGTGCCGGCTTGGGATCCGTTGAGCTTGCAGCTGCGCAGCACGACGCCGCATGCGCCGGATATATGCACCATGCCAAGATCTTTACGATCTGCAAGTGCTGCGGGATGGAGCGGGCGGCGGAGTATGAGCATGCATGCACATGTGCGTCCTGCTGCAGCTGTGCAGCACCGCGACGGTCCCGCGACGGTGCAGGGTGCTCGACGTGCACTCACCATACCAGTGGCTTCTTGGTGTGTACTTCTGGACCGTCAGGCTGTCCAGCAGCAGGCCACGTGCATCCACAGTCGCGTACAGCCGAATGCCCTCGAGCGTCCCGTTGCGCAGCGCCAGGCCGGCACGCGCGATGGTGAGCGAGACGGGGGCGTCGGACGTGATCGTGCTGCCTCCAAGATCGATGTCCTGCACGTGCACCCCCGCGATGCCGCGCACCATGGTCGTCAGCACACGGCAGGTACTCCACAGCGCAGATGGCGCTGCACGGCTTGGCGGGCGCAGGACGCGCGCGCAGCGCCGGTATGTGGGGGCGGCGTTCCGGTCCCTCGTGCGCGCTGTACGCAACGCGTCACGCCAAGCGCGACCACAACTTGTGTGTGCAATTATAAGGGCGCTGGATATGACGCCAGCTGGCTCAACGACCGCCGCAAACAGTGCGAAACTGCAGACTGTGTCCCTAAATCGCCGTCGTCGCGTGGAAAACAACGCTTAGGAGCCGACCAACGCCGCCCCGTGCACCGTGGCTCTCCGGCTTCCAAGCACAAGAGCGAGCCGGGGGCGCACCAGGACAGCGGGGTCCGCCAGAGCTGCTCGGAGCTTGTCCAGCGTGTCGCAGTGTGTCCTGTCCGCGGTGTCGCTCTGGTGCGCCGGCCCCGCCTGCGCCGCACGTGCCTGTTCGGCTTCCTGCTCCATGCTCTGGACGGCAGCGATGATAGCGCGGGGCACCGACGGCGGCACGGCCCGGTCCGCAACCCTCCAGTAGTCCTTGAAGTCGCTCTCACTCGCGGCAAGCGCAGCTCGGTGGTTCGCTACGCCCAGTGCGCGGCACGCCCGCTCCACCTCGTCGCGGTAGTTGCCCGCGCCCGCGCGCTCAACGAGCTCCTGGATGTACCTGCGCCCGGTGAGGTCCGCCGTGATCGCAAGCCGCGCGAGCGGGGACGTCAACGGCGCCGTCGGATGTGTCGCGCGCGCCCCCGACGCGCCCCAATCACCCACCAGCGCAACTGACCCCCCTGGGTCAGTCGCGGTTGAGTGACTTCCACCGAGCAAACTAGCGTACTGACGGCCGTAGGAAGATGGCCAAAATGGGGTGGTCAGCAGCAGAGCAACAGCGGTGGAGTACCCGTGAGAGAATTCACACCCTAGTGTTGTGACTTCCGCTGGTCAAATGTTCTCGCTGCCGGTGGCTCAGAACCCGGGGAGCTCGGAGAACGAGACGATACCATCCGGCAGCTGCGCGAGGTCCCTGAGGAACGCGAGGCGGTTCTTCCGGACCTGCTCGTCCTCGGCCATGACGAACACGTTGTCGAAGAAGGCCTCCATGGGCTCCGCGAGCGGCTGCGACGCCTCGAGGAAGTCCGCGATCTTCATGCCGCTGTCCACCTTGCCCTGCACCTCCTTGAACGTGGCGTACAGCGCGCGCTCCTCGTCCTGCTCGAACAGGTCCTCCTGCACCACCCAGGCGGGGTCCACGTCCTTGCCCCGCGTCAGGCGGACCGGACGCGCGTACACCTGCATCGTCGACTTGAGCAGGTCCGAGCCCATCAGACCGGCGAGGTCCGCGGCGGTCTCCTTCGCGAGGGCGGGGTCGTCCCCGCGCTCGGCGAGCACCGCCCGCACCGCCTCCACCGTCAGCCCGTCGTCGACGAACAGCTGCTCGAGGCGCCGCTGCACGAAGTCGACGACGTCGGCCTTGTGCTCCGCGGTGATCTCGAGCGGCTGCACGGCGGCCGCAGCGTCGATCAGGGCCGCGAGCGAGCACCGCACGTTGCTCGACACCAGGGGCTGCAGCATGCCGTACGCCGCGCGACGCAGACCGTACGGGTCCGCCGACGCCGTGGGCGCGCAGCCCGCAGCGAACAGTCCGACGAGCGAGTCCAGCTTGTCGCACACGCTGACAACGATGCCCGCGGGGGACGTCGGGAGCTTGTCGCCCGCCGACCGCGGCAGCACCGCCTCGAAGATGGCCTCGCACACCGGCGCGGGGAGCCCCTGCTTCTCCGCGTAGTGCCGACCCATCGTGCCCGCGAGCGACGTCATCTCCATCACCATTGCGGTGGCCAGGTCCGCCTTGCTCAGCTCCGCAGCACTGCGCGCGGTGTCGACGCAGTCGGGCACGCCCAGGATGTCCGCCACGGGGGCGACCAGGCCCTCGACGCGGCCATTCTTGTCCAGGAGCGTCCCGAGCTCCTTCTGGAACATCGTGCCTTCGAGCTTGGGCACGAAGTCCGCCAGGGGCACCTCCAGGTCCTCCTTGTAGAAAAACACGGCGTCGCTGAACCGCGCGGTCAGGACGGCCTCGTTGCCGACGCGCACGGCCGCGGTGTCGATCGGGCCGTTCGCGACCGTGATGAAGTGGTTCAGGAGCTTGCCGTCCTGCGCGCATGTGCGGCGGGAGCAGCGTGGTGTCAGTTCAGCTCCCGTCAAAGGGCGAACACAGCTAGCGCGCCTTGGATGTAGATTTTGACACTTCTGCGTCACTCACCTTGTCGTAGACGGGGAAGTACCGCTGGTGCTTGCGCATCACCATCACCAACACCTCCGGGGGGAGTTGCAGGTACTCCTCGTTGAAGGACCCACGCAGCGCGTTCGGCGCCTCCACCAGGTTGGCCACCTCGTCAAGCAGGTCGGTCTTCGCCGACTCGGGAATCACGCCGCCTACCTCGTCCGCGAGGCGGCACGCGTCGGCCCAGATCTGCTCGCGACGGTCGTCACCGCACACCATGATGCCCGCCGACTCAATCACCGCGTCGTACTCCTCCGCCGATGCGACCTCACGCTCGGTGCCCTTGCTGTCGTTGCGCAGCACGCGCGTCGTCGACCCCGACGCCAGCCCGAACGCCGCGAACGGCACCACCTGCGCGCCATGCATGGCCACCAGCCACCGCACGGGCCGCGAGAAGGCCGTGGCGCCCGCACCCCACCGCATCGACTTGCGGAAGTTCAGCGACGTCACGAGCTGCGCCAGCGCGGGCCCCAGCACCTCCCCGGCCGCGCGCCCCTCCTCGCGCACGGTGGCAAACACGTACTTCCCGTCCACCTCGATCTGCTCCTTCGTCACGCCGTTCTTCCGGCAGAACCCCTCGCCCGCCTTCGTGAGGTTCCCGTCCTCGTCCAGTGCCTTGTCCGCGGGGGGGCCTCTCCGCCGGTCCTCCAGGTCCTCCTGCCGGGGCGCCAGGTCCGACACGCTCACCACCAGGCGGCGCGGGGTCGCGCGCACCGACACGCCGCCGTGCGCGAGACGCAGGTCGTCCAGGATCGCGGGGAAGCGGTCGCGGAGCTGCGCGGCGGCGTTGTCCACTTCGTCCGGGGGCAGCTCCTCGGTGCCAATCTCCAGCACAAACGTCGCCGCGGCGGGGAGCGCCTCGGTCGACGGGGCGACCTCCGGGTCGCCGGGGATCTCGGCGATGCCGAGCGGGTGTCCGATCTCTTCGCGGCGCTCGAGCCAGAGGCGCGACACGTCCCGGGAGAGGGTGCGCATGACGCGGAAGTTGTTGGCCCGCTCGGTGACGCCGACGGCGCCGCGGGCGTCGAGCACGTTGAAGGTGTGGGAGATCTTGAGGAGGTGGTCGTACGCGGGGATCGGGAGGCGCTCCTCGATCATCCGCTTGGCCTCGGACTGGAAGAGTTCGAAGCGGCGGCGCTGGTCGGAGATGTCTGCCTTGTCCAGGTTGTACACCGACATCTCGTACTCGTTCTGCAGGAACATCTCCCCGTACTTGACCTTGTCGTTGTACTGGATGTCCTTGAAGTGGTCCACGCCCTGCAGCGCCATCACGATGCGCTCCAGGCCGTAGGTGATCTCCACGGCCACGCAGTCCAGCGGCTGCCCGCCCGCCTGCTGGAAGTACGTGAACTGCGTGATCTCCATCCCGTCCAGCCACACCTCCCACCCGAGCCCCCACGCGCCCAGCGCGGGCGACTCCCAGTTGTCCTCCACGAAGCGCACGTCGTGCTGCTGCGCGTCGATGCCCAGCGCCGCCAGCGAGCCCAGGTACAGCTCCAGGGGGTTCCCGGGGTCGGGCTTCAAAATAACCTGGAACTGCGTGTGGCGCTGCACGCGGTTCGGGTTCTCCCCGTACCGCGAGTCGTCCGGCCGCACCGACGGCTCTGCGAACATACACAGCCCCGCCCGCTGGTGGTCAGTGTGTGGGGCAGGCAGCGCGGAACAGGGGCGGGCGGATCGCGAACCGGTCCGGGGCGCCGGCGGGGCGTCGCGGGCGGACCTGCGTACGCGACGTTCCAGGGCTCCGGTCCCAGGACGCGCAGGAACGTGGCGGGGTTCATGGTGCCCGCGCCCACCTCGGTGTTGTGGGGCAGCCACATCGCGCACCCGACGTCAGACCAGTAATCCTGCGGAGAACGAGTGAGCGAGCGTGTGACCTCACGTCTGGCCGCAGGAGGGCGCGAGCGTCCCGCCCTGCGCGCCGACCGCAAGACTAGGCTAGGCTATGTGTGCAAGGCTCGCCCGAGCGCGGTGCGGCCCGTGCCATGGATGATCGAACAAGATGCCGTGTCTGGTCAGAGTAGCTGCTGCGATTGCGCACCTGCAGCCGCTGAATGGCCTGCTGAAACGTGGGCACGTCGGCCCCGTTGGTCGACTGTGCAACAGGCGCGGTGCTGGGCTCCACGGTCGACGCTCTCCCACTGCAGGGCAAAGCAGCAGAGAGAAGGATCCACAATCTCGACGTTGAGGGGCCGCATCGGCGCGCAAGCGGCATCGTCAGCTCTCAGCGGCGAGCTGATGAGAGACGGGGGAGACCATCGCAACGAGCCTCTCAGGCCGCGCAAACGGCGGCGCGATCAGACCGACGGGACAATGACAGCAGGCGCTTGCTCGCCGTGCGGCGGCGTGGCCAGGCACTGCGTGCGCTGCGCGGCGCGTCCGTCGTCACTCGCTGGGAGTGGATGGCCACCGAGCCTCCTGCCTCGGAGACGCCCCGCGCGCCGCCCGGGCCGGCTGTCGTGCATCGCACAGCCTTCAGCGCGACTGTGTGAGCGCAGAAAATGCGGAATGTGCATCCGCGCGCGTGCGTCTCACCTGACGCGCCGGCCCCTGGAGTTGGCCCATGGAATGTTGCACCTCGCCCCCGACGACCCGGGCCTGGCCGCGACGCGCGCGGGCCGCCATCCCCGTGCCTTGCTGTCCGTCTGCGCGGCGTGCGATCGCCCCGTCGAGGCCTGCGCGGGGGCCAGCCGGAGGGCTGACACCATGGCGCGGCTGGGAGCGCCGATGCGGAGGAAGCGCTGCCCGCACGGGGCGCCAACGTACTGCATGGTGGATGCTCGCGCCACGCTGGCGACCCCGGCCATGTCGCGCGCGCACCGCGGCGCCTGTCTGACCGACCGCGACATCACTGGGGAGGAGGCCTCTGGCCGCGCTGGGCGGTCATTGCGAGCTGGCCGCGCCTGGTTGCCTCACGCTGGCGGGTACGCATAGAGGATCACCCCAGGCTCCTCACGCCCTCACTTCACGGCCTGTAGCGACGCAGGCAGAGGCCTGTAGCGATCCACCGATAGATTCTGAACGCCCCGCTGCGGCGCTGTCCCTGACGCTCGCATTGATCCCGCCCTAGGAGCGCTTCCTACAGCGTGTGTGGGCTAGCTGTCATGCTGTCGTGCTCGCCAGCGCGGCTACAGCGCGCTCTGGGCTGCGATGGGTGCTCTGTGCGGCCTAGGGTTGATTTGCAGCGTCGGAACCTGCGAGTCTGCGCGTCCGGCGCGGCCAGCAGTAGGAAGTTCCCAGCCTGGATGCCATCGCAAATAGAAGAAATCGTCGAACCCGCCTGCCTGTCCATGGCAGAGGGGCTGCAGGTACTCGTCCCAATCCGCCACGAATTCTCCCACCACGTGCGTTCAAATCCTCTGACCTGGACGCGAGAAGAACTACTCACAAATGGGTGATTTGTTGACACCGCAGAGGGATCCGCTGAACGTCGAGGGCCTCGCAGACCCCGTCAACACCTCGTACGCTGCAGGCGGGAGCCCCGAGACCGGGAACCCGCCCATCGTGCTGCTGCACGGCTTCGACAGCAGCTGCCTTGAGTTCCGGCGACTGTTCCCGCTCTTGTCTGAGAGGACCGACACCTACGCAGTGGACTTGATCGGGTGAGTCGCACGCACTGCGCGTTTTGACTCTCGTGCGACGAGCACCGTCCGCTGCCTGCGAACAACGAATTGTCCCGCGTCGCTGCCCGCCCCACAGGTGGGGCTTCACTGAGACCGGCCACACGGACGACGGCGCCGTGGAGGGCCCCCCGATCGGCCCCGACCAGAAGCGCGCGCACCTGTACGCGTTCTGGGAGCAGAAGCTGCAGAAGCGGAAAATGGTCCTCGTCGGCGCCTCGCTCGGTGCGCCTCCCTCGCACTGCAGCTTTCGCAGCGTTGCCGCGGCGCCCAGCACGTGCAAGGGAGCTCGCTTGTGTCTTGCTTTCGATGTTGGACACCACGAGGGCTCTGGTGCTGCTGTCGCAGGTGGCGCGACCGCCATCGACTTCGCCGTCGAGCACCCCGAGGCCGTCGAGCGGCTTGTTCTCGTGGACAGCCAGGTCAGTGCTATAGCGCATCCAAGCATCAGGCCACGTCTGAGCTCGCACCGTCTGTCGGCACGAGACAGTCGCAGACGTCAGAACGTCGGAACTGCGTCCGTGCGCGTGTGCGCCGTGAACCGCCACGTTTCGTCGCGTGCAACGTTGCAGGCGTTCATCGATGGTGTTGACTCAATGTGGAAGCCGCTCGCCATGATGGGCCTCTCGGTCCTCCAGTCCAAGCCGGTACGTGCTGCCCTGGTCCACCCGCGCGCCCAGCACTTTCATGCAGTGTCTCGAACAAGACCGGGCCAGTGTTCAAACCCTCCCCGCAGCTGCGCGACCTCGCGAACAAGATGGCGTACTACGACAAGGAGCGCCTGGCGACCAAGGACGCCATGCACGTCGGCAGGCTGCACACGTTCATGCCGGGATGGAAGGAGGCGGGTTTCGCGTTCATGGAGTCTCAGGGTTACAAGATCTCCAAGAAAGTCAGCCAGGTGAGCCGCCGACCCGCGACTCGACGGTGACTGCGTCGCGTGCAGTGTCATGAAGTGCGCAGCTCCCTCCTCACAAGCGCTCGGGTCGCCCGACAAGTGCCTGTCTTGAACAACCTCGCTCCGAGCGCAGATCTCGGTGCCCACCCTGATCTGCTGGGGCCGCCAAGACGAAATCCTCGACCCCGCGAACGCCAAGAGGTTCGAGGAGGAAATCGAGGGGTCGAAGCTCGTGTGGCTCGAGGAGTGTGGGCACTGCGGCCACCTTGAACAGCCCCAGCGACTTGCAGCGGAGATCTTCGACTTCATGTCCATCGAGGCGGCGCAGCCTGAGCTCGCGGCCAAGCAGAGCTGAGGGGAGCGTAGGTCTGTCAACCGAGCAACGTGACTCACGATGTCAGTCGTCACAGCGATCGCCGTCACCAGCAAGAGATGTTTTGCAGCACCAGATCGTCAGCGCATTCAACTGCCACTCGTCCGGACGCGTGTCGAGCTTCTGCTCATCCGCCTCGTCGGCGCCTGCGAGGCGCCGGCTGCCCGACGCAGTTGCAAGCAGAGGAAGGCTTGGATGGAAGTTGCAGCCATTAGACGTGTCGTGAGACGCCCTGAACGACGCTCTCCTTTCCCCCGACGACACCTCGAAGACGTCCACACACCCGCTCTGCCCCCCCGTGGCCAGATGAGAGCCGCTCGGGTCCACGTCGAATTGTATCCACTGCGTTGTTTGTTCTGTGTCTCGAGACATGGATATCAGCGGAGCTGACGTTGCGCGCATGTCCCACAGGTGCATCTGCGCGTCCGATCGTGCCCCCGTGATCAGATACCAGCCGTTGTCGGTGAACTGGACCTGCGTCACCCCGCCCCGGTGGGCGCGGAGCACACATGAAAGCTGCCCCGCAGACGGGTCCACGAGGCCGACGGCGCCAGAGTAGCTACCAGCTGCGACGAGGTCGAACTCCTCCGCGCTTGCGAGGCACGATATGATTCCCGACAGCGAGCGTTCCGACCGCTTGCGGTGCACACTTATGGTCGTGCAGTCCCTGCACGAACATTTTCGGGCTCGGGGCGTCTCGTGAGCTCGCTGGACGCAGCAGGGGGTTGAGAGCATGCTCAGGTCGATCACGTGCCTGCCGGGTCGCGAGATGTCGAAGAAGCTTATTCGCTTGCTGGACGCTGTGAGCAAACACGATCCTCCCCTGGCGAACGCGAGCGACACCTGCGGGTCGACCTCGTCCTTGTCGTTGTGCGCCACGTACGACGCGCGCAGTGTCCCGTCGAGCCCGTCCCACAGGTGCGTGGGCTGGTTGCGTGACGTGGTCGCTATGCAGCACGTCTGCGGGTCCGCAGCCCTCATCCCCGGGAACCATGCGTACGAATATATCAGCTCCCCGACGAAGGGCCGGCTCAGCTCTCCCCAGCTCGCCACGGGCTCCCGCGCGCCGCCGCTGGCGTCCGGCACCTGCACGCTCGAGCGTGTGCTGCTGTGAGACGACAACATCAGCGACGTCACGCCGACGTGCTTCCACGCGAGCGGGGGCCGTGCTCTGACCTCGGACCACCCCTGCTCGCACGCATCGACAGCCCGCTGCTCGCACCCGAACACTCGGAGGCACGCGTCGTCGCCTGCAGGCGCGGACCCCTGGTGCAAGCTGTCAGAGGTTGGCACTGTCATGGGGCACGGCGGTGGCCGCGTGCTGCGCTGCAGGCCCGTCAACGTACCGGCCGTGGCGAGGCAGCTGCCGTCAGGGGACCATCGAACGCCCTTGAGGAAGTTGGACTGCGGGCACTCGTCGTACACCAATTCTCCCTCCTCCCCCCGGAACCCTCTCCAGTAGGAAACGACGGGCTTTGGCGGGTCAGCGAAGTCCAAGCGGTCGATCATACCATCACCCTGTTTGCGGGATATCCCGGCCTGGGCCCCGCTCACTTCGGTATCGCTTGAGGAGCAAGCGAAGTGCATGCTCCTGCGCGCCCGGTCAGCGTCGCTGTCGAGTATTTTCTGATCGGAGAGGGTGTGCTAGGCGATCGGCATGCACTGAAACTGTCCAGCGCGCACCACGGATGCAACACTGAAGCCGCCAGGAGGTAGCCCGGGCGAGCGCCTGATTCCTGCTTCCACCTTGCATGCATCAGGCCACTCCCCCGGCTGCATGCAGGGGCGCGCCCGCGGTGTGCGCGCGGCACCGCTGCGGAGAAGGACTCTGAAAACTTTGGTGCTCACGCCGGGTCGAATCACGACGCATAGCTGCCTCTTTGGCGCCAGGTGTTCCCCAGTTCGCCCAAACGGGCGCCTCCACGACGCAGAGGTGCTGGAATCGCAGAAGAAAGCGGTCAGGCCGTTCGTGGGTAGAGATCTCGTCCGGCTGGCAGGACTCTGTGGTCACGCACGATAGTGAGGCCGGCGGTTCGGTGAGAGTGCAGCACCAATGACCGGCCGGCCGTTAGCGCTGCTGTTGCTGGTTTTAGGCGCCGTGTTGCTCCTCGGGCGCGTCGTGGAAGGCATCGACTATGAGCGAGGGGACTTCGTGAGCGTCTCAAGTCGAGCCCAGTACGGGGGGAAGCGCACCAAGTGGCAGGATCTGTTGTGGCGACACTGCCCGAAGTTTGGGCAAAACGCAGGTTCGGAACAGCGCGCTCGCGCACCGCCAGCGACAGAGCAGGCACGCCTGTCGTCGCGCTGCGGGGCCGGCGGCGACCCGGTGCCACGCACCGGTGTGTCTCTGGTGTGTGCAGTTGTGGCAGTGCCCGTACCGGAGCCGTTCGAGTGGAGCCCGGGCGACACGTACAAGATCATGCTGGGGTTCGACAACCACCGCGTGCACACGACGTGGGCCGAGGTCCTCGGGCGGTCGCTGCGGCAGCGGTTCCCCAAGAAGGACCTGCTGGTGCCGATGCTCGAGGTCAGCTTCGACTTCGCGGGCAAGAACATCCGCGCCGTGCGGAGCCAGGTCGTGCCCGTCCCGCAGGACTACCTCCCCGCGCACCCGACGCTGATCGGGGAGTTCCAGAACGACGGAGTGTGGCCCAAGCACGTCCTCATCAGGTGCGACGGGGGGGCGCGAGCGCGGCGGCGACTCCGACGGGCGCGGCGGCGACTCCGACGGGCGCGGCGGCTGATGGCTGTGCGTTCCGCGGCGCGGCGCGTGGTGTGCAGGTACACGTGGAGGGACGTGTCGGGCGTGGATGTGCACGTGGGGCTGTACCTGGTGTTCGTCGTGGGGGGGCTGCCGGCGGTCGCGCTGATGGTCAAGGCGCTGCTCGCGTCGAACGTAAGCCCCGGATTCGCGGGGGATATGCAGGGGTGGCGTTTCACACGTGCGGCGAAGCTTACTGGCCCCCTCATCTGCCACCCACGGGCTCCTGCAGGTAACGCAGCTGCTGGAGGACACAGAGGAAGAGGACGACCAGGGTGTGCTTGACGAGGGGATCGAGCGCGACGTTTCGCAGGCCGTGACGCACACCGGGACCTCGCAGGGTCTGACCCACCAGCGCCACGCAGCAGCAAGGTCGCCAGCGGCCGCCGCGCCCCCGCCGATGATGGCTCCAGCGCCGGGGGGCAACGCGCCGCTGCCGCCGCCGATCGGAACGCGCCGCCCGCTGCCGGCGCAACCAGCACGCGGCATCAAGGCGGACTAGGGAAGCATGCTCTCCATGTGCACAGATGCAACGGGACGAAGCTGGCTCTGGAGCAGTCACTGGATGACAGGATGGCAAGCGCCATCTACTGGCTCACAGCGGGTCCAGCGCGGGCTGTGAACCCGACGCATCCACACCGTTCACTGCTTGCATTGCTTGTTTCCCTAGCTGGCCAGGCACCGGCGGCGCGAGTATGTATGTCCGCGGCGCGCTGCCCAGTGGGCTCAGCGCGCACGCCCACGCAGCCTGGTGTTGTACGGGCGCGGCGGGACGGCGCTGCCCCGCGGGGTGTTGCCAGTGCTGCGTTTCCCCGCTGTTGCCGCGCGCAGCCGCGAGGCTGGCGTCGTCGGGCGCTTGTCCGTGGGGGATTCGGCGTACAGCAACGCGCTGTCCATCTCCGCGAGGGCCACCAGAGAGCGCTTGCGGCTCCGGAAGGCGCGGAGCTTCTCGCTGCCGGTCGTGGGGAGGGCGGCGACGGGGCCTGGCTCCTGGGAGGACCTCCGCGTCCGGGCGCGCGTGCTGGGCCCGGCGTCGCTGGGTGGGCGCGGTGGCCTGTGGCCGCGCTCGGTCTGCGGGTGGTGGTGGATCGAGAGGGCATGAGTCAACACCAAGCACGAGGGCACCGCTGCGACAGCGCGTGTCGTCGCTGGGCAACGCTCACCATCGCGCCAGACGGATGAGGGCTCGTTTCCTGCAAGGGGTGCAAGTCCCAGCCCGTGCCCGACGGTTGTCGCGAGAGGGCCGTGGGGAGGTCAGCAAGCTGGGTCTCCAGGGCGATGAGGCCTTCCGCGAGCTTGTTCCGCGATGACTTGCGCGCAGCGACGACCCGCGAGCGCCGCAGCGGGCTCTTGCCCGGCGGCGGTGCGTTCGTTGGCATCTGTACCGGCGGTGGCCCTGACACCGCCTCATCGCCGTCCACGGAGTGCTCTTTCGCCATTGAATCGCCGTTCATGGACACGTCGATCGGGTGCGAAGGGAGGTCTGAGGCGGGCGTGCCAGGCACCTGCAGCCTGCCATGTTCGACCCCCTCGTCCGCGGTGGCAGGAGCGCACGCGCCATTGGCTCCCTGGCGCAGGCGCTGCTGGAGGGCCGCGATGGCCCTGTCCCTGATGTCCACCTCGGTGCGTAACGCGAGCATCTGCGATCGAGACCGGCAGCGCTTTGCATTGTGATGGAGAGATCGGATCATCGCCTGTGAAGACACGCAGGGGCGTGCGATCCGTGCCAGCGCACCTGCTCCTGCATGAGGGCGACCTCCATCTGCGACTCCTCGAGCAAGCGCTGCAGCTCCCGCGCGTCGTCCTGGTTGTGTGGCGACGTGCCCATGTCCTGCAGCTCCTGTGCCTGCAAGTTGGAGGGGAACTTCTCCGAGTCGGTCGCGCGCACGAGCCCACGAGCCACGCACGTCACGGCCCAGGCGACAGACAAGGGCGCACCTCGGTCATCTCCTGGAGACGCGCACGGAGCTGTCGGATGGTGTCCTCGTTCTGTGCACAACGCGCGCAGTCGGCGCTCGAATGCGGCCTCTCGATGTAGCGCGGGCCGTTTCCAAGCTGCGGACGTCGCAGAACGGGCGATGCCGTGAGTCGACGCCGCGGTCAGGGGTGGGCGATTTGCAACGGCGGGGCAACACCGTGGGGGAGCAAACCTTGACAGTAATGCGCTTGGCTCGGTTGGCCCAGTGGAGGGTGTTGAAGGTCTCGCCGATGGAGGAGCTGGACGGCGACACGTTCGCGATCATGACCGTCTTGCACGTGCCCCCGAGGGAGTCCTTGAGCAGCTTGGTGAGCTTGCTGTTGCGGTAGGGGATGTGGGACTTGCCGTCCGCCAGCGCGCTGATGCAGCTGCTGAGCGCCAGGAGCGACCGGTTGATGTTCGCGCCCTCGACGGTCCGCTGGCTGCGGCCCTCGGTGGCGATGTGCCGCTCGGAGCCCGCCAGGTCGATCAGCGACAGCTTCCCGGCGATTTCCCGCCCCTGCGTGTCCGTCGCCGACACGTTCACCTGCAGCACCGCGTGCGACCGCGACGACACCGCGTTGCAGCGCGTCGCCTCCGTGGTGCGCCGCCGGTTGCCCACGTGCAGCATCCGCATCACGTCCCCCGCCGACCGCGCCTCCACCAGCGTCAGCCCCGCGACCACGACCCCGCGCTGGTCCTCCCGCACGTCCAGCGGCTTCGACGAGCTCGTGAGGAGGTCGCGCACCGCCTCGTTGTACACCTCGAGGTACGACAGCTTCACCTGGAACGCGGAGAACTCTGGCCCCGCCAGCTTGTCGTACAGGTCGCACAGCGCCAGGACCATGACGCCCGGCTCGCGCTCGGAGCCCAGCATCGTGTGCGTCTTCCCCGCGCCCGTCGCGCCGTAGCAGAAGCAGCACGCGTTGTGCCCCTGCAGCACGTCGTCCACCAGCGCCGCACACGACGCCTGGTACACCTCCAGCTGGCCCGACTGCGGACCGAACACCGCGTCGAAGCTGAACGGCCGGCACTGCACGCGCTGCTTGCGCAGCACGTCGCCCTCCGCGCAGAACTCCGACAGCAGCACCGTCTGGCTGCCCTCCACCTCCACGCACGGGAAGGCCTCCTCCGCCGTCTCGCGCTCCGACATGGGCCGCGCGCGCACGATCACGTTGATGCGGCTGCGGTCCGCCGCGCGCCGGGCGCTCACGCCTGCGGGGCACGCGCGGGGCGGCGGGGTGCGTGTGAGTGAGCGAGCGAGTGTCGCAGGGCATGGGCGGCGTCACGGAATCTCGCAGGTAGCACCGCGGGTGGCGCGGAGGGGGGGACGCGAGGCGATCGGACGCGGAGGCTGGCGGATCCAGCGGGGACGAGGCGCACCTCCTGCGGGAGCGGCTGTCTGCGGCCGCTGGGCGACGTGGACGCGCGCCGGCTTGGGCAGTGCTGCCGAGGCGGGCCGTGGGCTCGGAGCGATCTTCGCATCGTGCACGGGGCGCGCGTCCCCACCGAAGTCGTCCGCATTGACGTCCTGCATCGGAACCGGGCGCGAACGTGAGAAACGGCGCGTGTTCACTGCGCGGCCTGCGCGCCGCGGCCCTGCCAGGTGGGTTACGAGATGTGCTCCTCCCCGGCCGGCAGACACCGGTGAGACGCGCTTCGTCACCCCGCGTGGAGCTGTAAATAGAGTCCATGCCGGTCGCCCGCGAACTCGTCGTCCGACTGCCGTTGCAAGGGGGATTGAGGCTGGACGCACCAACGGGGCAAGCGGCCGGCCGGGGCTCCGCCGCATTGCGAATGTGTCTCGAACTTCGCTTTTCCGGGGCGGTTTGCCGTCAACACGAGGTTCGTTTGCATTCAGCGCACCGCCTCGGTGCTTTAAGAGCGCGCCGGGGCACACGCTGTCTGGCCTCAACAACCAGAGTGCTGCGGCGCGTCCGCCCTGCTGGTCCCGACCTGGCCGATCTGTCAGTCCCTGCCTTCCACCGCGAGTGTGCGGCGCGCCGGCGGCGCACGCAGCACTGTCCGCGGGAACGGTCGTGGTCGGTCACGGTCCCGGAAGACTGGACCCACCTCAGGCGCCGCAGGTCGCTTCGCAGGGATCATTGGGCCCAGATCGTCGCACAAGCGCGTCACATTCATCGCGCGGTCACTGGAACGACAATCGTTGTGCGTCTTTGACCTTGCTTCGCGGGCTCCTCGCGCAAGAATTCGGCCAGCATCACAGAGAGCGGCGCGTTCGCACCGCTGTGCGTGTCTTCAGCCGTCCGAGCGCAAGCAAATCGATCCTCAGGAAGTGCACAAGCGGACATGGCCACTGGCGGGGCCCAAGGCGGCGAGCGCAGGGGCTGGACCGGCAGGGCAGGACTCCGGCCTTCAAAGTCGTGGCGCGCGGGCCAAACAGCGCCGCTGAACGTCTTCGCGTGGGACGCTGCGAGGCCGAGCACGGAGCACAGCAAGCCATCCGAACGTCCGGCGGCCGGTCGGGACGGGAGCCCTTGCGGGGCGAGAGCGGCGCGGGAGTACGACCACCCTTCCAAGGACATGGGGACAGCGGCGATGACGCCCTGGTACCAGGGGCCGGGATACGACCCCCTGGAGCGCCGGCCCGTCCAGTGCGTGCCCGCCGAACGTCGCCAGCGGCGGCTGCGTGTCTGCGAGCGCCCCGAACCCATTGCAAGGATCCAACTCTCAGCTTCCGAGACTTGTCAGACAAGTCACCAGCGAGTGTGGCTTGCGACGCGCAGGCACACGCAGAGGCGGACCAAGCTAGCGTACGGCGCCCCAGATCGCATCTGCGGGCTCGCGGGCATCTCGGACACCATCATAGAGCGCGACGAGGCGCAGGCGAGGTGCGACGCGGCTGCTGCGGTGCAGAAACGAGTGCGCAGCGAACAGAGACGTGCCGCCGGCGGGCCGCGGGCGCTGCGGGAGGCGCGCGGCGCGAAGCGGCGGGCAGGCGGGCCGCGCGACCAGGCGCGCATTCAGCGCACGCTGGAGCGGCTGCGGTGGGGCTCCAAGGCGCAGCAAGATGCGCGAGGTGGCGGGCACGCCCCGCCGGCGCCCTCGTCGCCGTTCGGTATCTTCGAGGCGATCAGCGAGAACAGGTGGACCAGCCGCATTCTGGAGGGCACGGAGGACGCCGTCGAGGTCGGAGACAACGGGCGCAGGTGCGCGTCGCCCCCGATGTTCCTGCGCGCCGCCTCCCGCGCCGTCGCCGCCGCTCTGCTCACGCCGTCCGGCGCACGGCCGCCCGTCACCGCGCGCAGGGTTTGCTCGGGGCCGTCCCCGGTCGTGCTGGATGTGCTCGACGTCGCCTTTAACCTCCCCCACCGGTCCGACCTGCCGGACTCAGAGGCGCGCACCGTCCGACCGAGTCCCCCGATCGCCACGGCTGAAGCAGCCCCACGCGAGGTCGGCGCCAGTCCGCCGGAGCCTCGCACGCCAGGTGCAGCCGAGGAGGAGGGCCCAGCGTCACCGCCGAACACCCCCCCCGGGAGTCGGCGGCAGTGCACGTGGGTGGGTGAGTACGGCGCACCGCACACGCGATGGCGCAACCAGAGCATGCGCGCGGCGCTGGACGACCTCGAGGGTGTCAACTCGCCCGCGACAAGTGGCGGGTCGCCCGGAGATGACAGCAGCAGCGACGTGTCGTGGTTCGCGTGGTGCCGCAAGTAGGTCGGTCGTGCCGCACGTTGACGCCCTCTGTGTGAGTCGCATCTCACGCGCCGTGCGGGCGCGTGGCATGTGTCGTTCATGCAGCTGGGAGCGCACTCGCGCGTCCGGGTGGACGCGAGGAGCACCAGCGATGCATCTGCGGTCCACGGCGACCACCGGCAGACACAGCATTGAGAGTCGCCCCGCTGCCACGTCTGTGCGGAGGGAGGGGGTGTCAACCAAACCCCCCACGTGTCGTGTCTGTGGTCGTTTCAGACTTCACGTCCTCGCGGCAGCTGCGCTCATCGACAGTCTTGTCGGAGCTGTTGCAGGCAGCCCTGTTCCGGTACTTGCAGCGCCAAAACGTCTGGAGCACCAGGAATTACACCTCAAAAGTACCGCGTTAGAGCGCCGTGGTGGCGACATTCGGCGTTCGGTAGAACGTTGCATCACTATGCGGCGATAGAAGAGGAGAGCCATGGAGGAAAAGGTCGTGTTAGCGTTTTGCAACTCCCCTGATGGCACAGTTGCAGCTATCGACCTGGACACAGGTAGGGAATGGGTCTCTGCCTGCGCAGATGGCCCCGCAAGCATCCTTGTATCATGGTTCTTCTTTGCGCAGCAAAATTCCCGACGTCAGATCTCGCTGGAGCGTGCGTGCCGCCAGAGTGAAACCAGCCGGCACCAAGCCTCGTGTCCTCCGTCACCTCCAGCGATGCTTTTTCCGCTACGTGCGCAAGCAGGGGCCAAGCTCGTCGAGTACAGATCGAACGCATCGCGGCAGGCGGCCGCGGTGACCGCTGTCGGGTCGAACTACTTCGCATCAGCCCAGGCAGACAAACCAGCCCTGCACACCTGGGCGTGGCACAAGGATGCGGTGCACAGTCGCTCGTTCGCCCTCGAGCCTCTGCAGTCCCTGGCGGCGACAGCATGCGGCACGTTCGTCGCCGCTGGCGGCTCCTCGGGCATCATGTACCTCTGGGAGGCGGGGGGCGGGCGTCTGCTGCGCCAGTGGCCGGCGCACTACAAGGCGGCCACGGCGCTCGCGTTCACCGACTGCGGCTCGATGCTCGTGTCGGGGGGCGCCGATGCCGTGATCAACGTCTGGTCGGTCAGCCACCTCGCGGACGCGCAGTCCGACCCCAACGTCCTGCCGCGGGCGACGCGCGTGTGGACGGGGCACTCCCTGCCGATCACCGCCCTCGCGTGCGGCAGGGGGCGGGCCGCGAGCGCGCTGCTGGCGTCCGCGTCCGACGACCGGACGGTGCGGTTGTGGCACGTGGGGCTGGGGGAGCAGCTGCACACGGCGTCCTTCAGGTCCGGCGTGACGTCCGTCGCGATGGACCAGTGCGGCGACGTCATGGTTGCTGGCTGCGCCGACGGCACAGTCCACGCGGTCCACGTTGGCAAGATGAGCAGCGCAGTCCAGCAGACCGACGTTGACGCAGGTGCGGCAGCAGCCTCTCGCTCGCCCCTGCAAGCGTAGCTGCGTGAACGTGCTGCTCAGTCCCCCAACTGATCGCGCGCGTACGTCCCGCTAAGCTGGCGCAGGTGCGGGGCCGGTCGTGGTCGTGCTGCCCGGGCATGCGCGGGCAGTGTCGGCGGTGGCTCACGGCGGGGGCGAGCTTTTCGTGACGTCCTCTGTTGACGGCAACATCCACGTCGTCGATCTCGGGACGCGGCAGCTGCTTCGCGTCCTCCAGCACCCGTCGAAAGGCCCCGTCACTGGTGCGCCACACCCCCTGACCTCGCAGCGCCGCGGAGCCCCCGCCTCCACGCGACCCCGCCCCGTCTCCGCCGCGCACCGCCCCCCGCACAGCCCCGCGCCGACACGCTGCTCCGCCCGGCGCCCGCAGGCCTCGTCGTTCTGGACCGCCCCGCGTACCTGATCCCAGCAGCGGGTGGGGACGGCGGCACGGACAGGGTGGCGCCCGACATCGCGGGGGTGTGCGCGCTCGAAGCGTCGCGCAAGGGACCTCGGCGGGCGCTCCCCTTCGCGCACCTGGCGAAGTACCCTGGCCCTGGTCCCGGACAGCAGCCCTGGGAGGGGGGCGCGGTCGTGCTGGACGACGCAGGTGCGTGCAGGGAGGCACAGCCGTGCTGGCGCGCGATGTCTGTTGGGCGGGGCCGTCGAACACACGTCGTCGTGCGTGGTTTGCTTGCAGAGGGCGATTTCACATCTTCGATCGCGCAAAGCGTGGGGCTGGTGTCTGCGGTGGCGAGCGAGGGCGCAAGCGCGGTGCGTCCGGACTCCGGCGCGATCGAGGCGGGCGCCGCCCCGGACGCGGGCCGCGAGATGGAACGGGAGCGCGACGAGGCGATCGCTGAAGCGCAGCGGTGGCGCAAGCTGCATCAGGAACTGCACTCCTTCTGCGTGCAACAGTACGCGTCAAGCGGCAAAACGCCACGCGGATCATGAGGTGTCAGTGTGAGCGGACAAGCCCCTGCCGACCCTCCGTCCTGGCGCGTTTCGTGCGCGGGTGGTCAATTACTACTCTGCGTCATACCGAGTGACTCATGTGCAGCACAGGGGGAACCGCCCCGCTGCACCGCTCCGGCGACTTGGCGGCGGCGCGACGCGTGTGACGGACCTCTTCACCCGTCTGTCTGATTGTTTGTGCGGAATCCGCTTAATATCATTCAATCATGGCTGACGCTGAGGCTGCTTGCACCTACGCGTGCCTCCTGCTGCACGATGACGGCGTGGAGATCACGGTGAGCGCCTCAACGCAACGGTTGCTCATCCACCGAGCGGCGATGCGCGGCTCGCGGGCAGCCGTCGGCGCCGGAGCGCGAGGCGGTCCTGGCCGGCTGCCGTCGCTTGCGTCGCCTTCGGGTGTTTCCGGCAGGCTTCCGCTGCGCCAGCGCTTCCACTGTAATGAGTGGCCGCGACTCCGCACGCTTGCGTCCCCATTGGCCCACCAGCGGCTCCCTCGTTCGGTTCGCTCGCAGGCCGACAAGATTCAGAAGGTCCTGGACGCCGCTGGCGTGAAGGTCGAGACCTACTGGCCCACTCTCTTCGCGAGGACCCTGGCCGTGAAGAACATGGACGACCTCATCACGAACATCGGCTCCGGCGGTGAGACCTGCCCCCCTGCTGCCTTGAGCCGCGTCTCTGAGGCCACTGAGCGCGCCTGCTGGCCGCTTGCCTGCGTCAAACTGCACGGAGTGCTCTTGTCCGCCCTGGCGACTGGCGCACGCGGTGCCCCGAGGCCCCTGGTGTACGTGGTGCACGCCCTGTGGCCCGGGGCTCGTGGCGGCGGTCTGCTCGCGGCACCTGCGCGCTCCTGCCGGCGCACATCGCATCTTTCTGCACGCTGCTTTGCATTCCGATGAACCTTGACTGCCCCCTGAGCCCGTGCTGCGCAGCTCCGGTGGCTGCTGGCGGCGCCCCCGCTGCTGGCGGTGGCGGCGGTGGCGCTGCCCCCGCGGCTGAGGAGAAGAAGAAGGAGGAGTCCGAGGAGGACGAGGACATGGGCTTCTCGCTCTTCGACTGAGCAGCGCGGCCCTCGGCTCGCAAGCCGATGCCAGTGGGTAGCCCAGCTGCCTGCAGGCACCCGGCGTGCTCCACAGGACCCGTGCCGGTTGCGGTCGCGACGCCAGTTGTGATCCAACGGGTACGAGCACGAGCTGACTCACAGCGCCGCGCTCGCAGGCCTCACGCGCGTGCACTGCATCCTGTTTCTACGCCATGTCCTCGTCTTTGTCAAAGGCCTCGTCGAAATCGTAGTCGCTGTCACTGCCCGCACTCGCGGCCTTCGCCTGCCGGCCCTTCTTGAGCTTCTTCCTCGCTGCAGGCACGGTACATTCTTTTCCGTGAGCGGGCCAGGCGAGATAGATAGATGCCTGTTTCATGTCGAAAGTGCGACGCTGCTTGGTTCGTTGCGAAGCTGACGCACCTGCCCGAGCGGCCTTGGGGTTGTGCTGTCCGGCCTCCGCGTACAGGACTTCGTTCTGGCTCGCAGGGGCGGCGTTTGCCCGCCCCTCGGCCCGCTTCTGGGCAATGATTGCCTCCAGGTCGGGCGCCTCCTCGTCCTCGACCTCCTCATCCATGTCACTCTCGTCGCCGAAAGCGTCCTCGTCCTCCTCCTCGTCCTCCTCCTCCTCACCGTCCATCTCCTCCATGTCGACCTGCAACGAGTAGAAACATCCCGCTCTTGCATCCACACATGCTCGACACGACCGGCCACCCGCCTCCCCCGCGGCCCGCTGCCGTCGCGCGCCCGCACCTGCGTCTGTCCGAGGCCCTCCGTCTGCGTCCACTCGCTCTGGTCCGCGCCCGGCAGCGCCTGCAGCACCTTGACCTCGTGGTCCTGCAGGGCCGCCATGTCGAACTCCGCCGCCATGGCCTGCACGACCTCCGCGTTCTCCTCGCGCACGTTCCGGTTCGCCCGGGCCGGCGGCATCGTGAAGAAGGGGATCTTCCCCGCGTTCCAGTCTTGCAGCACCATCCGCGCAGCACCCGGGATGTCCGGCGTGCCGCCCGACCGCAGCCGGCCCCGCGCTTTGGCGACGTGCGCGAGGAACTGATCGACGTTCTTGAACGCAGGGATGCGATACATCTGCGACCAGCCGTGCCGGGCAGGGCGTTGTCAGGTGCGCAGTCGGAGGCACGCCGCTCCGCGAAAGCGATCGCACGCTGTCGAGATGTGCGCACCTGCATCAGCTGCTTCGCCGGGACGCGCTGCAGGATGATCCCGCAGGGTCCCACGGGGTCCTCGAGCTTCTCCACCTTGACACAGTTCCGCAGCGCAGACGCGTCCTCGCTCTCCGCGGCAGTGAACACGATGCCCGGACAATCGAGCAGGCGCACGTGCTTGTCGAGGGCAATTTCCTGAACCACCTTGGTGATGCCTGTAAGAGCGGTCGATGCCTTGCAGCATGACATGAGGTGACAGAACAGCACACCACCAAGTCGGAGTCTCGCTGGGCTGCAACCAGGCGCGCCGTCCTCACCTGGTGCGTTCCCAACGTTCGCCACCCTCGAGCGCTTCAGGGAGTTGATGATCGACGACTTGCCGACGTTCGGCAGCCCGATGACGCCGACTGTGACCGAGGTCTTGATGTTGTGGGAACGGGCGTAATTCTTCAGGAGCTGCAGCAGGCTCTCCACCCCAAGCGCCGCACTACCCTGCAGATGCATCTCGCGCTGCGTTGCCGTGAGCGGCGAGCACCACACGCGCAGTCTGCGGCTCTCAACATTCGATGGACGTCAGACGACGTCGATGGAAGCTCACGAAGGCCAGCGGCCGCGCAGATCGCACCTCCGACACCGCGTCCCCGGCGTGCCGCATCGACTTCTGTCCGAGCTTGGACTGGTTCTGCGTCGACGACCTGAACGGCAGCGTCGGCAGCTCCTCGCGGAAGTACTTCAGCCACGCCTCCGTGGCCTCCCGCGGCACCATGTCGACCTTGTTGAGGAGCAGCACGATCCGCTTCTCCGCCCCGACTCTACGAATGTACCTCTCCACCTCTGCGAGCACGAGTCTTGTTTCCATCTCAGCGTGCACCCTGCCGCACACGGCGCTCCAACCGCCGCCCGCACACGCAGCACGGTCGAGCGGGGACGTACCTGGGCACCGGCACGACAGCGGGTCCCTCGCGTCGAGGACGAACAAGATGATGTCCGCGCTCTCAACCACCTTGCGGAACTCCTTGAAGAACGACCGCCGCGAACGATCCCTGTCGAAGTCCGCGCCCCCCGCGGCCCCGTCGCCCCGCTGAGCGTACGCCTCCGCGGCGTCCACCGCGTTGGCTTGCATCTCGGCCAGCTTGTCCTCCTGGGCCTGCTCGACGAGCCGCTTGCGCTCCTCCTTGCGCCTCTGTTCCTGATCCAGCGTGTGCAGCCTCTGCGAAGCAACGAGCACAGTGGCGCCCGACCGTGTCCGCTCCCGGAAACGCCTGAGCGAGCGCGCGCCGAGCCCAGACGCACCGGCGACGGCCCTGGTGCAGCCCTGCTGGCCTCGAGAAGCCACGCGCGCAGAAAGAGTGCCGTCGCTGACGACGCATGACACTTTCCATGCAGCCCGCTGCAGGGCCGCGCGAGATGCTCCGCGGTGCACCGCGAGCCCACCTGCATCTGCAACTCCTGCACGAGCTCATCCCTGAACGGCCAGTTCCGCGGAATTCCAGGATCCTTCTTCAGCGCCTTGATCTTGGTGCTGCCAGTCTTCTCCTTCTTCGCCGCTCTCCGCTGTTTCCGGTGATGCTCGCGCACCTGCGGGCGGTGAAATGAAAGACTCTTCGTCTGCCCGGCGGCGGGCGAAATGCGGCGGCCAAAGAGCGCAAACGCCCCGCAGGCGACGCGGAGCACGATCATTCATCGTGACCTCGCTTCTGGGGCCCGCCACGCATCGAACGGGTGGCAGTCTGAGTCGGTTCGCCCCCAGACGCCTGCGGCGCCTCCCCGGCAGCGCACGGCGGCGCCCGCGCCATGTGCGAATATCGAACCATCCGCGACGCCGGCGCGCGTGGTTGACCGCGTGTTCAATCTGCTGGGGCGGTCGTCTTTGGCGGCCAGCGCCGCTCGCGCACCTTTTTGATCACTTTGTACTTCTGCTTCAGCGAGACCCGCTTGCTCTTGCTCTTCCCGCTTTTCTTCGGCATCTTGTCGGGGCGCTACAGAGGTCTCGAAGTGGCGAATGTACGCGCTGCGCGCCTGGCGCTCGCGGCCCGCCCGCGACGCGAGCTTGCGGTGTTGGTGGCAGGCACCACTGCACAGTCCCGGAATGCAAACAACACGCTGCAAAGTACAGCGTCGCCTCGCTTGTGCCGAACGTGCACGCGTCTGGCAATGCGCCTCGCAGTCCACGCCCCATGGTTCCAACCGCGGGCCCAGGACAGTGGGGGGGGATGTCACACGCAACACGTCCAGAGACCGTCCGACGTGGCCGGCTGCGTTCTCACGAACAGCTGCGTTCGTGAGAACGCAGCCGCACGGGGCGTCGTCCTCCCCGCGTGCAATCCGTCTCCCCGTGCTCCCAGTGCCCACTTGCTCCGTCGCTCCTGCCGCCACCTCACACCTCGCCGAGGTACTGCGCGACGTCCTGCACCTCGAGCTGCATGCACGAGTCCATCATCCACTTGTACCCCAGAGTGCGCAGCCCGCACTGCGCGTGTTTCTCGATCATGCGCCTGTCCCTGTCGTCCACCGCGTCAGGGTCGTACAGCACGGCCTGCTCGTCGCCGTGCTCGCCGCCGTCCACCAGCGGCGCGCGCGCGTGCACCGTGGCACCGGCTGCCTCGGCGATGCGAACGAGGTCCTCCTGCGCGTGCAGTCGCACACAGAGACGTGTCAATCTCAAACAACAGCCGCGCACAAGCGTCGTGGCACGGCACGGCGGGCACGCCATGCTTGGCGCCCGCACCTTCAGCCTGCCTTTGAACGTGCCGGCCACGTGCAGGTGCCAGCCCGCCAGCAGCGACGCTCCCGGCGGCCCATCACTGGCGGGGTCAGGGACGGGAGCGCCGGGACACAGGAAGGCCTCCTCCGGCACGTACGCCCCATTCTTCAGGCACTCCGACACCCACTGATTCGTGACGATCCAGCACCCGCTCAGGACGCCGAGCACCACCTTGACCGTGCGCTTGGGGCGCCCCGCAGGCCCCGCCCCACACACCACGTGCGTCGGACGCGTGTCGCTGTCCCATCGATCCACGACGCGCCCCCCGCACAGGCTCGCCAGCTGCTCCACCTCGGCGGCCTCCGCGCTGCTGAGCGACGACGGCACGATCACCCAGCCCCGCTGCGCCAGTCCCTCGCTGCCCGCGCCGTCCACCTGTGCGGACGGGCACGGAGTCGCGGGGATCAGCGCGATGCTCTGCGGCTGGGACATCTCCTCCGCGCTAGGCGCCACCTGCGCCTCCGCGCGCTCCCGGGCAGCCTTCGTTGGCTTGCTGCCAGCCTGCGCCCTCTGCTTCTTCGCCGGCGGCTGCGAGCCGGACGCGTCCCTGCTGCTCGAGCGCTGCGACTTCTTCGCGGAGTTGCCGCGCGTCCCCCCTGACGGCGCGGCGGGCGCGGGGCTCGCCCCGGCGTTGCGCATGGCAGCCTCCTGCGCCTTCAACGCCTTTGCGTCGGGCGCGACGCCGCGCGGCGCGCCGCACACCTTGCATGTGCCGCGGTCGGTCGCGTTGTCCGCGAACGTGCACGTGCTGCACGTCCAAGCCCGGCGCCGATGCGACCTGCTCCCCGCCTGGGAGCGGACAGGGGTGTCCGCGGCGGCCCTGCTCGCGCGTCCGGCAGCGCGCGAGGGCGTCGCGGCCGCACGCTGCGACGCGGGCTTCCCTTTCGCCGCCGGCGTGCTCTTCGCCGCCTTGTTGCGCCGCTGCGACGCCTGCGACGCCGCCTTGCTCGCGCGCTTCGCCGGGGCAGCGCGCTGCTCGCTGCTCGGCGCAGACGGCGCGTCGTCGCAAGCGGCGGGCGTAGCTGCCGCATGCGGGGGCGGGGGGGGAGTCGACTCGGGGTCCACGTTTTCGCACAGTGTCGGGCGGGCGTCGCCCCCGGGCTGGGGCTCTCGCGGGGAGGCGCGCGGCCTGTCCTTGGCCGGCATTGCGCCCGCTTTGCTGGGGCTCGCGGCGGCGGCTCCGGTGGGCTGCTTCGCGGGCATGAGGGCGCGCAGGGTGGTTCTGGGGGACTCCGAGATCTGGTTCTGGATGCGACGGAAGTTGGCCGCGATGCTCTCCATCTTGGGGTCGCGCTCGAGGTCCCGCGGCCGGATGGGGTGCTTGCAGCACGGGCAGGCCTGCGCGGGCGCGCGCAACGCGGCAAACGTCACTTGCTCGGGCCCGCGACCGAGCTGCGATGCGGCGACGCTCTGCGGTGAGAGCGGTTCCGCGACCGGGCGGGCGGCGTCCCTCGGTCGCCGCTGCGCTGGTGTGCCGCGGCTCGCCCTCACCTTGGACCTGCCTTCCTTGCCTCGCTTCCGTCGCTCCTTGCTCTCCTCGTCGACGGTGCTCATGTACGACGAAATGCATTCTCTGCAGATGCAACGTCCGAAATCAATGACGATGAGCGGCGCTCATGCGGGTTTGGCGCCGCAGCACGCACAGCACGACCCTGCACAAGCGCGGCGTCGCTCCCACCTGCAGAAGTAGTGGCAGCACTTGACCCGAGCCACCTCGCCATCGAACACCTCGAGGCATATCGAACAGACGAGCTGCTCCCGCATTTTCTCCCAGGCTGCGCTTGGGCCGGCGCTGTCCGTGTCCATGGTGCTACCCTCCGCCTCGCCGACGTGCCCGTGGGGCTCGAACGCAGCTGACCCCTCGACGTGACGCTCCTGAATTCGAACGCGGAGACGTGACGACGCCCCTCACACCGTTTGATTGGCGGGAGCGCCGCGCGAGGGCTTCCCGCCACGAGCGGGCCACAGGAAAACCGCGCGGCCTCGGGCGAAGCTCACTGCACACCCGACGCACCTATCGCTGCGATGCCGTCCCTACTACGACACACCAGCGCTGTTCGCGCCTAAATGTCGTGCAACGCTGCGCGGTGCTGCTTGGACGGGGTCCTGGAGTGTATTGCCTGACAGCTGCGCGCGAGTCAAACGGAACCTCACGCACGACCGGCTGCCGAGGTAGCGTGATGACAGGCGGCCATCAGAACGTTCTCTAAGAACGCTCGGCGCAGTGTGCTCGCGGGAGAACTGAGACTTGAAGTGTCCTGCCATCGCAGCATAGCAGTGGCTTTGCCGTCAACGATCGCGCGTGGACGACACCTACGCGATGGCCACCAGCCCGACGCGCCCTCTGCCTTGACTGCTACGGCATCCGCGTTTTCCTCGACAGCGACGTTCACAATGTCCTTCCCGCCCCCGTCACCATTCCTCGCGCTTCTCGTGTCGAGGCCACTCCCCATCCACGGGCGCGGCCGTGCACGCTGCGTGCCCCCTCACGAGTACGGCGACGCGGCCTCGCTGAACGCCTCCGACGCGCGGTTCATGCGGTCCACGAACGAGTGCTCCGGCGCCACCTCCCGCAGCTGCGCCAACGCGTCGTCGGCGGGCTGGCCCATGTGCAGCTGGCACGCAATCATCGTCGCCAGCGAGTCCGCGTGGTTCGGGTCGAGCGCAAGCGCCTCCTGCGCACAGCTCAGCGCCTCCGCCACCTGCCCCATGCGCAGCTTCGCCACAGCCAGACCACTGCACGGCAAGGGAGCCAAACGCGCGAGAGTGGGCGCTCTGCAGTGCGCATCGCGTCCGGTTCTGCGGCCGTTGACCCACCCTCCGCTCCCCGCGCACCTGTGCAGCGCAGGCGTCCAGTGGAAGCGGTCTCCGAGCTCCTGCAGGATGTACGCCGCCTCCTGCACCCCGCGCCCGCCCAGCGCGAGGCCCACCCACGCGGTGCACAGCTGCGAGAGCGTCGCGGTCTCGTCGGCGGCCTGCATCGCCTTCAGCTTCTTCTCCGCCTCGTCCACGCGGTTCATCGCCAGCAGCGCCTGCGAGGGGCGGCGCGGGGGCGGAGGGGGGTCGGCGGCGCTGCGGGAAGCGGCGGCCGGGCGCTGCAGGCGCTGCGGCTGTGCGGCGCACCTGCACGCACACCGCCATCTGCTCCAGGTCCTGGCCGGCGTGGCAGCACCGGAGCGCGTCCGCTGGCTCGTTGCCGGCGAGGAACACTTGCCCCGCGATGGCCATCGCGGCGCTGTTCGCTTGGCACGCGGGGTCGGTGCTCCACTCCTGCACCGGTCGCCAGCACAGGGACTCGGACGCGTGTGATCGACGCCCGAGACGAGGGAACGCGAGTCCCTGAGCAGCGCTGACACATTGTCGGAGGGGTGCAGGTCGGGTAAGCGGTGCGGCTGCCCCGCCTGAGGCCGGGAGCGAGCCGCGGTCGTTCCTGCTGAGCGAAATGGACCCGCGGGGGGCACAGGACACGACGCAAGCGAGCGGTGACACGCGTCCTGATGTATCCTCTCAGAACCAAGTCAGCGGTGCGAACGATCCCGGGCTGAGACCCGCGCGCATGGTGCGCGGAGGGTGCCAAGGAGGGCAACTTGTTCGAGGCGCTGTCAGGAGGCCTGTGCTCCCGGGCGACGCGTTCCCGAACCGCAGGTTCAGCGTCAATACTACAGCCGCGCGGGCATCAGCGGGCAGAGTTTCGCGCGCACCTTGAGTTGCGAGAGGATGCCTTGGCGCGCACTGCTGCTCGACAGGAACTCCGCGAGCTTCTTGACGGCCGAATACGCCAGCGGCGAGTCGTCGTCCACGCTGGCCGCGACCTCGTCGTACTGGCCCAGCCCGACCTTGGCTCTGAGCACGAACAGGTCCCGCTCTTCCCGCTGCTGCTCAGTGAGCTCCTCCACGTCCTCGGCCTCCGTAATCACGCTCTCATAGCCCCCGAGAAACAGAGCCGTCTTCACGGGGAACAGCGCCAGGTCCGTCTCCGCCATGTTCTATCCTCGGGCCCGCGGCGCTCCCTGCCTCTCGCCCTCTACGCGCGCCAGTCCAGAATCGCCCCTGCGCCGGAATCGGGCCCTGTGCCGCCGGATCGCTCCGTGTCCGAACAGAGCGTACGCCAGTGCCATGGTCCCCGAGCCAGCCCCCGCCATGACGCGCCAGGCCGGCCGTCAGACGCGCCCGGAACCAGCGCGGGACGTCCTCGACTGAGCTGGCAAAATGGGCCTTGGCCGCCCCCTCGGGTCTGTTCGCGTCAAGGCGAGGGCGAGCGAACGCGTCTGCAAGCTACCAGACAACACCTTGACCGCAAAACGCGCGCGTAGACGCCCACGAGGCCGCATCAGCACACGGAGACGTGCGAGGACGTTGCCCCCGAGCATCGCGGTGCCGTCCAGCGACTGTTGCGCACTGTGGTTTTTCGAAGACTGCCTGGGAGACCTGGCGCCATAGGCGTGTGCCGATATTTTCTTGAGCCCAGAAAGAGCGGACGCGGCTCTAGACATGCCTGCCGAGTAATTGCCCAGCAGCGGTATTCTGAGCACTCTCCAGCGACTGCGACAAGGTCATGGCAGACGTACCGTCCGAACTACCCGAGCACTCCGCCGAGGGTGCATCTCGAGGCCTTGGTGCGGCGGCAGGGGACCACGGGAACGTAGAGGAAGGTACCGGGCGCGCACCTGCCGGCCGCGAGGACGACGGGGCCTCGAGCGACGGTGACGCGTACTCCGACGATGCAGAAGAGGCCAGCGACGCCGGCAGTGCCGGGCGTCACGCAGGGCAGGACGCCCGCGGGCGGGAGGAGGTTGGGCCCTCTGCCGAGCCAGGAGGCCACGTCCGTGCCAGCAACGCCGTCGAGCGCGCTGGTGGCGACAGCGGTCTAGAAGAGGACGGTGCCGTGACGCAACGCCAGGCCGAGGGTGTCGCTGACGGCGCGCAGGAGCACAGCAGGAGCGGCGATGACACGGAGCCGTTGCGAGGCGACGCGAACGAGGGCGCGACGCACAACTCCGGCGCCGAAGAGAGTCCCGACGTCGCAAGGGGCGCCGGCGCGCCGCGTCGCGGAGGGGCGGCCGCATCGCCTGAGGCACGCAGGGGCAAAACAAGCCCCCCCCCCGGCCCCGAAGACGAGCTGTCGGACCTGCTGGACTCCATGGGAGTGTCGCGAGAGTTGGCCGGCCGCCTCGGGGACCGGTTGCGGGAGTACGCCGAGATGGACCGCACGGCGCTGCTTCGCGCAGTGCTGCAGCTGGAGGGCGTCATGGGAGAGCTCGAGGTGCGGGGACGCGTGCGGCGGCGCTGCGCTGGTGCAAGGGCGGCGGCGGGTGTCTGACGCTGTTTTCCGTGCATTGCTTCGCAGGAGCGGGTGCAAGTGGAGGAGGACACACGGCGCGAGCTGGAGGACATGCTGGTGCGCCTCGAGAAGCACCTGCAGGCGGAGGAGGCGGCTAGACACAGCGCAGGTGAGCTGTGGCGACCTCGCGTGCTCGCAGCGGACGTGCAGGTGCCGCTTGCCGTGCCGGACATGGCGCCAACGCGTGGGTGGGCTTTGTTGCAGAGGCGCGAGAGAGGGACCTGGAGACCTCGGTCATCGAGAGAGACCGTGCAACGGCGAAGAACGACGACCTGATGCGCGAAATGGAGGCGGAGCTGGAGGTGCGGTCGCGGGAAAGCTGTGCTTTGTGTTGTTTTTGCCGGACGCATGGCGCAGTTGACGCGCACAGCCTTCTGACACCTCGGCAGCATTGCGTTCCTGGTGCAGGCGGCGCGCGTGGACGCCAGGAGGGCGGAGGAGCGGTTGACTCAGGCGGTTGAAGTCGCACGCGCACACGTGGCAGCGTCGTGGCAGGTGGGCGCACAAACCGAGCATGTTCGCCTGTTCGCGACACTCACGCTCCCTGATAGCGCAGTCGGGTGCTTTTGCCCAGCGCTGCACGTGAGGGGGCGTGCGGCTCACACCCCGCTCCCGTCGTTCGACGTCGATGCTGCTTCGCAGGTGCGGTTCGCGGAGATGCAGGCGAACCTGATGACGCAGGTGCACGCCATCCAGGCGGAGAACGAGCGGCTCGCGCGGGAGCTGCAGTTCCGCGGCGAGCTGATGGGCAAGGAAATCGCGCAGTGGAAGGCGCACGCTGAGCAGAGCTCGCGGGCGGTGCTCGAGGCGCGGGACGAGGTCATCGCGCGCCGGCGGGAGCTCGACAAGACGAACGCGCACCTCAACCGGATGATGGAGAGCCTGGCCATGGGATCCGACGTGATGCACTTGGATGCCAAGAAGGGGAACAAGGCCGGGCCAACTGTCGCCAACAAGGCGCGGAAGCCGGCCAAGCCCAGCACGTTCCTGACTTCGGGCCGAGGTGGCCTCCCGGCCCTGCCGTCCCCGGCCCGTGCGCAGCCGAAGCAGGGCAACGCGGCGGCTCAAAAGCGACAGCGGCCCGCCGGCGCTGCTGGGACAGACTCGGCCACGGCCGTGCAGGACTGGAACGGGGCCGCCATGTTCCCGCCCGTGCGTGGGGCCCATGGCGACCCCACGGGCCAGTTCAGGCAGATGCAGGGCATGGCGCAAGCGTGGCCCGGCTACGGCGGTCAGGGGCAGCCGTCTTTCAGGCCGGACATGGCGCAGCAGCAGTTCCAGCAGCAGCAGCAGCAACAGATGATGCAGCAGCAGATGATGCAGCAGCAGATGCTACAGCAGCAGATGCAGCAGCAACTGATGGCGGGAGGCCAGAATGCGGCTTCACAGGGCATGCCGCAACGTGGATACTGGAACACAAGCGGCAGCGGCTTCACCAACGGGGCGTACGCTCCGACGGGCTACAGCTCGCCGTCGTTCGCGGAGCAGTCGCCCAAAGCGGCTGCGCCCCCCGAGCCAAAGCCAGTGGCGCGCAAGAAGGCCAAGCCGCTGCCGAAAGTGAGAGACCGATTTGAGGAGGGCGCCGCGCAAGACCGCATGCTGTCGTACGGTCGTTGAGGACTTCGCCGCGCTTCATCCCCAAAGTGTGATGCGACGCGATGTCACTGTCAATGTGTCTCAGTGTCGTGCCTCCTTCTTTCGACCCCCGCCTTTCCCGGCGTACTTCTTCTTGCCCAGGTCGAAGGGCAGGTAGTTGTACTTGCGCCACATGCTCACCTGGCGCCGCATCGTCACGAAGAAGAGCAGCAGCCAGTAGAAGACGAGCACCGGCCACACCACCGGGAGGTCGAACGCACGCGTCAGCGTCATGCACAGAGCGATGACGATGCTCTTCGACGACGACCACCACAGCTTGTGCTCGGGGAGTCGACGGAGGAAGGGCCGGTACTCGTCGTCGTTCCGCGTGGGAAGCGCAGGCCCGTCCTCCTCTTGCGAAGGCAGCTGCGCGGGGGTCAAGAAGCCTGCAGGTGCCCGCGCGACACGCACGCAAGAGTGTCGGCAGCGTTGCAAAGACGCATCTGCCGCTGCGTTGAGCAAGCGGATGCGCGGTGAACGAAGACGGCACCATCATGAGGCAGCAGCGCGGCTTTCTGGGACGGGCCCCGACCTATGAACAGTCCCAGATTGTAGATCGCCAGACCGTACGTCACCAGGTAGAAGCCTCCGACCAGAAACACGCGCAGAACATAAACACACAACAGGGCAGCAAGCCCAGCCCAGCGGTATCCAGTGTGCGGGGCAAGCTTGTCGACGTACACCTGCGAAGGGGCGACATCGGCGACGCGCAGTGCTTCACGCGGCCCTCCGCCGCTGTACGTTGGCAGCCAGGACAAGAAGCAAGTGCGGCGAGACGACCAACGACGCAGCATCGCGACGCTGCTCAGCAACACCAGCGACGCAGCGGGCCTCGCAGGCACCCCGCTACGTGCCAAATCGGTCTCGGCGGTGGTCTATGCGGCCGCTCATCATGTGTGCTGTACCTGGATCCACTTCGCTCCTCGCCCTCTCCATCGCTCGACCTTGGCCCGAACTTCATCTGGAGTCATGCTTCAACTATTCCTTTTCCAGTTCCGCGAGGATGATCCGGCCAGGGCCTTTCTGCGCACGTTACCTCGGTGTCCAGGAGGCACCCATTCGCTTCTCCTTCAGCTCGGCGGGGCTGCTGACCGTGAAGCACGCGATGTCCCGCTTGAGTACATGCAGCAGATCGGAAGGAAGCGACCGGCGCGGCGCGGCGGGCGAAACGCCCCGCTGGGCTGCTGTGTTTTGTCTGGGGCTCGGCAAGCTGCCAAGCTCGAATCGCAGTCGTGCGTGGTGGTTTGTGTGTGGGCGCCTTGTCCCCGCGCAATGCAAGAGCGAAGCGGCGAGCAACCCCTTGTTCGGGTGCCGCGTACGCGAGACCCCTTCGGGGCCGCTCTCGGAGGCCCTCGGAGAGTATTCATGCTGCGCCAAGGTGGGAAAAAACCGTGGCGGGAGCTGACGGGTGGCGACAGAGCTCGGCGACACCACTCGCGATGGGGCGGGCTTCCTGCAGTCGTCCGTTGTACGTTGTCCTTCCCCAGGTGGAACGTTTGGCGCGCACGCTTCTCGCGGCGGCGACCTTGCTTTGCAGAAAGCCAGCTCTTGCAGAGGAGAGACGGCCATGGCCGTTGACCGTTCTCGTCAGTGAGAATGTGACGACCGCTCGACGACCCGGATTTCAGATTGCGCCAGCGAGGACCGTTTCGCGAGGGACGTGTGTGTTGGCTGGATGGAGGTTGGGCGCGTGGACACCCTGTGGTCCGCACCAGACATGGCCGGTTGGGCCGCAACACCTCAGGGCCGGTCAGCTCGGCTCAACTGGACCCAACCAGCGGGCGCACCGGGGGGGCCGGCCAGGCTACTCGCTATCCTTCTAGGAGGCAACCTGGTCAGTCGACAGCGCGGTCGGGAACGCCGCTCCGTCTGCCTTCCGGCCGCGTACGCGAAATCTGATGCCGACACGTCGGAAAATGAGCCGTCAAGTGCCATGCACGGCGGTCTGGTGCAGAGCGGGGACCCTGGTGAACCTCGCTGCTGGTGTCGGCAACCGAGGCGTTTGTTGGAAGGAGAAGCGCGTGGCACTGCAGCATGCGACTCACACATGCGGCTCGAGCGGACTAAGCTGCATCCCTGGAGCACAGGTGAGGCTGGTGCGAGCTGCGTCGTGTTGCAGGCGGCAGACCGCAACTGCGGCTGCGGCCCGCAGCCATCGCTTGCTGTTTACTCGTGTGCTTGTCCGGGGCATCAAGACGCATGTCAATGGCACCGTCACGGTGTCGGCTGAGCCGGGCTCGGTCCCGGGCCGAGCGTCACAGCACCCTTCAAGTTCCATGTTCGGGTGCCCCAAGCAAGGCCGAGAAGTCGACGACCGTGAGAGGACGCGACAGTGCACCGTCGACGGGGTCGTGATGTGCGCGCGCCAGGTGAGCCTCACGGGCGCGCAACTGGGCCGCTGCTCAGTGACACCACGCGTCGCAGGAACACGTTCGGATTCGCGCTTGTTGCGCCAGAGAGGGGCTTGGTGCACGCGACTCACCGGTCGAGGAAGACGTTCGGCAGCGACACGACGCGGGGGCGACCCTCTCGGTGCGCACGCTCGCGTATGTTGGTTCCTCCCTCTGCGGCTGCGGCCGTGCCCAGACCCTCATCTAGTGATTTCGCTGGCCAGCCCATGTATTTGATCGCGTTGATCCATGTCCGCGAAAATACCGCTCCCTTCGCTGCCCGTGCGAGCCGCTTGTTCGCGCCCTCAAGTCCTCACCAGGAAGCAGGCCGCATGCAGCGCGAGCAGCTCCTCCACGCGACGCACTGCCATCCTACCGCGCGCCTCATATGCAGTGGTCTGCCCTCCGAGGCGTCATCACGGCGACAAGGTCACAGAGGTGCGCCGCCGCCGCCCTCTGATGCATGCTTCAGCGCAATGCCACCAACCCGCCCCAACTGGGCGCGAGGAAACTTGAATGCACCTGCCGTCCTCTTGGAAGGGATGTCTACGTATCGCATTGGCGAACGCTTCCATGAGTGCCCGCCTTGTGTCAACATGGCGCGCCATCGGTAGAGAGCGTTCCTGCGCTCTCTACCGAACCTGAGCCGCCCGCGATCACAGCTCGCAGGCCGCTCCTGCCCCAACCTGGCGCACGAGGTGGTTCTGGCGCGCAGCATGGCGTTGCGACACACACGATGGCTGGACGTGGCGGCATGGCGTCAGGGTCCGCGGGTGGTGGCGGGGCCTCCCATTTCTGCTCGACCACGGCGGACCCGTCGTGCGCCCCGCTCGAAGGCGCCGTGCAGCGCAGGGCCGGGATACTTCGTGGATTTTACACGGATTCGGGTACATCCGAGAGCTTTGTTCTCAACAATCGGGCTCTGCCGACACTTCCTCCCATCTTACAGGCAAGTAGGGCGCAGGCCCCGCGATACGCACCGAGCGCGCCCTTGCCGGACCGATCGCGCCTCCACATCCCCGCCGGGATCGTCCCCGGTGCTTCAGCCCCCTCGAAAACAAGCGCCCGGCCTGACGGTACCGTACACCACCGTGCACCACGAAGTCCGATGGAGCCGCGGGCGCCTGATGGCGTCCCGCGGCACGAGGCACGTGCGCCGTCTCTCACAGCGACGCGGCACCCAAGGGCGTTCCCCCGCCATCCACATGCTGCCCATGCCCTGTACATGCGGTGGACGCGCTCCCTGCCCGCGGGCAGGTCGGCCGACGGATCCTGTATGTCCCGCGTGCATGCACCGCGCCCGTGGGCCGCCTGGGCCCACCCGGTCCCCGGGCGCCACGATAACATAGCAGGTCGGGTTGAGGACGTGCCACCCCCGCTGCCAAACATCGCGCCGCCCCGTTTGCGCGACTCTCGCTTTGGCGCCCGTGCGCCCTCGAGCCCCCGGTCGCGTGCTTGGAGACTTGGGCGCTACCTTGCGCTTTCATCCCCACGTTGACATCGGGCGTATGATAACTGATAGCCCCCCCCAGTCGCACTGCCGCTGCTGCCTGGTCTTCTGGTCGCCCGGAAGCGGGTAGCGGTCAAAGTGTGGCGGCTCCGCGAAGAGGTTGCGGACTGTGAACTGACGACCGTTCCCGGCATTTTCGACTCGGACTCACAGAACCGTGTTGCCCCGTACGGCCGGCGGAGGCAGGGCCGGCCGAGGCCCCCCCCCCCACCCCCCCCCCGCACTCCCGAACGGCCCGCGAGAGTGCCACCGGCCGCTGCGCTACCGTGCGACCTTCCTGCTTTGCAGCCACGCGCGGAACCAGATCAGTGGAAGTGAGTGGCCAGCCACTCCTCGAACCACGGCGCGCCCTCCACGAGCTCCTTCTGCGCCGCCGTCAGCTTCGTTTCGGCGCGGCGCCCCGGGACCCAGTTCCCGGCGATGCGGCGCAGGAACCTGTCCAGGTCCAGCTCCACCTCGGTGCCGTCGCCGAGGACGTAGACCTGGTCACCCCTCTTCGGCTTCTCCGCCAGCCGCGACAGCAGCGCCACCCTGTCCTGCTGGGTCGGCCTGTATGACTCCATCTTGCTCGCGGGCGCCTGCATCGCGCGGGCCCGTCAGATCGCCCGTGGGGCGGGGCGGATCGGCGCAGTGTCTGTTCGCTTCCCGCTGCGGTCCGGTCGCGCGCGGGCGCCGCGCGCGGGCGTGGCGCCGCGCGGATGCCGCACAGGATCGCGATCGACCCCTCCGGGACCCTCGTCCGCACATCTGGGCACGTGCTTGTCGGTTCGTGGGGGGCAGCAGAGCGGGCGGTGGGGGGTCCGCACCTGGGGTGCTGTGCAGGTGACTCCGGTGAAGGGCGGAAGAGGTTCTGCGTGGAGCGGACTGTTGGGCGTAGTGCGGGGGCGGCGCGGGCGCGCTCGGAGAAGACGCCGGGCGACGGCGCAGAAGCCTGGGCCACACCCCACACCCCCAGGCGTGTGCGGTGGCGGGGGAGCTCCCCACCTCGAGGTGCTGATGCGATGCACGAACGGCCGCCGCGTCCGATCAGTTCGGTGACGCTCGAGGCTGCAGAGCCCTTGTTGGCGTCGTCCGCGCGTCTCCGCGGCCTGCGCGCTGCGGCCATGGCCAGCCAGAAGACCTGCAGGCACGGGGAGGTTCGCGGCGGCGTGACCGTCACTGACGCGCCAGCGAGCGCGTTTCTGGCTTCACCGTGCGCCCGGCGCGGCCCCGCGTCCGCTCACCATCGCGTGCGCCTGCTCCGCGACGCGCTGCCGTGAGTCCCTGGGCAGCTAGCGCAGCAGCAGCAGCGGACGCCACTTCAGCGCCGCCCCTGGTCGCCCAGGACAGTCGTCGCCGCCCTCCGTGTTCCATTCCGGACGGACTCCTACCACCAACCACCTGCGGCGGGAGATGGCCAAGCACGGAGCGTCGCGTCCCTGCTGCTGTGCGCGGAAGCAGCTGAGTCCGCGCAGCCCGGTAGCTCCGGGCTCGCCAGGGCGCCGCAATTACGTGGCGCGCAGAGAGGCGCAGCCTCGCGAGGACTCACGTGGCAGCGCGCCCGCGCCCGGGCCTTGAGCCGATCTGCCGCTGCAGTGCAGTCTCTTGGCGTGGTCGTCATTGCACGTGCTGTGACGCAGCCACAGCGCCGTGCGCTCTCCCGCTGGCGCCCCCGTGGTCGCGTGTGCGGCGGCGATAGGCGTTCATCAGCCGTTCGAGCCGCGCGCCAGCTGGCATCGTGCGCCCCCCGGGGCTGCGCACGAGGGGGGGAAAAGGTCGCTGGCGCGGGCCCGGGGCCCTGACGACGGGCCGCGACGAAGAGGTCCCGATGATGGCGGGCGGAGACAGGGACTCGGTGCTCGAAGCACCGCGCAGCGCGACGGGCACACGCGTGCGCACGCACGTGGTCGTGTCTTACAAGCCATGGCTCATCGGCGCGACGCGTCTCGTGCGCTGGGTCCGCCGGCTGCGCACGCGACTCACGAGCCGACCAGCGCGTCCTGCTCGACGGCCCGCGTCCTGCTCGACCGTCCCCTGCACCGGCCTCGGCATGTGTCGCACGCGTCGCACGCGCCAACGTCCACCACGCCGA